TAGCTGGTTGGGTGGTTGGTTGGCTGGTTAGTTAGTTAGTTAGTTAGTTAGTTAGGTAGTTGGTTAGTTAGTCGTACCGTTACCGATCGAACGCCGTAGAATTGGCTTCCGCGGGCGATTCGTTAGACAGTTCCGCCGAAACTGGCAGTCGACCAAATTCTCATGGATCCTTCCTCCAGCAGCCAATGACTTTGCGACAACGACGACGACGACGACGACGGCGACGGCTCTGTACACGACGGAGACCCGGCGAGTATCGCGCGATTTATCGTTATTGCTTGCCTACATGCGATTTCGCTATAAGATAACGGCCGTTTCAAGTTATCGCGGAACGAGACCCCCGCGAACGTTAGAATTACGGTCGCGCGGTTATTAAGCTCGCGCTCGTATTAATAACTCCTCGCTCGCGAGAGGCCGTCGCATGGGGCCCGAAACGCTCGGCCACGTTCTGATAACGTATTTCCCGCTCGAAACTCGAAACGAGAGAGAGAGAGAGAGAGAGAGAGAGACCGGTCTGTTCGGTCCGTCTGAAAATTTCGACGCTGCAATCGCGCCGCGGGGATCGATCTCGCCGTGTTTACTCGCGCCAAGGTAAACGCGCTCGCGAGCTGCGTTTTTTTCCGCGCTGTCGCGACTGCGAAAATGCGACTGACCGACTCGGTGTTAACGAGGCTGCGATTGCTCCCGGAGGAGGCAGGCACGCCGGCGAAATTATTAACGCGCTGCGATTACACGAGCGCGCGCATTATCGTATCGGCGAGCGGAACGTGTTAAATTTTATTAACATCGTCAGTCGCGTTGCGCACAGCAGCGCTCTCCGTCATTTGCGATCGCATATAATAATTAATCACGTTGATTCTCCACACGCACGTTGATTTTACACACGCACACGCTTACGTAAATTCTCCGGGGCTCGTGTCTTGATTTTTTACAAACCTGGCAGTCGGCTAGCGCGCGCGCGATAACGCTCTTGGCTGTTTACACGCCCGCGCGCTGTCGTCGTCGCTATACGTCGACGATACACACACATGTGTCGCACAATACAAATATATGTGTTTGTATATATCTCTATACATATCGCATAACGCAGATCTTAAAGGAGACTGCATCGAGCCGCGTCCACGGCTCGATAATCGCCGATCAACTGTGTCGGCCGACCGCGCGTGAAAACCGGAATATGACGTAAAGCTCGTGGGCTGTTCCGCTCAGCTGTTCTCGCCATCCAACTCTAAGAGTCTATCATTCCGCGCATATGGATATGCTTATCCTCGAGAGATTCCGTTCCCCCCGCGAAGCGTATCGTCTTGTCCTGCAGGACGACCGCGGGAGTTTCATGATCGCACGCCGCCGCGCACGTCTTGCGTTTTCAGATATCCGCGACGGAGCCGCGCTAAAATAAGCGGAAATCGTGCTCTCGCGCGGATGTTTTCGCTCCTTCCTCCGCTTTCCCCGCGAATATCCTAAATATATTCCGCGCGCGCACGCTCGTGATAGAGCCGAGGCGCGAATTCTCGCGGAGAAAAGTGGTGGGTGATTCGCGGAAATTGGATCGCACATCGATCGCGACGGAGGAGCTTTTCCCGCGCGCGCGCATGTGTGTGTGTGTGTGTGCGTGTGTGTGCGCGCGCACTCGACGCGACCAAGAGTACATTTCGACGTATCGCGTATTCACGTCGTGAGAGATTTCGATCGTCTTTCGCACGCGTCATGCATCGACGAGGCCGTCGGCGCCGCCGCCTACGACGACGACAAAGAGGAAGAATCAAGGACAGGTGGGTGTTCTCAAGGGTGGTTCTCAGGAACGCTCAGACGGTCGAGCCGTTTTCCCGAAGTGCGCGCTGCGAGGAGGAACGTACGTCGCGCTTTTACGACGCGCTCTCTCGAAAATTTGTGTACGACCCACATCGCCCCGGATGTCAAAGTAACGACCGGGATAAATAACGTTTACAAATTGCGAGAATGTACGACGACGAGGTCTCCGTGCCGAGCTTCCCTCCCTCAACCCTCTCTGTCTCGGCAGCTTCTTTCTTCGAAAAGTGGTCGCTTTTATTAATAATTCCTACCCCGCGACCGCTTCTCGCGACTGAATCGGCCGCTCTTTTCTCGTCGAGGACTTCTCGGCGAACGTCTTCTTCTTCGACGAGATCCCGACATGTTTCGCGTGTCGAGCCTGTCGCGCGATACCCCGCGTCTGTCACTCCTAAGCGAGGACCTCGTCGAGGTAAATGTCGAGGTACTTCTTACCTGTTTACCGCTATTTTCGCTTAGGCGATTGTCAATAACACATTCCGCTCGAAATAAAGTTGGCACATCGAGTCGAAACGCGCGCGAGTTAGCGCGGCGTACCTTGTACGGTGCCGCACGGCGAGACACCGAGAATGATATCCTTGGAGCTGCCGCGCAGTCGCGTGCGGCGATTTCGGCAATTCCGCCGGGCTAATTCCAATCGGCTAATTAATGCGCGCGAACGCGAATGCCGAACGTTCTTGCACTCGCCGGAAACGGTTTGTACTCGAATCGGGAGCGGACGTTGCGCTGAGCCGAGACCGCCGACGATAAATACACGAGCGACGTTATAACGTCGCTTCACCGCGCTAAATCGACGCGAACGGCCAAGGCGGTTAGGAGGCGGGGATGGGGGGGAGGAGTGGCGACGACGGGTTCATAAAAAGTTTATCCTCTTAACTCGACGGAGCGTTTCGCGTGTCGTTTCGTCTTGCCGCAATTCTTCTTCCTTGCTTTTATTCGTCGTCCGTGTTCGCGCGTCAAAAAATGGACCAGCGAAGGAAGGAAAGAAAACCATCGCATGTCCTCTCTCTCTCTCTCTCTCTCTCTCCTCCCCGTTTAGTCGCGACCGATCCGAGCGAGCGGCGGATCCTCACTGAAGGATCTTTCCGAGGCAAAAAGCAGACGATACTTGAAGTGAATTATTTATAATTCTATGCTTTGAATTAAAGTCACGTCGAAAGGAGACGCGCTCTCCGAGTTAACCGAAGGATAAGGATTCGTTATCTGCTTGTACTCTTGAGATTTCATTCGCCAACTTGCTCAAAGCGCAACGTTAAACAAGGCGGATCTTGCTCATTAAGGAAAGCTGTTTTCAGTTTTCTCCTTCCCTCCGGCGTATCCGTAGCATAAGGACCTTGCCTTTTCTCTCTCTCTCTCTCTCTCTCTCTCGCTCTCTCGTGCCCTCGTTGTCGTGAGCGACCGCGGATTTTCCGACGGAGGGAAAGAGGAAAGAGAAAAAAAGAAATGCTCGACGGTGCACATAAATTTCATTACTCGAGCGCGCGAGCACTCGTAAGAATGTTTTCAAAGGTGCAAGGCGAAGCAGCTGGTCCGCATAGGGATTCGCATTTTATGCGCGAGGATCAGCCGTTAAAGAGATTTGCTGATCCGGTGACCCTACCGCGCGACATTCGCGCCGAGTAGCGCGTAAATCCGTATTTTTACCGCACGTGTCATTAGGCTCGATTCTCGCGCTTTGCATCGGACGCGAGAGCGCGAGAGCCGAACGGCGCGACGTTTAAAGGGGGCGAGAATTTATCTATCTGCTCGCTCTTACATCCACTCAAGCCGCGTCGTCTCTCCTCTTGCCCCTCTCCTCCGCGTCCCCGTCCCCCGCGTTGCTCCCCCACGCTGCTTGGTTTATTCTAAAAAAGGGTTGCCTCTCTTCCCGTTAATAAACGATTTCCAGCACGCTTCGGCGAATATAATGCCGCAAACATATCGCGCATTCGGGTCGAGAGCATCCTCGATAAATTTGTGCGCGATTGATTTCCCGACGATTAGCACTGCATCGCTCTAATTGTTCTCCACGGTGGCAATGTTCCAAGCTGACATTCAGCTCCCCTCCCCCCTCCGCGCCCTGCCTGCTGCTATGCCGTTCGGAGAAACACGCGACTCCGAAACTTGGGCACTTGGGAATTATACACGATTACCAGACGACTTCTCGATTTACAGGGAGAGGATCACATCGCTCCGGAGAAGACGGCCACACGTGCGAGCTTCGCCGGGGCGTAACGAACCGCCGGTCGAGAGCCCCCACGTCGCTGAGCCTCGGCCTCTCCCAGGTCGCCCGATCGCTCCTCTCCCCCGGAGCTTCTGCGCAATTCCGCCTTTTCGCTCGAGTGTTTTTCCTCATCGGCTTCCTCGCCTCGCCCTCCCCTTCGTCCTCCTCTTCGCCCCATTGTTCTCGTCCGTCTTTCCGCGCAAGGCACGGAGCAGCTTTTACTCACCGACTTGTTCTCGCCCGTGCGCCCAGTTTCTTTCTTTTCCGCCATTCTTTCTGTTTCTTGTCCCCCTCCTCCCTCTCTCCCCCCTCTCTCTCTCTCTCTCTCTCTTTCTTTCTCTGTCTCTCCCCCAAAACCTATCTCGATGGAACTAATTCCGGGTGCAGCGCGGAAGGGCGCGCGCGGGATTGTCTCCCCCGAGCGGCGGGAGGAAGGAATCGGCTTTCAAAGGGTTTCCCTCGCTCTTACAAATGCAGGGAGCGTGTGTCCGTTATATACGGCGCCGGGGTAATTTCGCAAAATGAGAGATACCCGCGCTATCATTGCCGTCGACCTGCCGCCGTCCGAAATCTTCCGAGCGGAATACCAATGAGGCCGTTCTTCAGGGAGAGAAAGAAAGAGAAAGAGAGAAAGAACCCGAATAAGATAACCCGCCGCAGATGCAGAAGTACGACGACAAAGCTCTGCCGCGGAATGCGACGAAATTGCGCAATGCGCGCGTTGGTGATCGATGATGAACGCCAGAATCAAAGCGAGCGCCTAGTCGTCCTCCTGCGACCTTCATCTTCCTGTGCCTCATTCGTCGAGCCGTCGAACTGACCTACAATCTCCGATTTTCGAGCTGCGAGTCCGACATTATCGCGGCGAGCGTGATCTCTCTCTCTCTCTCTCTCTCTCTCTTTCTCCCTGTCGCTGGTGGTTAACTATTTGCACTGATAATGATAATGAGCTGAGCGAAAGCTAATCGATCGCTTATCGTTGTTGCAGAGGCGGACTGCCGAGATAACGGTGGACAGCGAGCAGCAGAACGCGGTGTTCGTGCGTATCTCCGGTGAGTAAGCCTACGGCGTGGCATGGCCGCGACAGCCTTCGCGTCGTCCGCGTCAATTTCGCCCGTGTCGATCGCGCGGACGTCGCACGACGAGCGGTCGATATCCGTTCGTCCTGCGGCCGCCGTGCCCTGCGTGCGCGGTTAACGTGGCGAGAACGTGCTGGTCGCCGTGGGTTTTCGGGCTTCCGCGACTTTCCGAGGGAAGCTGCCGCGCGACGCGGCACCACGTTGAGTATCTCGGCGGAGATTGTCGAGGCGTCATCGGGATCGTATGGATCGTCGGCGGGTTCCGCCGCGCCTGAGAGGCGAGCGAGCTCGCGGCTCGTCGTTGGACGTGATCGTCTAACCGTCGACGTCGAGTCCTCCGACGAGGCGAACGAGATGCCGAGGTAGCGGCGATGTCCTTCGTGGACGGAGCTCGATATTTTCCTCGGTGGTGGGGGGACATTTCTTTCTTCTGAGAGGGTTGGTCTCCTTCGATATATCACGTTTCGATGCACGAGAGAGAGAGAGAGAGAGAGAGAGAGAGAGAGACCCTATCCGGGGGCTGAGAGTTATCGACGAGGTTCTGACGGAAATTCGAGTGCATCTGGTATGCATAGAGAGAAGAGGCTTCGTAACTTGCCTCGCTCACTAGTTGACGCGGCGTAGTCGGTCACTCCACGACGACGACGGCATTGTTTTCCAGCCGTCGCCCGTGCCCCGTTGTCGCTGGTGGGTTCCAAGGGAGTTCCTAAGGTCGAGTGTCCGAGCGCGAAACTAGCCGGTGTTCATGCCGCCGGGCGAGTTTGTCGGTTAAATCGACGAGAGCCACTCGGACTTTGTTTCCTTCGAATAATTGATGAGGAACGTCGAGTCGAGTGAGCGATCATTCACTAAGATTCACGCAGCGCAGCGAATTCATGAGACTGAGTAGCGGTGTGTATTTTCATACATTTCCTAAATAAAAATGTATCTATCGTAAAACTGATGATAATCATTCTGTCGCGATGATTCACCGAAGACATTCGTCGCGAGACCGTTTATCTCGTCATCACGATTATTTCCCGCTGACAAACACTAATTAACCACCGGCACCGATTACAATAACGGACTCCGTCGTCTCCTCATCGGTGCGCGTCGCGAATCCGCGCAAACAGACCGCGAAAACAAAACAGACGCGTCCGTGGCATGTCGGAAGAGAGAGAGAGAGAGAGAGAGAGAGAGAGAGAGAGAGAGAGAGAGAGAGAGAGGGAAAGAGAGAAAAGATAATCCCACGAATTCGACAACAGGGTGCTCCTCGCCGAGGTCGTTGCACCGCGCATCGCGAAGATCGAGATAAGGCGGAGGAGGAGGCGGAGAGAGAGTGCGAATCGCGAGGAAACTCGCGCGGGCTCGGCGATAACGCTCGTTTATGCAGCCGCCCACGGTGCTTCTTTTCGATAGATAACTCGTAATTAGCTGAGGCCTCGAATCGGCGTGTTCGTGCCGATAACTGGGTTAATTGCGCGCAGACGAGCGACGCGTCCGTGTAATACGCGCAACAATTATCTCGGCGCTCGCTCGCTCTCTCGCTCGTCGCAGTCCGTTTGCCGGAGAAAAGAATGCATAATTTATTTGAGCCGCCACGAGACGCTCGCCTTGTGTCGTTGCAGAGTGTATCACGCGCGATATACGCCCGTGTATAATGTGTACATGTGTAGCTACACCCAACACACTTGTCATCGCCGTCGCCGTCGTCGTCGTCGTCATCGTCGTCGTCGCGACGGGCGCATCAACGTCGTAGCGGCACGACTGCAATTTGCGTTGTGCAACGAGAAGCCGCGGATAAAGCACGGCACGCCGCGCGTTGCGCTCTCGTCGTCGTCGTTCGTCGCTCCGACGTCTTATCGTACAATTAAATAGGCTATAATAGCGCATAATTGGAGCATTGTTAGGCAAATTGGCGCGAGAGAGAGAGAGAGAGAGGCTGCTTTATCTATTTTCATCGTATCTTGCGCGTATGTATACACACGCATGTGTTGTACGCGTTCGCGTTCCGCGATTGAATCATCGCGAAGCGAAATTAATCGAGGATTGATCTCGCTCGGATCATCATTCGTCCCTCCGCGACAATCTCATCGTTTCCTGCATGCGGCTGCGCTCGTCGACCGCGTAATCGCGGACGTGTAATCGCGTAGGAATGGACTGGTGGGACAAAATCGTCAAACTCTCCCGGTAACGCGCGCGCATGCGCATGCGCTCTTGGAAGTGAGGAAGCGCGTTTGGAATAATTCCGACCGATATTTCAGCTCGGCGAAGCAATATCTGATGCACTTATCGGCCCGGTATTTACCCTCTCGGCAATCGCGTCTCGCGAAGGGTTCATTTCGCGTTATCGCCGCGGCGTGCGGAAGAGGGACGGGGTGAGAGGTAGATAGAAAAAGAGCCGTCTCGATCGATTTGGCTAAACTCGCGGGTACAACGAGCGCTCGCATTTAGACACACGACCTTAGGGTCCACAGTTGGACACGGCATTAGGCGAATAATAGAACGGCCTGTGAACACAAATCACGTCCGCGCGCGACTCGCTGCCAAATCAGCGCGGCGCGGCGCGGCGTCTTCGTCGAGTACGGAAGGCCGCGACTCCGCTCTCTCCCCGAAGTACAATCAGCGTACTCTTCGCTAAACCGCTATATCCGAGCAGAATATCGCCCCACAGCCGTATTAAAACCCAGTCCGGTTTCCAAATTTCAAATAGGATCCGGATAACTTTATCGGATCCGGCGCGTAATAAGGAGTGAGATGCACTGCTGCTGCCCGAGCAGAAATCAAATATGGCAATTTTTTTATGCCTGATATGGCATGCCTGATATGGCATAGGCAAGCTATAAGAAGGCATTTTGAGTGGTCCTTATCCGGTCGGAATGTGACAATTGTCTTGCAATATTTTCCGGGTGCAGCAGTGCGTTTCACTCCTTATTACGTGCCGGATCCGATAAAGTTATCCGAGCCTTAGTTGAAGTTTGGAAGCCGGATGGGGTTTTAATACGGCCTTGGGACGATGATAAAATTGTCTGAAATTGAGAAACCTGATGAAATGTCCATCAGGACCAAATCAGGCATCCAAATAATGACACGACGTCATCGCTCTGCAGTCAGGGTATAATCCGGAAAATATTGCAAGACAATTGCCACATTCCGACCGGATAAGGACCGACCACTCGAAATGCCTTCTTATGCTTGCCTAGTCACGCCATATCAGACATAAAAAATTGCCGTATTTGATTTCTGCTCGGGTACTTACAGTCACGGGTGCTTCGGTGCAGTATCTATAGCGGCGCAATCAGCAAAATGTCGCTGGAGCGATCAGTGAACAGCAGCGACTGTTTCCATTATCGACGCGATTCGCAAACACGGGAGGAGGAGCGTCATCGCACGCAAACGCCGCAGCGCGGCGAGATTCGTATCCCGCCGAGCAGCGTACCGCGGATTTGTCACACAATCGCTACACAAATCCGCGGCACAGAATCTCGCTTCCGCCGCTGGATATCGGCGAGACCTCCAAGACGGGCGCCGGCCAAAATGAGAGATTGTTTCCATTGAGAATCACTGAATACCCCGCTGATTATCGATGAAACACCGCTCCTCCCCTTCAGCCGATCCAGCCGGCAAACTTTCCGTTGATTCGTTCGATGGGGAGTATCGCTCTCGCGATATTTTCGCGCCTCTCCCCCGAGCAGAACATCGTTCCCCACGGCCGTATTAAAACCCAGTCCGATTTCCAAATTTCAAATAGGGCCCGGATAACTTTGTCGGATCCGGCACGTAATAAGGAGTGAAACGCACTGCTGCATAACGCCCCGATCAAATTACCCGAAATCAAGAAACCCGATCGAATGTCCATCAGGACCAAATCAGGCATCCAAATAATGACGACGTCATCGCTGCAGTCAGGGTATAATCCAGAAAATATTGCAAGACAATTGCCACATTCCGACCGGATAAGGACCGACCACTCGAAATGCCTTCTTATGCCTGCTTGCCTAGTCACGCCATATCAGACATAAAAAATTGCGTATTTGATTCCTGCTCGGGTCGCGGAACTCACAATCGACTTTTCCCCCCCGGCATCGTCGCGCGTACTTCGCCGCGCGGTGAATGTATCTCTCTATTCCCCTCGGATGCAACGCTGCATTTTCTCCGTCGAAGACCAGCGAGAAAGCGAGAGAGAGAGAGAGAGAGAGAGAGAGAGAGAGAGAGAGAGAGAGAGAGAGAGAGAGAGAGAGAGACGACGACGGGCTGGACGGGGCCGAGCCGAGTCGACGGGCGCGACGACAATGAAAATCCGCCGGCGGCCTGAAAATAGACCCGACTAGACGCGAACTAAAATTACGAGCGCGTGTGCGCGGTGCGAGAGTGCACGCGAACAGGTGAATGTCGTTTCACGCGCTCAATCCGCGGCCGTGTCCGCTGCGTTGCTCGCGCCGCGCCGGGGGGATGAGAGAGACGACACACGTGAGCGCAGGGGGTGCATCGGTGCGATAGCAGCGGAACGGACACGACACGTACGTGTGTATCGCACCTACGGACAGCAACGTGTGCGCCTGTCCGCGGCAATGGCCCCGTTAATGCGTAACTGTTCGCATTAGTCACGTAGCTTCAACTTAGCCGACTCTCTCTTTCTCTCCCCGCCCCTCTTTCTCTCTCTCTCTCTCTCTCTCTCTCTCTCTCTCTCTCTCGGGCTTTCCGCTGAGTCCGCCTCTCATCACGAACGATGTCGCGCTTTTTATTTAGCGAAACTGAGTCGTCGCTCCGATTGATCGATCTCACGCGTCGCGACACTTGCTTGGCACTCGTTGTACTTAAAGATCGCAAGACACGCGCTGTGACAACACATCCAACTGTCCGTTTACCGTAGACAGCAGCCTGTTCCGTAATTCCGGCACATCGGCGGCCACATTACCGGAGGCTCGCGATGGATCCGCAACGGAAGCGGCATTCAGGCGTTTATCGGACGCGGAGCGAGTCCTGCTGGAGAGCCTGGACGTCGGTCGATGCAGGCCCAGGCACACAGGTCGATTCCTTACGATGCACAAGAGACGGCGTAAGAGGCTTACCACGAGGTCCTTGAATCAGGAGCCCGGAATCCTGGACGACATCTTCCACGGACTAGTGCAGGTAATTCCCGCGTTCGCGTTCCCGAGTCGGAGTTCTTCCCTGGAAAAGGAAAGAGGAGAAAAGAAACGCTCGCGTTTTCACTCCTACACGGGATTCAAACGCGATTCTGGCCCCCCCTCCCCCTCCCCGGTGCTCCGTGCAAAGTCGCATTCTCCCACCGGCTCGAGGTTTCCATTTGAAACTCCGCCGTGTAAATTCTCCTCCGTCGCAGATGAGGCCGGGAAAATTAACGTCGCGGCAAGGTTTGCTCGGCTGAAGCCGAAGGACTCCGTCGTAAACGGTGAAACGTCCTCGGCGGTCTTTGACGGCGAACAAGTCGCGCCTCGACTCGTGCACCAACGAGCACCCACTCGTGGTAACGCGTAATCCGATTGGTTGAACGTTGTACTTCTCCGCGATTATTTTCTCTCGCGCCGCGTCTCTGTGTGAGAAATACGCGGGAAAAGAAATCCGACGTGCTCGCTAATCCCGGCCGTGAACGGACTTTACTCGGCGGCTTTTGCATCTGGAATATCGAGCGCGGATGAGGAACAAGAAACAGATTGCTATGGAAGTTACGAATCTATTTATCAAGCGAGAGAGAGAGAGAGAAAGAGAGAGAGAGAGAGAGAGAGAGAGAGAGAGAGAGAGAGAGAGAGAGAGAGGAAGAGAGAAAGAGAGCGAGAACGAGAGGCGGTCGAAGTTTAATAGCGTGTCGCCCATCCCGAGACTTTATTGAACTTTGAAGTTGGCGAAATAAGGCCGTATTTCCTTATATCCTCCGAGCCGCGCGCGTGCGCGCAATCGACGGACTCTCCGGCGAAAAGTTCCTCTTCTTCGGCGCGCGACTCCGCGAAACTAATAAATGTATGTATACATGTATATTCGAAGTATCGGCTGCGGAAAATACGAGCGCTATCGTGATGGAGATACGACGCGATAAAGGTAAATAGGCTGCTTTCCAAAACGCGAACAGTCGATCGCGGCGATCGATCGCTCGCTCGCTCGTTTGCGAGCGCGCGCTACCGACGAATCCACAGCGGTTTCGCGGTTATGCGATATTTCAGCCTCCCCCTCCCCCTCCCCCGTCACCGCGCCCCTCCCTTCCCAGATTCAACATTCATAAACGCTCTGCTGTTTGCTCGTTTCCTTTTTTTTATTCGGAGACACGCTCGCGAACAGAAATAAAAAAATGTCGGACTATAATACGCAGCCGCGGCACGCGATGTGCATTTTAACGATTTATTGCGTCACCAACTAGGGAGGAAGAGAGAGGGGGGTGAGGGGGGGAGACGCGGACACTCGAAAAAAATTGCAAAGTTGGCGCAAACGCACGTGCCGGAGAGCTCAATACGAACGCGATTATCCTCGTGTCTCTCGTTGCAGTTGAAAACTATTTCGGATTTTTAACGAGCCTCGGCTGCTGACTTTTTCATCGGGGACGAATTCGCGTCGCGCTGCGCGATATCGACGCGTCCGAAAATACCCGTAACTTTCCCCGCAATTTCGAGCGGAGCTACAACGCGACGGGAGCATCTCCCGCCTCCCTCCTGCGTTCCCTCCTCTTTGTCCGCGGTGGGAATTATTACACGCTCGTTCTCGCTCGCCGCGTCTCTCGTCGTCAAATACACGCGCGCGCGTTCCCGTTTCTCTCGCCAAATCGAATTACCCGAGCCTGTGCTCGTGTCGACTTACCGTATTCGAATTACCGTGTTGCAGTGCGTATTACAAAGGGCTGGAAACTGGCGATTTAATGCTTTCACGCTGGAAACGGTCACGGGCGGTGAGTATTGTCGAAATCGCTTCATTGTATGGAAATTTCTGCCGCGCGCGCCGTCAATGCGAGCGGCGACGGCGATCGCGCGATTTTCAAGTTTCAAGTCACCGCGGCCGCGTAGACGCGCGCTTCTTAATTCCTCTCGCGCGTCGCGCGCGCATCGAACACCGACGGCGATGGAAGACCTCCTCCGCGACTCGCGTTCCCCAGGGCCAAGAAGCAAACGGCCAAGGGGAACCTTGACGGAGCCGCGCGCGAAATCGACCTGGTTCGCGGCCAGCGTTCAATCGCACCGCGATGCGTCGCGCGTTCTGTGACGCGCGCTTTCCCGTTGCCGCGTTAGCGCGACGCTATTTTCACACGCTCTCGCCGGATGGATGCGCGACACGCGCGAGAGAGTGTCGAATCGCCGACACGATGCACAACGCATTTGCGTCATGCGCGAATCCCACGCCAAAGCGGTAAATCATCGACAGGGCTAATTGCGATTGTCGCTCACTCGAGACCCTGGCATAACGCGACGCTTTTTCTCAATTGGCTCGCAACACGCTTGTGCGGCAGCGGCTGCGCTGCGTCGTCGTCATCGTCGTCGTCGGCGGGAATCAGCAGACAGGCCAGTCGTCGGTCTTTTTCGTACACTGCTAGAAAAAAAAGGGTGAATATATAGAAAAGGGTACAGCTCATCGATTTTTTTTCATTTCGAAATATGTTATAAAGGATTCAGAGTGACTTTTCCTAATACAATTATACGGGGGTCGCTTATAGTTTCTGAGATATTTCTAAAGTTTTGGAATTTTGATTATCCTGGAATTAAATTCCAGATATCATAAGCTGACGTTATTTACAGTACAATCCAACAGTTAATCCAAACTTAGTATATACATAGAAATATAGGAAACAGTACATACAAGCGGGAGAGGGGCTCCGCCCAAAAAAATCCTAACCTAACTTAACTTATTGCATCTTTATATATTGTTGGGCGATGTTGAAAAGATCTTCTTAAAAGCCACAACACCTAATTATATGCAGATATTATAGTAAGTTAAGTTGAGCCAGGTGATAGATCTTAAGAGAACTTTTTTCAACAATGTCCAAAAATATATAAGGATGCAATAAGTTAGGTTAGGTTAGGATTTGTTTGGGGAGGAACGGAGGAACCCCTCTCCCGCTTATACGTACTGTTTCCTATATTTAAAGTGAATGAAAACTGCTTGTCTACTTCAAATATACTTCAACGTACAATTATAAAACTTTAAAGTCAAATATCTCAAAAACTATAAGCGACCCACATATACTTGCATTAGGAAAAGTCACTCAGAATTTCATCCTTTATAACATATTTCAAAATGAAAAATATCGGTGAATTGTACCCTTTTCTATATATTTACCAGAAGAAGAAAGAGAGAACGAAAAATCGACGAAGAAACAGCGGGGCTCTCAGAGTTACGCACATTCCGTTGCAGTCAAGTCATGAGCGAAACGCGAGTCGCATGGATAGATAAACAATCCGACGGGGAGCGGTTGGTGGTGCAAAATTACGCAAGGTAAAATTTGTTCGACGTCAGGTGGAAAATACGAGCGATGTTTTGTACCTCCGGTGACAAATAATGCACGCTGGGATAAATAAAGGGAGCGATGAATATACGATATCGCGCGTTTTGGCTCGGCTCTCTCGCGATCGGGCGCTGAATTTGAAGCTCGTCCTACGCAATGAAGAATCCCGTCTCGTTGCCACTCGATCGAGGAGGAGGAGGAGGAATTGTATAATAGTATCCGAGCGCACCGCAAGAGTCGAAACATCGGCATATAGGTGTCTAATTGAAACGCGCGCTCGCGTGTCGCGGGCTCGAGACGCGGAAGAGCATGATCGTTATAATTCGACGATCACGTCGACGTACTCAGATGCGTCGGCGGCCGTCTGACGTGTCGCGTCTGATTTCCAGGTCGTTCGCTGCCGGTGCTGTGCGTCCATCTCTTTCACTGGTACGGGCTACTGCGGCACTTCAACTTGGACGTCGTAACCGTGTGGAAGCTATTCGGTAAGCGTAACGCAGGAATCGCGGGAATCTCCGGGCCGAGATTGCGGGGCAGCTCGCGTGCGTGCGTGTGCGTGTCGATCGCATCGTGGATGAGGCGCGCGTGCGACAGGAGCGCGAGATGATGAGATTGCGAGCGTCGCGTCAGGTGTGCGTTTTGCACGTCGCGGCAGCAGCCGGCGAGAACGCGGGGCGCGGTTTTCTCGAGGAAATGACTGTTTTCCACGAGGTCGCGCAGAAGGAAGTCTCGGGCTGCAAATTGCGTACGCAACGATCGATAACGTTGACGCACGTGAAAAAATGCGATAAATGCGGGATTTTATCTAATTTTAACTTCTCACCGTGCTCTCGCCACTCGTGCTCTCCGCGTACTTAAATAGCGATTTCAGCGGTTTGTCCTGCGTGTGTGCGTGTGTGTGTGTATCGCCGATAGGTCCGTCGCGTAAAATGGGGCGCGAGCGAGCAACGACACACGCTTATGCTGCGACAGATAACGAGCATAGTTAAAAACGAGCGGACGTGCTATCAACCGGTCGGTTTATCGGAACTGTCATTACATTCGCACACACTCGCGATGATAGTGAAAGTTACGTACCGTGCCTCGCGCCTCGCGTGTGCGTCGTGTGCGTGGCCTCCGCGATGTTTTATTTCTGAAACACCTCGCGTCGATTTTTCGCGAGACCGCAATTTCACGCGGAAACACGCCCGCGAGATCGCAAATAACGTCGACAGCAAACGGTATCACTCGGACTCGCGAGTGCGCCTCGCGTGTGTGTAAACTCGCGCGATCCTCATCGTCGGGGGTTGTCACCGACGGGACATTCGGTTTCATTCGCGCCGCCTTTGTGCGCTTAATTATTTCTACAATTATCCACCACCGTGTGTATGTATGTGTGTACGTGTGTGTGTGTGTGTGTGTGTGTGTGTGCGCGTGTGTGCGTGTGTGCGTGTGTGTGTGTGCGTGCGTGCGTGCGTGCGTGTGTGTGTGTGTGTGTGTGTGTGTGTGTGTGTGTGTGTGTGTGTGTGTGTGTGTGTGTGTGTGTGTGTGTGTGTGTGTGTGTGTGTGTGTATTACTTCCCTCTCCAAGCTGTGGCAAACGCATGCCGAACACGCGCGCACACATGCGACTTTCGCAACACGAGTGTCGCGTTCCGCCGAACGTGTACAGTTATCTATCGGTCAGGAGTTTCTCTCTTTGCTTCATCCCTCCCCCCTCCCTCACCCGGGGGTCCTTTTTTTTCTCGCATCACGGTAGCCGCGACACGCAGGTCGGAAGCTATTCGTCGTCATTAAATATTCAAAAGGAGCGAGCCCGTAAGAGGAATGGCTCCCTTATGCAATGTTTCGGTATTTATAGGCCACGCGGCACTTACTATTTATTTATTCTACCATGAATTTCCATGCAACGGAAAATTATGTATCGCCGTGTAGCGTTATGTATACGTGCTCATAGTATTTTTTTTATCTGCGAGTCCTATACTGCTCATTTAAAAATAGGACTCTTTAATTCGCGAATGTTGTCATCGAGGCGCTACTCCGCGACGCGCCGCTTGCCAAGTCGCCGATGAACAATGATTCAATTTTGTCGCTGTATTCCCGTCGTGTCTTGCACGATTACTCGCTCATCGCGGGTCGCTTAAACCGAGAGACTTATTCGAATATCGATAACGATTTGAATATCGGATATTCGACGAGAGGATGAGGGGAAAAGGTGAAGAAGTGTGAAGGTTTTCGACAAATCACGTCGGTTTCCTCGGCGGTCTAATCATTTCTACGATCGCATTAATTGCAGCTTTTATCGAGGAGGGTTATCATAGTACAAATCCTTACCACAACAGTATACACGCGACGGACGTCACTCAGGCAATGCATTGCTTCCTCCAAGAAAAGAAGGTAACTAATTACTCGAACGCGAGCGAACGCGGATATTCGACGATGATCTCCGCGCCGATCTCGTCCTTCGACGATGCGGAATAACCGGACTGTGAATTTTCAGATTAAGACGCACCTAACCAGTCTCGAGATCATGGCTTCCTTAATAGCGGCTGTAACGCACGACCTGGATCACCCAGGTGTCAATCAGCCGTTCCTGGTCGCGACGAGTAATCATTTGGCCGCGCTTTATCAGGTAAGGACGATTTCCGAGACATGATGGAGTTGATCGACGAATAACGGGGAAACGGGGGATCTAAGTGGAAACCTGTCGATTTTCAGAACACATCTGTCCTCGAGAATCATCACTGGAGATCGGCCATAGGCTGCCTCCTGGAGAGCGGCGTCTCGGCGCAGCTGCCGGCCGACGTGAGACCGGAACTTCAACGGCATATCAGCTCGTTGATCTTGGCGACGGACATTACGAGACAGCAGGAGTTCCTCACACGTTTCAGGGTATGTGGTTTCCGAAGAAGCGAGTGATTTCCTTCCTTTTTGCACGCGCGCGCGCGCCTTATCCGATCGATCGATTAATCGTGTGGCGGGTTATCACCGCAGGATTACCTGAGCAACAATTCGCTCGAGATGAAGCGCGCAGAGGACCGCCACTTCATCCTGCAGATCGCCCTCAAGTGCGCCGACATCTCCAATCCGTGTAGACCGTGGGACATTTCTAGGAAATGGTCCTACAAGGTCTGCGAGGAGTTCTTCAGGCAGGGCGACTACGAGCGCCGGCTGAATCTGCCGGTGACGCCGTTGTGCGACCGACATACCACCAGCATCCCGAAGATCCAGGCCGGCTTTTTCAAGCACGTCGTCACACCGCTCTATGTCGAGTGGCATCGTTTCCTCGGCGACGGACTGAGCGTCTCGTTGATGGAGTATTTGAAAGCGAACCAAAAAAAGTGGGAGGCATTAATCACGCAAGAGGCGACCGAGGAGACCGAGACGGAGATCTCCGAGCTGGACGAGCCCGAGGGTGCCGTTAGCTCGGGTGACGAGACGGCCGCTGACGAGGATTCGGGCAGCATCGATCTGCTAATACCAGCGGCGTATATTCAAGCATCGCGAATGCCAACGTTGCCGGGACGAGTCGGCCTCGACCGCGCCGGCAGGCGTCACTCTGTGCCGTTGAGCGTGTCGAAACCATTGAGCCTACCGCCGCGTCAAGCCGCCAGAAGAGAGAGCCTGCCGAGCGAGCATGTCAAATCGAAAAACACCTTGTTGAAGTTGGAAGATCAAGGTCTCCTAGGCCCGAGCTCGTTGTCTTTGTTGTCTTCTAAGAGCAGTGTGGGTGGATCGTCTAATGTGAGCGCAAGTGAGAGACCGGTGAGCGCGGAGAATCTCTTACCGGAGACGAGTATAGCCAGTATTACCAGCAGCACTGAAGCCTCGAGACTCAGCACGGTTCTGCAGTCGACGGACGGCCAAGCGAGCATGCAAACGAAGCAGCTCACGCGACAACAGACCTTCCCGCCGCTGCAGCCGTACGCGAGAACGAGGTACATGTCCGCCACCGCGGAGATGTCGCAGTGCTACACTCAAATCCTGATGGAGGCCGAGGATTCGTCCAGCTGCTCGACTCCGACCAAGGAGAAATCGTGCTCGAGCGGCCAATGCTGCTCACCGTCGTCGCCGCATGACCGTGGCACATGCCATCAAAGGCAGCTCAATGTGCCGAGGGTCTCGAAGGAATTGTTGGCAGTTGATATGCCCACGAAGAGACGGGGTTCGACCTTGTCGGACACGATCAAACAGAAGTACGATTTCGCGATCAGCTCGGAGCCACGTCGCCATTCCATGCAGACCATTCGCCCGGTAGACGACTCGTTCTCCAAGCATCGCCACAAAAGGCCTTCCTCCGCTCAAGACGCCGAGTCCACGCGGATGTTCTACGCCACGTTAACGGGTGGCAGCAGTGGCTCTCCTCACGGCGACAAGGACGGTAGCAGCCACGTGTCCGACACGTCCGTCGCGGAATGCAAAACGGACTCGGGTTGTAATCCGGTCGAGCTCAAGTATAGTCGCGCTGTGAAATTGGCGATGCATGAGCCGCGGACTACGTTGTCGTCCAAGAGACCGGACCAGTGTGCTTCGTCGGCGAAGAGCGCGTGTGCCGAACAAGAGCCGCGGAGATACTCCACCCCGGTCACAGAGTGTAGAACAGTCACGACTGACAGCGCAGGTAGACGATTCACCGCGATACCCGTGTCTTCTGAGCTTAGCACTCACAAAGTGTTCTTTATCGGTAGTCCTCCCGATTCGCCGCCCCGTAATCATAGTGTGTCCTCGTCGAGTGACAGTGGTAGTGAGCCGAGACGAAGTGTCGGTAGTGGTGATTCGAGTAACGAGGTTGTCGCGATCGGCAGCAAGAGAGAGTCGGATTGCACGAAGGAGAAAAGCTCGAAGATGGCGAGGCTAAGCCCCGACGCGCAGATGAAGGAGAATGTTGACCCGCGTGCGTGCGACGATTCCGTCAAAGCGTCAACGTTGTCCCGCAGGGGCAGCCAGGTAATTGAATGATAAAACTTAATTTTTAACTTTAATTCCAGTCCCGAATGCGCTCAAATTTTCAAACGATATTCGTGTTGAAAGAAGGACGATGTGTTTGCAAGTTAAACAGTGCGGAGAAGTAAAACACTCACTTTTGCAAGCTACAGAGTTGAACCCCAATCGTTGTTTACTGTCTTCTCTTTGATGTTTGCAATGTCATTTTATTATCGATATTTATTACAATGTAAAATTCAGGGATGGGCGAGGAGACGCGGATCAGCTCCGGTTGGCCTCCTATCGAGATTGGACGACTTTGCTCCAACTCCTGTTTCTGCCAAAGTCGACCATAATTGTAGACGCGGATCTGTACCGACTGATATCACGAAACATCAAGGTACGAGTGCGTATTAATTTCTGTGCATGACGCATTCTTTTCTACCTTCCTCGATCTTTGCAGCCTATTTCTCAGAAGATTCTCTGCTTATAAGTCTGTGTCTATAACTTGCTGACGATTTGTAAAGCATTTATTGCGAATGTACTGTATATTACACGTTAGGTGGAGGTTCCAACCGGCTTGCTTTAGGACCTCGTGGAGATAATTTTTCGGCCCTAAGAAGAGCTAGTCTTCCGCAAGAGGCTGCGCTGGGAAATATTGTGGGAAATGTCCTCGCCAGTAAGTACGCAGACACTCGTGCAATAGTACCCCCTAGCACCCTAGCAGACAAGACAGTACTTGGACAGCACTACAAAACGAACGTTGAACCGATTCCAGACGAACGCGAGAATTTTCCAATGAACAACAACAACAACAACAATAACACCACCGGTGGCAGCAACAACAACGGCATCAGCAGACTGTTCGACAGCACCGCTTCCGGGATGCTGTCTCCGAGGCGAGGATCGGTGCCAGCAGACATATCCGAGTTACGCCGCGATCTGTTCAGTAGAAATAGCGTAAACAACAAGCCGCGAAACCGCAAGAAGATCTTGAGGAGACGCAGCAGTGGGGGCCCGGAAATGTTCACCGGCGTGTCCACCGGAAACGACGGAAACGACAACGGTACGTGGCTCAAGTGGAAGAGGGAAGTGGGCAAGCGCGACCCTGTTCCACCCGAGCCGCTTGTCAAGCGAAGAGGATCCCTGCCCATAGAGATGGTGGCTGTTTCACATGCTGGTCGGTACAACCATAGGTAGAGGAGGATGTCGTGACACGAGCGGGTGCAAATGCGTTTTCTGAAAAAAGTACACGTACTTCTTTTCTCTTTTTATCGCCCCTTCATTCGCAAAGAATACTTACCCGCTCGGAGAACACAGCGATCGATGAGGACCGAGCGAACTCGGCCATTTTCTTCTGCACTCTTCCAAGGCGAATTTCCAAGGCAAGGTTCATTCGAGCTAGAGCGAACTTCAGCTGCGCGTAAAAATAGTGTCCGCTTAATTTGACGTTCATTCAACTGTTCCGCAATCGCTGTGCATTCCGAACGCGTTCAATCGGTGTGAGCCGATCACTTCCTCGATCACTCTACATGTTCTTCGTATCGAATTAATAATAATATCCGAAGAAATTCCCGACATCCACTCACGACACATCATGACAGTAGAAAGTTGCTTCTGGATCGAACTCCAACGAAATTTTCATTTGTTCCGCTGTAGGACCAACATCAGCACCACGTCGGTCTAGCTTGTGGCGGCTTTAACATGCTCTAGAAACGTGTGTGGACCGTCCATGTTACCAGCGGTTAACGTCGAATCAAGCTACCACGACGACAGTCTTTCCTCAAACTGTCAGCAGCAGCAGCAGCAGCGACGATTGATTATCGAATTTCAAGATTGCCAATGCTGAAGACTTTCTCGTCGATTGTGAACGTGAGCGAGTGAATATTGTAATTACGTTGTCGATCATTTTGAATATTAGAAACGTCGCGAAGAACGATAAACCAATTGTAGTGATTTGCACTTGGGATCGCGGGATCTTTTAACACAGTAACTTCGACGTAATCGCGAATCGACCGTTACGTATTCTTGCCTGCGCTGTAGACAAATCGAAATTAGCTGGCGATTTAGTTTTTCGGTTGATCATGATCGAGACGGTGTCGCGGGTTTTACATTGCGTGTATCGGCATATCGTGCATCGAGATGTTATAGATCGTATAGTCAATATAAATCCCCTAAAGGAATATATAAGCATCGTAATTCTCTCTTAAAAGTCTTCCTCGCGCAACCGCGCGGAAGAAGTTAAAAGGAGCCTCACCTGCAGGCGAGGCGAGTTACATCTAATTGTGCCATGTACACGAGCGTTGTTCGAAATGCGACACTCTGATGAAACACGACCTGGTACATAGCAATGGCTCAAGATAAACTGGGTAATCGAGTTCACTGAGAGACAAAAGAACAAAAGAGGAAAAGAGGAAAAGAGAATGAGAGAGAGAGAGAGAGAGAGAGAGAGAGAGAGAGAGAGAGAGAGAGAGAGAGAGGAGAGAGAGAGAGAGAGAGAGAGAGAGAGAGAGAGAGAGAGAGAGAGAGAGAGAGAAATAGTCATACACAGGGTTCAATATGACGATTTTTTAATTATTAAAATGCCTAGGAATGGAGAAGGAAAAAAAGACTGGTAGAGAAGACACTCGCCGCTATAGATCTAGACGTAAAAGAAAAAAACAGAGAAACGAGGAAGAGAGGGGGAGAGAGAGAGAGAGAGAGAGAGAGAGAGAGAGAGAGAGAGAGAGAGAGAGAGAGAGAGAGAGAGAGAGAGAGAGAGAGAGACGTCGTAGATTGAACAAAACGAAATGATATTTGCTCATAGATAGAAAAATTTCGATTTTTCAAAAGACTCACGGCAGGATAGCATTATCTGCAGGTCATCGGTCAGCGAGAATCGCGGTATATGCCATATTCGTGTTGAATAAGTTAGTCGCTCGGGGCGTATGTTTCTCCGTCATTTATATTCGCCAACGTTTTGCATCAAGTGTTTAAATAACGAGGGCCGAATTTTGGCGAATTTCGTCATGTTTTTCTCTCTTAAATTGGGTGTAATAATACAAGAAATAACAAAGGCTATCGTAGCTGGCTCTAGAATGGATATATACTCAATTCGAAAAGTGGTTTTTCCCCTCATCGGTATCGGTTATGTTGAAAAACACTTAACAAACATTCCATGGGAAAATAAAAACACAATAGCATACAATGTGTAAGATACGGGAACGAGTTAAAGAATTACAATAATATTAATAATGATAATATTAATAATGATAACATTAATAATAATAATGATAATAATAGAGGAATATACGAAGTGAAATATCGGCGAGTTGCGTCAACTCGACCATAACACTCGCGAGATGATGCATTTATATACAAGGTCTGTCCCAAAAATATCCGACCTCTACATATATCTGTCCTTGGATATCCTATTGTGGGAAACAGATATTCAGTATTTAGAGTGAACCTTTAGGAATAATCCTACCAAGCGACACAACCCAATGTGATTGCAAAATTCGTTCCACGAGTGCTTACGGAAGATCAAAAAAATTCTCGAGTTGAAATTGCCAAAGACATCCTGGAATCCATCAACAAAGATTCTGAGTTGCTAAAAAGGGTTATTACTGGCGATGGATTTATGGCTACGATCCTGACTCATTCAGTCATTGTGAAATGCGACGCTCGGAGTTTTCGACGCTCACACAACTGCGTACCGTTGCCGACTGAACAGCTGTTGGGTCGTGTCGTGTCACTTGATAGGGGTATTCCTAAAGGCCCACCCTAAATACTGTATACTGTATACCTGTTTTCCACAATAGGATGCCCAAGGACAACAATATACGTAGAGGTCGCGGATACTTTTGGGACAGACCTCGTGGATGCATCCGAAAACGTTTATACCTCGTTTCCGTGGTCCGTTTGTACCTCTCACGTCATCAGGAAGGACGGGCTCTACGAAGGACTCCAGAGTGTCTGCACAACAGGGTGATTCCGTCGGCTGTGTGCGTATAACGTCATCAGAAGCCCTTCCTGCAGTCTGTGCGCGAGCACGAAGCTGCAGGAAATGAAGCGTTTCTATCCAAGGAAACGAGCAGAGCTGCGGAGAAACTTTGGATGTTCGCTGTGTTCGGCATACCGCTGTTAGTGCCTGTTTCTCCTTCTCCCCTGAAGGAAAAGAAGAAACGGACCAAGCATAAAGATGATCTGTCGTATGAGCACAGCTACATCCGGGCCACTCTGTTAAACTCGTGGTCATTATCATTGGCGCACTCGCCGATGCGCGATCAACGCTGCCTTCCGCGCTCAATATTTCATCTACCGCTGGCGAATAAAGCGAAGCTTTTATCAACAGGCTTCCCCACGGTCGGTCAAATGTTGAGACTGAGTTCTGCCTTTGGCAGGAGGACGGATGCGAAAGGTGGCGAATCTCGGATCCATGCGTCTGCATATATAACAATAATAAAAATAATAGTAATAATATTAAAAATAATAACGATAATAGCAACAATAAACAATAAAATTATAATTATTACTTTTGTCATCATTATCATTATCATCATCACTATCATCATCATCATCATCATCATATCATCATCATGACTATCATCGTTCGTTCTCATCGCCGTTCGATTTCTCAATAGTTCATAATTATCAGCATTATATCATCGTCATCATTATTACCAATTGTCGTCAATGTCACCGTCATTGTCATTTTCATTATCATTGTCGTTGTTGTTATAGTTATAAACGATGTTCAAGTAAATGGACGTTTTATGATTAGGCTATAGCGATATGTGCGGTTCGTCTTTGGAGTTGATTAGTTAGCGAGAAAAGGCGCGTTGTTTAATTACAACTATTATTTATTGTATACCCGACGGTTACGACGTATAGGTTTATAGTACGTGAACTGAAAAACAAATCAAAAGGTACAAGGTACCATGACGTATAATCTCTAACAAAAAGAAAAAAAAAGAAGACGAAGATGAAGAAGAAGTTGCGTTATCGCGAACATATTTTCAATATAGATATTATTAAACTGCCCTTGCCGTAAATACGACAGCCAATGCGGACTCGCGAGATATACCATCCTTGTATGTTATTAAAACTATCGACCGGGGTAGAGCAAGTTTTGATAACACCGCTATTTTACATTCAATAAAAAAAAAAAAGAAGAAGCACGATGAGCGGCGAACTCTGGACCTCTGTCGTTAAAGAACAAAATTGACGGTTTACTTCACGTACTGCTGTAACCTGTCGTCTCACAGACTGTCCGAAAGTAAAACAAATAATATTAACTAAGTCATAGAGAAACTCAAGATGAGAAGGTGAAAAAGTATCGATTATAAGTTTTACGCTTAATCAAAAAAGTAATCATTGATATCTATGTCGACATTATAGGTAGATTGTCCATTTTTAAGGGAGAAAATTTGCGAACGCTAGCGATCTTCCTCTCACCGACTTTTCCAAACTCTCTCGATCCAGCAGCTGCCAGCGCTTTGTATGTATTTCTCATCACTTTTCTGACAGCAGAACTGACTTACTCGACGACGACGACGACGACGACGACGACGATAATAACCACCACAACAAAACAACGACGACGACGACGTCGCGTCGCGTCACGTCACTTTAAAGTAACGTATAAACGATATTTCCTACGGCTGCAGCAACACATCCGAAACCAATAATTAACGTTTCTTAATACGGTATCTGCACGGTCACACGCGGCTACGTACCGGCGCGACGAAACAATGAAACATTGTACAAGTACGTTAATATTTAGATTAGCGTGAAATTTCCTAGTCCTTTCGAGTCCATTAAGAGAATGTTGTGTGTACATATATAACGCGCAGACTTAATAGACGATATATACCACGGAAACATTGGAGCGAAGGAGGAAGTCGAAGAAGTTTACACTGATGACAAATTTATTTAAATAACGTGACTTCTCTTAAGGAACTCTTTACCCTTACCAAGACAGACCAATCAAATGGGACTAAACGAGAAACTCTTTGTGAAAGCCGTAATTGACTTAAGCTTGCCTGACGAAGTAAATATGAATTCTCGATACTTCTATACATGACCATGCTGTCCAATCACTTTTTGAAGAATTTATTGCACCTGTAGAATATATACATGTTCCCTCTTATCATACGACTCTCCTGTCCCACCAATACATCACCACCAACACCACAACCATCTCCACCACCCTCTTGCTCCACTAAGGCTTAATCGATGTTCTTTAACGAAAAAATAAAAAAACGTATATAAAATCCCTTGGAATTTTCCCCCTGCCGATCTCTATAGATACCGTCTGTTTGTATCGTGACATTTTCTATCGTCACATTCCCCGGCGGAATGTAAGAGGTTTAATTAACGAAATGCAGTAAGATCCGGATCGAGCTTGTTGTGAAACAGAGATTTCATTGTATCTGATCTGAATCGACCGAATGCGACCTCAGTAGGGTACACTGAATTAGAATTCAATGCGAGTCTCGTCGCGGTGAGAGAACAGCGTTCCATATCGGCATATATGCGATTACGTTAGGGAATCTCGCTGTAATTCGTTAATGGTTATTGTATTATTAAGTGTGTCGAGCAAAAGAGCGTGTAATAGACATGTGTGCGCGTATGTGCGTATGTGTATGTGTGCGAGAGAGAGAGAGAGAGAGAGAGAGAGAGAGAGAGAGAGAGAGAGAGAGAGAGAGAGAGAGAGAGAGAGAGAGAGAGAGAGAGAGAGAGACAGAAAAAGCGAATAACACCAGGCGTGAAAGCGGATGTTTCTTCGAGTACGAATTCGGTATATCGGTATATCTTCCGCTGTATAATATTTTTAGCGAGCACCGCGAGTATGAATTTGTCGCCTCTTGATCCTCGTGTAGCAACGATCGTCCTTTGATTATCGTTAACAACTTCCCCGTTATCCGTTATTACACTTGGAGACATATATATATATATATATATATATATATATATGTGCGTGTTTTTCTGTCCGTGTAGGTGAGCGCAAATTATCGCTGAGGTTTACAATCTTTCTATCGATTATGTAAACGACTAATATATTGGCAGACACTGTCGGTTAGTATCTATAAAAAAAGTAGCGAGTAAAGAAGAACGATTTTTTTCGTAATTATAGATATGTCCGTTTAGTAATGGCGTTTGTGCATTAGCGTATCGGCGATTCAAGGGGATAAAACGGTAAATGATAATTTTGACTCTCAGCATTATTATATTATCCTGTGTGTAAGCGATATTTCTCCAGTTTCTCGAAGGCTCTTGTTACACCGAGAACTCGCGCTTAACTTGAACACGACTAAAAGGCGCGCGAATGTGGACGGACAAGTCGTGCGGCGATACAGACCTTTAAATACATCTTCGACGTGTGTTAACGCCACGATTCTCACCCGGTTAGGTTTGCCGGGACGCTTTTACGTTTTTATGAGGACCCACGGATGAGTGCACAAAATTTCAGCGCAAATTGCAGTATTGGATATGTCAATTATGAAAGAATTCGCGCGTAGTGAAATGGGTCTGTCTGACGACAAGAAAGTTATCGTGTATTTTCTATAACGTTGATGGTAGATAGCTAACTTGCGCTAGATGCGATTAAACGATGTGTTCTTATCATTATTCGTAATTCAACTATAACGTCGTTAACGATAAAGATACGACAAAGATACGATAAAGAGGCTCGAAATAATATAAATTACAACGGTATGTGCGTGCGTGAAATATACGAGAGAGCGAGAACGAGAGAAAGAGGAAGAGCGAGCGTATCCTTTTAGATAATCCGACCCGATAATGTTCATGATTGGCTGTATGACAAAGTTATCAGCATATGTGTGTGGTGGCTCTAAATGGCCTATTATATTTATTAGAGAAACGATTACTACCGGTAGTAAGTATATTAATATCGGAATTTTTCCATAGTCCATACACTTGATTGTACCGACTATTTATTTTGTGAGCGTACATGTGATTTTATTAATATTATACGAGAAAGATTGTGTGTGTGAGAGAGAGAGAGAGAGAGAGAGAGAGAGAGAGAGAGAGAGAGAGAGAGAGAGAGAGAGAGAGAGAGAAAGCAGGAAGTATGCCTGTGTGTGTATGCGTGTATGCATGTATGAGAGAAAAACTCACCCCCTGCCCCGCCCCTCGTTATATTATCAAGTTAGAGTCGAATAAAAGCAAGACACGCGACGTGTAACGACTCGTTTTCTTTATTAAAAAGATCTATAAAAGTCACATACGGCGTTTTATTATCGAGGTACGTTACGTTCACAGTCGCTAGGTTCCTCCAAGAGAAGTTCCTCGAAAAAACAAAACATGCATCCTCGAATCCCCCACCTCCTTTCCGCTAAAACTGTATATGAATGTATTATCGCGTGCGAAACACGAATTAAACGAATGTCCTTCTAAGTGCATTAAACTTTCAGCACATTTATAATCGCTCTTTTCCGCCACGAGAGACATGTCGAGTCATTTGCAGTTTGCGCGTAATTCGCAATCGAGACTGGTGTTTATAACCGAGTAAACTCCGAACGAAAAACCGGATAACCAAAGCAGAATAATGTCCCTCGTTCAGTTTTCTGTTATATGCAATCTGCTTTATAATTAACTTACTTATAGTTAACTTATAATTAACTGTCCAGACTGACAATGCGATTCACAGCCGCGACGATCCCGCAATTCTAAAACGCCTGATACTCCGCGCGGATGTTCAAACGGGGCACGGCTTTCGGTTCAGTGAGATCTCGCGCCAAACGCCACCACTTCCCGGTAACATTGTGCACGCGTGCCCGAATTGAGCTCGTCAGTCAGAGAGACTATAAAACACGTAATTTATCATAATTACTCACGGCCGATACGGCACCGAACAACACGAGCCACCGCCGTTGCGGCGCGACTCGGCTCAACGTGACTACTCGGGCAGACGCGCGAACGCGACTGTCGCACGCGCGGCGAAATTCAAACGTTCCCGCGCAGCGCGCGCACGCGCGCGCGCGCTCGCGCAGGACGCAGGCGTGCCAATGCACGCTGCCTCGCGGTCGCGGCGTTCCGCGGTGTACCGCGCGCGTTCGTACGTTACGTTGCGTCATATTGCGCACCGTGCTCCCTCCCCCCCCACCGCGGAATCAGTGTCGCGAATCTCGTTTTCGAAGCGAGCGGTTCGCACGCACACATGTCGCGTCGCGAAATCAAATCATCGGCCCGGGAAGCGACAGTCCGTGCAACAACGCGCGCCGCGCGAGTGCCGTCGTGCGTACGTCGTACGCGATCATCGGCCGCCGCCGTCGCGGCGTGCGTGCCCGTGTCTTGGTCGTCGTCGTCATTGCCGCCGTCGTCGTCGTCGTCGTCGTCATCGCCGTCGTGCTCATCGTCGTCGTTGTTGTGGTCGCCGTGATCGTCCTTACCATTGCAGCCGATACCGATGCTGTGCGTGTCTCTGTGCGAGATCGGTAGGTCAAAATGGCGTGAACCGACCGCGCGATTTTAAGGTTATCTTTGCTCGTGGCGGGTTCGACCGCACGGCGGGACCGTGTACGCCCGGAACGTTGATCGTGACCGGGTGTTTCTTCTGAGCGTGAGTACAAGTCCCGCGCTTATCGTCGTCGTCGTCGTCGTGACTGTTGACGTCGTCGTCGTTGTCGACGTCCACGCTCCACCACGTACACGTCCGCATTTTCCGTGCCGTGAGTTATATGAGTTATGAGGACGGAATGCCCGCAGGCAGTAACGGTCGTATCCGCGGTTACCCAGCGCGGATGTCCGAGCGGCAACAAGTCGCGCTACTCTTGCAATTGTCTTCTAAGGAGATGTTACCAGGTGAGAGAAAGAGATAGAATGCGAGAGCGAGTGAATGAGTGAGTGAGCGAGCGAGGGAGCGAACGAACGAACGAACGAACGAGAGAGAAAAGACAAAGGGGAAGGGGCCGGGCGGACAAACGAAGGAACAAATTAATGAATGAGAGAACGAGCGATGAAACGAGCAAACCCGAATAAACGTGAGATCGAGCAGGAGAGAAGGGAAACAAACCAAAGGACCGATAAAACGCGCATGAGATCTGTCTCGGCGAGCCAGCCGCGAAGCCAGCCACACACACATACACACACATACACACACGGTGGTCGCGGCGCAACCGCTGTAAAGTCGCGCGCGCTTTCCTCGCGCGTGGGTCGTGTTGTGTCGCATTGACGCCGTCGCCGCGTGCGCGGCGGCGACCTCCGCGATTAGTTGATCGATCGCGCGCGCGGGCTGGCGTCGCGTAGGAGCGATCGCAGCCGCCGGGCTATCGGGTCAACGGTAACGTGCCGTGGCGGTGCGCGTTCAGGTCACTGCCGCGTGCGATCGAACGCGCGAACGCACGTTACGGACATGCGTCGCGCGCACGTTCTCTCGACCAGCACGCATCGCCGCGAGTTACGACGCGTTCGCGTAACTCTCCGCGCTGTCGCCCCGCGAGAGTCGCGTTTGTGCGGGAAAAAGTGATGGAATGCGGAATCGCGGACGGCCCCTCTCTCTCTCTCCCCCCTCTCCGCGCAGCCACTCGGTTCGAACGAGCTTTACCCGCCTGCCCGTCTGCCGACCACATGCTCAGGCCGGCCAACCACGCGGCATGCTCGACGCGCGCCAACGCGCTCGCAATGGCGCCGAGCGCGGAGAGGGAAAGCGCGTATCGCGTAATTGACATGTCGAAGTTCCCGCTCTCCGTCTGGCTCGAGATGTCGCGCTTCGGGGACCGATCGCCGGTAAACTCGCGCGATTGCGGGAGGACTCGCGATGACCGACGTCGGTGCGTTCGCGGAGCTTCGCAGCGGATCGCGGAAACGGAGGCCCTCGACCGCTTTGATACCTCTCGCTTCCGGCTTAAATCGGGCCTCTTCAGCGTGGGCTTGGAGCTCTCTCTCGGTGGCCGGGCGAATGTCGCGATGCGCCTTCGCGAATTTGAATTTCTGCCGTCCGATGTAAGTCGACGGTTTTGTCAACAAGTGGAATCCCCATGCGCGATATTTTCGAGGTCCTCCTGGAATCTGATGCCGCGTGTAAAGGTTCATTCGTTTCCCTCTGCCTCGATGTTTCACACAACATACAGATGCACTGTGTGATGTTTGAACGTGGAGCGAGTTGAGAATACTGGTATTTGTGACTGCGATTCCGCTGTCACCGCAGTCAGTTTACTCGTCAGGCCATGTAAAACTCATTTCGCGTAATTCGCACAAACTCATGTATTTTAATGCACGTGTGTACAATGTAGTAACGTGAAATTTCACGCCAACAGGGGGAACTCGTTCGGAAAATACTGGCACAACAAACACCAGCTCCTCGAGATCGTCGTCGTCAACGTCCTCGTCGGCGTCGGCATCGTCGTCGTCATCACTACAGCAACAGCGCGGAGCGAAGGGTCGCTGGTCCAACAAAAATGGAGAGTCGCCCGTCCAGACGTCGATCAATCGCAAGGAGGACTTTCGCGTGCGGCAGATCCTCGTGAACGGCTACGATATAAACGCCTCCAGGGAGACAAATGGTGAGTCCCGAATCTCGCGAATGTGCGCGCTGTCAAAGTAATACCTGGCGTCTACGCCGTGCGCGTACAATGAACCTCGCGAGACAAAGGAAAAATGGAATTCTCTCCTGTCGTGTTACGTGCGAGGCTGCCGCAGGTGAGAAAAGAAAAATACTCGGGAAGTAAGAAGTGCGAATCGAGATCTCGACGATCGTCGTGGCGTTTCGCTCGATTTCGTCGGTTCCTTGAAATTCCGTCGTGTTCCCTTCGCTCCCCCCCTCGCCCCTCGCCTGGCTGCATCACGCGCGTCCTTCTGGTCGGGTAGGCGATTTCGTTTCACCCCAGAAAACAGCATTCCCAGGGGTCGGTCACCCCTCCTACGCACGTTGCTTCGGTCGATAAGTGAAATCGACGGCGCGCGACCTTCCTAAACACTGAAACTCGCCGGGTTCCGCGTTCATTCACATTACTCGTGGTTGTTAAACGAGTTTAATTCACACTACGTGCGTCTCGGCGGGACAGCTAGCGGGTCTTGCGCGTAAGGTGATTTTATCCACAGGAAGAACTGAGAAAGTTCTTCCTTTCTCTCTCTCTCTCTCTCTCTCTCTCTCTTTCTCTCTCTCTCTCTCTCTCTCTCTTTCTCCTTCTCTCCTTCTCATCTTCTCACCTTTTCTCGATTTGCGACGGTGATCTCTTCGACTAGACGGTAAAATTTCTCGCCGACATGTTTAGGTGAATATTTCAGAAGACCCTCATAAAAACGAGTCCGTGCGTTAAACGCGTGGGGGGTAAGAAGGTAAACGAGTCGACAGGCTTTTCGCCGTAGGCGATGTGTCAACTGAAGGCACACGTAGTTTCCTTCAAGGACCACCTCTGAATACAAAGGAAGCAGGCAACACAAAACGAAGAAGCGAAACGGACCGAGCACGAAAGCTATCCAACGACATTTTTTCCATTAGTTTTTTCGTGATACGACGGGGGGACCGGTATCCAAACATGTGTGGGCGAGAATGAGCACTAGACGCGACCGAAAGTATCCCGTATACGAAAGATCAAATTCCGGAAAGTATCCTGGAAGAATGAATCCAAGAGGTGAACGCTTCGAAGACAGACCTAGGTCGAGGGACTCGAATCGAGCGAGCAATCTCGTCATCATTGCTGCAGGATACTTCAGACTGACTCTGAGTCGTATTTTCTTTTTCCTTTTTCAACCTTAGGATCATTTGGGTTCTTCAGTCGCCATTGTTCGTTCCGTAGTGCGATTGTCTGTAGCGGTTCGTGCTAAGAACTGACGTATATATTTTCCGCTCGGCTTACGCGTCGATTTTTACATCAATCTTTTTTTCCGCAGTCAGGCAACACCGCGAGCTGGTCGCACGCTCGGATGAATTGGCGCTTTCTATCGCAAATCGCTCATTTACATTTCACTTTTCCTTATTAAAAGTAATTGCGTGCGTGCGTTTCGCCCGCGAAGTCGCCGAGCGCGAATCGCGAAAACCTCGATCCTCCTCGCGATTAATCTTCCCGCTATAATTGTCGTTTCGCAATTTCTCGACGGGGCCAAAATAGACGGGCTCATAATTCTAGGTCATAGGGTTCCGCTTTTAAAGCTCTCCTCTCTCGCCATCGCGCCGTCGTCGAAGCGTGCAAGGATACGTGTGGTGTGTGTACACCGTGTACAAATTACAGCGTCTGCACGACGAAAGCTGGGGGGGGAGGAAAGACAGAGCGAGAGGGAGGGAGTACACGTCATGTACGAAATGCCTAGCTAGTTTGTTCACTGACAACTCCAGTCTACAGGTGCACGACATCCTTGTTGTGGAATTATCGAGGCGCTGCGGGGGAGGGAGAGACGAAACATCTACCATTGGGCACGGGAGGGGTGGCAGACAACTCTCGTACAGATCAATACTCGAGACAGGGCCGCAAGCGTGCGGAGTGCTTTTTGAGGCCAGCACGGAGAGTGAGAGAGAGAGAGAGAGAGAGAGAGAGAGAGAGAGAGAGAGAGAGAGAGAGAGAGAGAGAAATGTAGGAATAGGTGGAACGAGAGAGCTGGCGAGAACGAGTAAACTGCATTTTGCATGTGTGGCGTGTGCGCATGTATGTGTTACACAGTACGTTACCTTGCGAGCCGTGACGTGACGACAGATGTAATATTAAATCGACACCGCAGGTTCGTCATGTGTTTCTATTAAGCGCTTCGTTATTTCTGCCTCGGTCGGACTTAACGATTTCAATATATTTTCTTTTTCTCATTCCTCAACTTTGCGAACATCGAAGCGTCATTTTGTCGAGATTCGAGGAGCAGGAGGATCGCGAAGATCTCGCGATTGTTTTCGGTCGTTGAGAGAGCTCAAGGTTGTTCTCCGGAAAAATCACGAAAAGCCGCAGTATTCTGAAATAATATTCCGAGAGATAATCGTAGATCTTGACATTCGTCTGAAAGAATTGTTCAGCATGGTGCAGCGTTGCTTTGAATCCGCTATGTAAGATTACTTCTAACGGTTGCGAGCGATCTTAACGTCCGCCGAATTTCGCGGAGAATCTCTTCTTCGTCTCTTCGTAGTTCGCGCGACAATGTCAAGGATATTGTACAAGCTAACGAAGAGAAGACAGTGTCGGTAAACATTGTTTTTTGCAAAAGAAACCGGCTGGGCGATCGCGCTTATCCTCGCGAAACTCATAATCCAATAGCGTAAATCTCTTCGCGAGTCGAGAAACACTGCCGCTCGAATCGCGCAAAGACTCGCCAATTAAAATCCCCTGCTGGAGACAATACCGTGTCGGTCAGTCGAACGTGCAGTTGTTGCGCCAACGAACTTTGCCGACGAAGAATTGATTGCGCGATCGACGCGTAATATCGCAACGTGTAATTAGAAGGAAAACGGGCAACGTTTTATACGAACGAGTTGCGTTCGCGTAACTCGCGATACGCGCCTTCGTACAGAGAGGAGCCGGCTGCTTTTACGATCTGCCTATTCAGGTAGTTTTTCCCTTCGCCCAGGAACGTTCAAGAAGAGAGAGGAAGCTGCCCTGCACTGCCTGGCACAGCACCGACGACAAATCCGGTGCGTTTCCAGGGAGAATTTCGAATCCTGGCTTAAAGCCGAACGCGCGACTCTCTTTCTCTCTCCCTCCCTCCTATTTCTATATCTCCCCTATATCTATCTATCTGTCTATCTATTTATCTATTTCGGCCACCAGCGAGAATTCCCGGGCAATCTGGTTTTTTTCCTAATCTTCACGGACTCGTCCTGCTGACGGTAATCGTCTAATCGGGAGCGATAAGTGACCCCAGAATCAACGTGGCCTCGTTGAGTATTCGAGTTATTGCAACGCGCGAGCGCGATAACGCGTCCTACATTTCACGTGATCGTAATTAAAGCGGGTGAACCTTTCGCCCGTGAATGATCGAAATAACGCGCTGAGGCGAGAACATTCTCGTTCTCTCGTCCTCGTCGCGCTTCGGGACGGCGGGAACGAGTTCTTGACTCATCGTGGGATTTTTCGCTTCCTGCCCGAGCCCTTTGATGAAATGGATAGTCCATTTTCTACCAACAGCTTCTACCAACATGCCGTTCGCTAAGTTGTCGGTACATCTCGGCGATATTTCCATCGAGGGGAAAAAGCATTTTCCTTTTTACTATTTTCTTTTTACTATCTTTAATTTTTATCCTTACATCAGATATAAATATTACGCCCCATTCCCGAGGGAGTTTCGATTATTGTCCGGCCGTAATTCAACACGGCATAGCCGTGTCGAATATTTCACAGCGTCCGCGAAATTTAATCCGTTAGTCGACAAGACGCGCGTAACCGCCCCCGGTGACGCTTTTCGAGCTGGGCCTTCCGCACGAAAATTACCGCGTCGGCGTATCGCGAGAAAGGATCGCTCGCGTGTCTCGGGGCTCGTCGATCCGATCGTATCCTACAACTCCGCTATTTAATGTTATTGAAATGAATGAAGTTTCGAAGGAATGGCCGAGAGGAGAAGAGGCGGTGTCGGGCGCCGCCCGTGTCGCTTAAAGGGGATAGACCACTGTGAGAGAGGTAAAAGCTGCCTGCCTGTGCTGTGCACGTTCGCCGTTCTCCGTCGTGTAACGCGTCGTGTCGTGCTCTGTCGCGGAGCTTTTAAGGAAAATGTTACACGTTGAAGTAACGGCGATTCACGGCCCTTTTCGGACACGCACGCCGCGTACGGTGTGTAATTTCTGCATTTGTCGCAGTCTCTCCCTCCCCCTCTCTCTCTCTCTCTCTCTTTCTCTCTGTCTCTCTCTCTCTCTCTCTCTCTCTGTCTCTCTGTCTCTCTGTGTCTTTCACGTGTGTGAATTGCTCCTCTCCCATGACTTTCTCGCCACACTGTGGGAATCGGAAAACAGATATCGATGCGGGAAACGGTAGACTCGTCGCCTCGCAGCTTCCTTTAATTAAGCCGAAGGATGTCTAACGAGGAAGTCAGTCGTATCTCTTGTGGCTCGCGAACAATCCGAATGAGTGGCGACCGTGTGTCTCGTGGAGTGAAATTCAGTAACAGTATCAGAAATTTTGACATCCTTTTTTACCTTGTTGCGAAATACAGCAATTTTCTATATTTCGTACTGTTGGGCGCGTTGAGGCGGATTTTTGTCCTGCCTTCGAGCGAGGATCGATGACTTGGGCAAAAATCGGCATTTAGGGCGTGCCCTTTGACGGCCACGCGACTTGATATTTAGTATTCAATATATTCTCATGAAAGCAATCGAAGCGAACAAAAGCTCGTCGCATGTTCGCCTCACTTCGAGGAGTACCACCTTGTAACATTTATTTCATGGCTCCGAACGGAAGAGGCGTTAACCACCGCGTGACTTTCTTGCATAATCGGGATGCTTGAGCGATGCGGTTTTTTTTTATCGTCGGTGCACGAGAACCTCGTAGGGTCTCCTCCTCCTCCCCCTCTTGTTCGTTATCGGCGGCACGAAGGTCGGTCAGTCGGTTTTCAGGATTGTCCGCCGAATTAATTATTCGTTTACCCGCTCTATCGCGCCGCGATATAAAGTTACACGCGAGCGCGCGAAGCTGCGTTTCGCGTGGCGTGACTCTCATTGGCTCGCAATGAATTGTAAATGTGCAACGTCCGAGCAAACGATCGGAGGACACTAATAAAACGTTCGCCGATATCCTCTCGCGGTTCTGTCGCGTTTTTACCGCCGTCGGAATTCTTAATAGAATTTCACACGGCGAAATCGTATCAGTGCGCATTTGCATTCGATCTTTCATATGCAAGGCGGACAGTCGGAGAATATTCTTAGATATTCTTAAATCGATATTCTTCACGCTCCTCTCAAGATTCTCGCTTATTTTTCACGCTGAAGAACGCGCGTGTCGCGCGACTTCCTCCGGAAGCTGCGAGTTCACGCGTGCGTCTTGAAACTACCCGTCTTCCCGTAAGTTTAAGCTCGCAAATTCAAAATTCTCAACGCTCGAATTATATTTTCATCGTGTCTCGCAGACAGCGAGACGATATCACACGAGAAAAACACGAATCGATCGAGGGAAGCGTCGCGCGCGCCTCTGCCTGTGCCTAGTCTTGCTTCCGGGCTCTTGACTTCGGCTAAGCGGATTTATCTTCGTCGTCGACGTGCACGACGATGCGCCGTCGCGTTGATCGCGTTTATATTAGCGTTACACATCGGTCTCCTCGAGGGAGCTACCGTGTGCGCGCAGCGAACGACGACGACGACGAATGCTCCTCGTCCCTTGGCCGACGGGAGCGAGTTGTACTTAAGGGTCGACGCGAAAGGATGCAGCGGGAGGAGAGGCGGGCGGGCGGGACTGTGCGCGCGCGATCGATGGCACAAAGAGATATCGTCGTCCTGGCAAAAGGAGGAGGAAGAAGAAGAAGAAGAACGACCCGCAGTCGCACGCGGCAACTTCCGCACCCGTTGCTATCCGCTTTAAGAAGAGGCCAGACACACGTTGCTTTTCGCGTGTGTAAATATCCCGCGAACGAACGGACGAACGTGTCTCGTTTCTCTCTCTCTCTCTCTCTCTCTCTCCGTCCATCGCCGTCGTGGACTCCAAAAAGATCGACACGACCGATCGTGTCCCTCCCCGCTGTGTTTTTGGAATTTTCTTGCTCTTCCACGTGGTCAAGACGTAGAGAGAGGATGCGTGGGGGGGGGGGGGGAGAACGACGTGCAGTTCTCGTGGAAGATTTCATGTTCCCCTACGACGAAAAGTTCCGTGCTCTTTTCGCAGCTCAGGTTTCCTTGGAGTTGAACTCTTTCTTCTTCTCCTCGTCGAACGGGGTTGGCGGGGTACTTCTCGTACCCTTCTATGGCTCCATTTGGCGCGAGACGCGATCGGAAAATAAGCAATAATGCGCGGCTGGTGTGCCCGACGCAGGAGCGGACGCACGAGGAAAGCTGGAGGCGGCCACCGATGGCGATTGCGCTCGGTGCACCCGGTATATAAATAGACGTCGCGTTATTTTCTTTGACGTTGTCCCCAGCCTGGACCTTGCTGATCGCTTCAGGATAGGGAGAGCCGGGAGCCTTGTCTTGGTGGAACACATGGCGAACGCCAAGTGTGAAGCCTTTCTAATTCCAAGTTGCGCTTTTCTCGCACGAACGTCACGTTGTTTCCCAGCCTAAGAAAATCCTAGAGGCGTATTCGATGGCTCGTTATGTGTCCCAGAATACGCTCCAGGAATTCGGATAATATTCCTGGAGATGCTCTAAGCACTAATCGAGGTTACCGAAGACGGCCTGTCGGAAGGACGCGCAAGGCAACCTCGATCGCATTCTACAGCCGGCGGAGCAATACGTAAATAAGATCAACTCGGCGGAGGAGCGCGCATCTCATCTGCCCGTCGCCCTAACCTAAAAGCTAAAACCTAAAACGGTCTACGACCGCCGTCCCTGCAATCCCGTGCGCGCGCGTGTTGCCGCCGCGTCGAGGTATGCATCGTCGTGTGCATCTCGTGGGTGTAGATCGGGCGCGACGGGAGAGGGGCGAGGGAGCGAGCAGCAGCCGAGCGTAGCCGAGCGCTGCCGGACGTCGTCGTCGTCGCCGTGTCGCTCAACATGGCCACCAGTTGGCGAGAGACCGCGTTCGCGAGAGTGTCGGGCGCGTTCCGCGTACGACTTTCCTCGGGCGGACCGTCAGATGTCGCCGCGCGTGCTTTGAAAGCGAGTCGGCGTGGTGACAATCCTCGGTTGCGCTACCAGCAGTCCTCGCGAGACTCGTAGAGGAGGTCCATTGGAGCTGACCGTGTCGTCGACAGTGGCGAACGGCCGCTGACGGCGGGGGGTGGAGGAGTGACCGGAGTAAAGCCGAGCGGAAGCGCGACGGGGGGACGGGATTAGCCGTGACACTGCCGGACAGTGCTTGCTTGCTGCACATCTCGACAGCGGCGGAAGCGAAGAGGCGCACACGACGGTCTCGGGGAAATGATGATGATCACGACGATCCGTCGTCGCCGATCGCACGTCGAAGCGTCGAAGCCGGAACAATCGTTGTTAGACGTCGCGACAACGTCCTCACGCTCGTCGTCGCGCGTGCAGCTCACTCCTGCCAATTAAACCGTCAATTGATCCGATCGAGTAGCAGTCCCCGCGGAGGGACGCGAAAAGATATCGTCAGCGGGGAGAAGGAGAAAAGCGAGGAATAGGAGAAAAAGGAGAAGAGAATTGAGAAGCCGCGCGATTTCGCGTTGTCCGACGAGACCGCCCGCGACCGCCTGACACTCTTCCGAGCGCGAACATCATGCGTCACTCGTAGAAGCAGAACCGACACCGTCGACCGAGACCACCACGACGAGATCGGCTTCGTTTAACGATCGGCGTAAAGGAAGCCGCGCCGCGAGAAAGACCGTCGTCGTCGTCAGCCTCTCGTCTCGTTTTAATTTTTCACCGCGCGGTGTGCCATTGTACTCGCCCCGTCGTGCGCTGGGAAAGAAAGAGAGAGAGAGAGAGAGAAAAAGTAATAAGTAAATAAGTATTCGCGCTCGCTCCCGCGTTGCAACTAACATTCGTCAGGAACAGACATTGCAGGCGTCACCGCAACCGCTGGCTCGCCACCTGACGAGAGTGCAACCGCCGCTCCTGAAAGCCCGTGCTCCCCTGCCGAGATCGCCGCACCACCGCCGGCATCCTCGGCCTCAGCAGCGCCGTCGAGCGAGCAGCAAGAGCAGCAACAGCCGCCGCAACAACAACAGCAGCAGCCGCTCTACCAGCAGCACAACACTCAGTACCAACAGCAGCAACGCGCAGCCGGGAGTGCCGCAGCCGCTGCACCGCACGTCGCCGAGGACAGTGGAGCCCCCTGTGAAATGCGGAGAACACCACCGCAAAATAAAGGTGAGTCCTCGCAGACGCGACACGTCTCGTGGTAATTACTGCTATTGAGGATTCCCCCCCTCTCTCTCTATCTATCTCTATCTCTACCTCTACCTCTACCTCTACCTCTACCTCTACCTCTACTTCCCTGTCTCCTATCTCTTCTCTTCTTTTCTCTTCTCTTCTCTTCTCTTTTTTCTCTTTTCTTTTCTCTCCTTTTTTGCCCTCCTCCGCTTTTTTCTTCCTCTCCTCGCTCTCGTTCGCTCGCCTTTTCGCGTTATCTCTCTTCGCGCTTATCTTTGTCTTTATATTCAAGAACCTTGTATATGTATATACATATATATCGCTCATGTTATGTCGCGTCACTCTACTTTTTATGATATTTTTAAACTAACGGTCGACTTTGTTCCTCCGTAACGTAGGCGCTCTAGTTTGTGAAATTACAATAGAGATAAATTTGAAACTATAACTCGGCGGAATGTTTAACGACCTGACCGGGGGAAAATAAATGCGGGGGCAATTGCCCGTCGCTTCTTCAGTCGGGAATAAGCGAGATTATAGTTATTAAAGGGGCAACACTGCGGCGTCGACAATCAGGTCAGTGTGTCGCGTTTGAATAATTACGAAACGGCAGATCTCCGCCGTCACTTTGCTGTCGCGTTGTCACGTCCGCGGGATTCAGCGGATTCACGCGAACGTGTTCGGTGCCAATCCGACTCGGTGCACCGAGCAGAGAGAGAGAGAGAGAGAGAGAGAGAGAGAGAGAGAGAGAGAGAGAGAGAGAGAGAGAGAGAGAGAGAGAGAGAGAGAGAGAGAGAGAGAGAGAGAGAGAGAGAGAGAGAGAGACCCTCTGCCAAAATGTTGGCACGCTGCTCTGCTAACACTTGACTGCGTGAGGTGGTGGCTGTTATTCGCGAGCGCTCCGGCGATTCGAATGGAGCGACGCGTCCCGATTTGAACTTGCGAGATTTCCGCGCGTACTTGAAAGATCGATCGCGCGATGCTCGAACGCACCTCGAAATTCGAACGGCACGATAGCGCCTCACGAACGAGGCCCTTTCTCGATTCGCACGATGAAGTCTACCGAGACGAGGAACGACGTCGGGGGCTGAACTGGAAATGACGAATGCGAGAAAACGAGACTGGTCTCCCCATATATGAGCGCGAGGTGATCACGGTAACTGCCTCCTCCTCTTCTCTTCTTCTTTTTCTTCTTCTTTTCTTCCTTTATACATCCGATTCGCGTGCTTCGCGAATTCCAACGTGAGCGGCCGAGTGTCGTCTCTCTGCAATGTTCAGAAGACTCCAAGTCTCACAAGTCACCGAGCGGCTAGAAGTGTCATCAGGAGCCGTCAGTGCGGCGATCTCGAGATCACGCATCTTCCTCCGTCGCACATTCACAAATAAATAGGGGGCTTTTGCAATTCCGTCTCTCAGATATGGTAAACGTAAATCGTGAACGTTATTCGCTCAGAAATAACGTCGCCATGTACGCGGCAGTATTCACGATCAACGTTTACGGTATCTGAAAGAGGGTATTGCAAAAACTCCCCATTCACGATTTACGTTTACCGTATTTGAGAGACGGTATTACAAAAACTCCCCAATTTTGGCTGAACGAAAAAATAGCCGTATTCTCCATCCTCCCTCTCCCCCCTCTCTCTCTCTCCCTCTCTCTCTCCCTCCCTCTCTCTCTCCCTCCCTCTCTCCCTCCCTCCCTCCCTCTCTCTCTCTCTCCCTCCCTCTCTCTCTCTCCCTCCCTCTCTCTCTCCCTCTCAGTCTTCACCGAAAACAGACGCGATCCGCCGCGGCGGCGGTGATCAGTGTAAGTGTAATAATAGCGAGCGTACGCAGAAACGCTTAATTAGGGATGACATTCTGAGGGAATGACGCGTGGAATCGCGTGCGTCGTGTTAACAGGCACCGCTCCGAGGCGCCTCCGGAGAGACGGAAGAAGCGGCGACACAGTCACGCATGAGCGAATGAGCGGCCGTCAAGGTGTAGCAGCTTCCTCTTCCCTCCCACGTGTTCTGCGTTGCTGTACATCTCGGTAGCATTGCTGACCGCGTGCTTATGCGCGCATTTCGTATAACGCTCTCCCTGCGTGAAGACGCGTCGGATTCGGCGGAGCCTCTCTCGTTGAACGACCACGTGGCTCGTCGCGTGTTCCACCTCGACTTGGCTTGGCTCGACTTGACTCTCTCTCTCTCTCTCTCTCTCTCTCTCTCTCTCTCTCTCTCTCTCTCTCTCTCTCTCTCTCTCTCTCTCTCTCTCTCACACGACTATGCGAACGGGCTATCGTCGTCGTCGTCGTCGCTGCCGCCGCCGCGTTGCGTTAGGCGTCATGTCGAGCTACTAAGACGCTGAAGGTAAACCTCGAAGAGGAACAACTCACCTCCTAGTCTTCGTTGGTGCGCGGAGGACGCTAGTGAGCGAGCGAGCGAGATAATACAAAGAGGCGAACGGCGACGAAGGAGGAGGAGAAGGAGGAAGAGCGAGCGCGCGGGTAAGGAAGGAAGGTGGCAAGGAGGGAGGAGGACGAGTCGACGAAGGAGGAGGTGGAGGAGGAAGGACCGAGAGAGGGAGAACGCTGACTGGCAAGTACGTGGGACACGTTTGCGCTCACTGGCTGCGTCCATCGACACCAGTAGGGTGATCGCACCTCCTGAAAGGGGTCTAAGCTCAGCTGCAGCGGAGAGCAACACACCATTTTGCGTGCCGCGTCGTGCGAGAGAGAAAGAGAACGAGCGAGCGAGCGATAGATCGCCGATATATTGCTGTGCTCGTAGTGTCCCCGAGATTAGCGAAAGATAGATCCTCCATCTCCGTCTCTCTTGCGGAGCCTCTTTTGGTGGTGATATCGGATCGGTTGATTACACCACTCGGCGTCCCGCGCATTTATACATTGTTATCAGTGAGATCGGATTCTCCTGCCGTTCGCTCGTTGTCGAGTTTTCGGCTTCCGTCGAGCCCGCGATCGTATCTGTCGCGCGACTGCGATTGATACGCCGAGGAGGTGCGGGCGAGCGAGCGAGCGAGTGAGCTGTGGCGAACGGCTGCGAAAAGTGCATTTAACGTCGCCCACGAGAGATCGTCGCAGTTAATGGCATTAAACGGCCCAGACTGCGGATACGATTCACGGCCTCTCCGCCAGCGATCCCGAGCGGCGCAATCTCGGTGAGTTCAATCTCTGCGATCCTCTCTCGCGGACGTGCACCACCGTGTCTCTCGCCGGGGAAATTGGAGACATACATCACACACGCGGCGCGGTGTCCGTCGCGCTCGCTTAAATCACACCTCTCAGCGTGACTTGAATCTTTACTCGCGGGCGAACGCTTGAACTCAGGTTCATCGACGCTGCTAGAAACGACCGTGAACCGCGCTCCGATGACGCGTATATTCTGGCCAATCTTCGCCGATCGGAAACCCACGTCGCACACGTGCGAGCTGCCGCGTCCCGAGAAACGTTCGTTCGTTCGTCGCGTGCACCGTGCGATTTAACACTTTCGATACTCGGAAGAGAAAAAGGAGAGAAGAATAGAGAGGGGGGAGGAGAGACACAGGTTCATCCATGACACATATTTGTTCCAGACTCTCTCTCTCTCTCTCTCTCTCTCTCTCTCTCTCTCTCTCTCTCTCTCTCTCTCTCTCTCTCTCTCTCTCTCTCTCTCTCTCTCTCTCTCTCTCTCCCCCTCCCTCTCCTCTCAGTGTATCTGGGATAGCTCTTTGGCTCTCGGAACGATATGCTAATCGTGGGTGATACGAGTCGCGAGGACCGTAAGAGGAAACGACGTCCACGTTCCACGAGGAGGTATTTCGCTCGACCTTGATTCTCTCTCTCTCTCTCTCTCTCTCTCTCTCTCGTAGCGCGCGCGCACGCGTTTCGTCATCTCGTCTGATTGACGATGGCTTGTAATCGATGCTACCATCGGCGCGACGGTGTCATTATAAATATGCACGCGCGTGAGCGAAGCGATAGTGTTTCTTTGTCATCACCCGTGAGTTCCCGGCTCCGATAAAAGGCACTCGATCATCATCGATCTCTCGCTGATGATGGCTCTTTAATCATTGCCGCGCATGATAAGCGCGATTAATTCGCGCTCACGTCGATATCGCGGAGGACTCTCTCTCTCTCTCTCTCTCCCTCTGGCTTCTATTTGACAACAGAGACCGGCACGCATCGCGCGATTTTCGCAAGGTCTCGTAACCATCACGCTTCGTGTGGAAACGTCTAATTTTGAGCGGAGAGGAGCTGAGCCAGCTCTTCTCCCTCTCTCGTGCTTTTATCTCGTCCCATGTTGCTCCGCTCCAGGTACACTCTCGCAGTTTCCACACTCGCCAGCGAAAGATCTCTTCTTCCGGCGAGATGTTGCCTGTCACGCTTTCGGCAAGTCAAGCACCTCCGAGAGCACCTCGAGAAAATCAAGTTGTCGACTCGTCGCAAAATTCCTCGCTCTCCCCTCTCTTTCGCTCCTTTAATGACGCGCGGATCTCCGTCGGATCGAAGGATCGGCGTCATTACGAACGACAGCGATATTTCGTAGGATTCAGCTTGACGTAATGCATCGAACTGCTGACGTTGGCGGCTGCCTCGGTCACGTTCCCGTGCAAAATTCGCGATAGATGCACTTGCGATACTCTTTGCTGGTGTCGATTAGCCGCGGTTATAATTTCGCAGCGATAATGCCGCGCGCTGACGTCATCGGACTCACCGAGCCAGGGGCCGATCGACGGCTGGCTTTCTTACCGTTTGCCTCCTCGCCGCCTGTACCGCCGCGACGAATTATCTCTCCATATATATATATATATATATATATATGTATCGCGGGCCGAAACACAAAAGTTAATGAACCTCCGTCGCGAGCGCGTCGCGGCGTCTCGACGAAATACTACGTTCTCGTTATCGCGCGCGTAGGAGAAAAAAAATCGCTCTCAAACCTGCCGAGGTCGTAACCCGAACGAATCGATTAAACGCCATTTGCAACGCCGCGCGATGAACATGTGTGTCTGTTCCGCCGTGTTCTCGCGTGATAATCACGAGAGACGCACGTTCAGGCCGAATGAACTTTTATCGCGTCGCTCTTAGACGCACGCCGTATTCGTGCGTTTGTCTTTGTCTGTTTTACTACGGGGTCAGAAGTCTTCAGATTTCGATTTGCTCATCGCGGAGAACGAGAATTCTCCCCCCCCCCTCTCTCTCTCTCTCTCTCTCTCTCTCTCTCTTACGAAGACCAAATTAACTTTGAATGCGACTCTAGAAATCCCCACTTCGACATAATTTACGCGATAATTTAACACGCCTCTGTCGATGCACAAATATCAAGACGCGCGTTTCGAACCTTCAGACGTGTAAAAGCGACGCGAAGCAGGTACACCGAGAGTCTTTGTTGTACGGCGACTTCCTACGATATAATGGAAGAAAATGTCCGAGACCGAGCAGTTGCTATAGCGTTCTCGCAGTGCCATATGTTGCAATGCTAGGTGCATCGATGGAAAGGTGAATAATTGCGCATTGACGGAAGGGTTAGCGAAGCCACGTCGAGGTGTTCCGCGGAGCGTGTGTGGCTCGCCAAGTCGTCCGCGTGAAATTCGCGATAAAAGAGGCTTCGACGGCCGCTCGCACGGCTGCGGCGGTGCTTCGCTCCAAAGGATTTCGAATTTCGCCGCGTTGTCGGGCCTGCGGAATTCGCAGCGCGGACGATCACCGTCGACGATGATTCACCGAACGAACGCGCGATACCCCGCGAGACAGTCTTGCTAAAGGAGATCGTTTCTTTAGCCGAGGCTGCGAGTCCCGGGATACGCGGCCGCGACGAGCGAATAAACCTCGGCTGGAAGAAAACAAACAGTCACGGCGTACATCTCCGCTCGGATTTGGAATTCCTCTTCTGCTGCGACGGAAATCGCGCATTCGCACACGCCATCGTCGTCGTTGTTGTCATGGTCGGTCGATAAATCGCCCCGGAGATTCGCCAGCCGACTCCGTTGAATTGTGTAAAAGACCGCTTTATCTGCAAACTGATTAGCGGTCGGTGCTGATAAATGAACACGTCTGATAGTCGTTAACGCATCGGCGATCCGCGCTTACGGAACGAATGGCGTGCAGGAAGTAGGAGGGTGATACGTAATATACATATGCGCGCGCACACACGTATTTTTCTCTTCCCTCCATATATTTAATTTCTGCAATTTCAACTCTCTTCCCCTCTCTTTTTTTCCTTGTCGACGACACAGTATAAAAACACGAATAATCTTGCCGGTAGTATTCTGCACAGTGGGACGCAAGAAGTTTCGAGTATGCTTCGCTCGGCACGAATCGGAGAGTTTCCACGCTTGTCCCCGGCAGCGCGACAGCACGCATTGAGGAGAAAAAAACGTTCGGTGTCTATGACTGTAATTCCACGTTGAAATAATTACAGAGAAACCTATTCCAGCGGAGTGAACGCTGCCACGCTTGTTGTCGACGATCTCGTGCGCGTATTACAGCTACTTCTACTTCTTTGTTACAGCGACAAAAAATGTGTATGCTTGGCATTGGAAAATGACCACAATGGCCGTAGTGTGTGATTAAAAATTTTTTCTTTCAGTGCGCGCTGCACACTGCGCGCGTATGTGTGTCGCTGTTTGCAGCCTGGCTAAAAACAATCTCCTGTTCCGCTTTCTGCGTTTTCGATTGAGGAAAATCTCATTACGGCCGACTCGTGTCGATCAACACGCTCTCGTCGGTACGACTTGTGTAAACTGCCGTTACATGATTTAATGCGCTTGGAATGTTATCGACGGCCGTCTATATACATTCCACGATAATCTACGGAATTCAATCCCTCCGCGAGTACTCCGTTTTCCCGTAGCAAGAGGAAAATCTCATAATAGCCGGATCGCGCTTCGCAAAAAACGATCCGCGCGAATTACGGGAAACGTCCGGCCGTCATTCCTCCTGCGACCCGACCTCGCCCACGGCTTGACATTTCCACAAGGAAGGTCGCGCGCGACAGGATGCGACAGTTCCACTTTGTTGACAATGCGCATGTTAATTTCGCCAGCAGAACTGCCCCATCTGTTTCCGTTTGGCGAGTGACTCTTGAACGCTCAACTAATTGGAAAGCGCTCGCGGCGACGACAACAACGACGACGACGACGGAGGTAGAGAACAACTGCGAAGCTTCATTGACCAGCGATTTGATTTATTTTGGGACGTTATCCATCAGCTCGCCGAGTCCCATTGGCACGATTCTCTGCCCGCGCGCGGAAAGAGAGGGGATGTTACGATCAATGACCAGGATCATAAAACTATTCCGACTCCAAACCCAAAATTACCTCGCCCGATGACACTCGGTGCACGGCTCTCCGTCGCTCGTGTGTTCGGCTATCTCGCGGCTCCCTCAACGTTGTGCGCCACGAGAGCTTCCGAGAAAGTAATTTCCCATAGGCATAACTAAAAGTCATTCTCCGTTCAATGCTCGCCGGGACGAGAGCCGAGGAAGACCTTACCAAGAAGCGCCTCGGTCCTCCTTTATATTCCCCGTATTCGCTATTTTTTTTTCTCCTCATATCTCACAATACCTTCCTTCCATCCACGCGTGTACTCAGAATATTCTCTCGAGAACTCACCTGGTGTCTCGCTTCTCTCTCGCTTCTCTTGTGCCATCAAGCGCGCGTTTTGCTACAAATTGACCCTGTGAAACATTCGTCGCGACAAAAACTCGCCTCATCTAATCGCTCCAATCTGCTTCCCGAACTTCAGTATACTTCCCTCTTGCGCCCTCGACACCCGCCGTGTCAACTTCGCGAAAACCGCGAAGAGTCCCTCCGATCAAGAGTTTTAATGGCACGCACGCCTTCCTGTAACGCGATCGGCCCCGGTAATGAATCGATCGCGGATCGGGGACCCCCACCCTCCACGAGGAACTCGTTTACCCAGAACTCCCCTTGATTAACGGCCCTGCCCCGGATGATTGCAGCCGCAGAGCATTCCCCTTTCTGGATATCTTGCCCTTTCTCTTTCTCTCGCTCCTCTTCTTCCACTCGTCCTCTCCACCTCCACCTTCTCGACTCTTCCTCCTCCTCGCTTTCGTACTTCTCTCTCTCTCTCTCTTTCTCTCTCTCTCTCTCTCTCTCTCTCTCTCTCTCTCTCTCTCTCTCTCCTACCCTGGCGCGCTTTGCACCACAGAGATGGTGTGTACGCTTTCGTAGAAAGCACTCCTCCCCCTGACACTCCTCCGCGCCTTGTTCCCGCGATTAACCGGTGCCTCGTTCTTTTTTGCAGTCGACAGATCGGGAACCGGGCAGTCTGGAAGCTCGCCGAGGGTGACGCTCCGCCTCAACCAGGTGCGAGGCACGAGGGATGAGAAGAAAGGAGGGGGTGCTGCGAACTCCCGTCAGGGCGGCATGAGCGCACAGGTATATACATGTATGCGTACACACACCTACGACAATGGCGACAACCGGTCGCGGAACTTCGCTCTCTGTACTTCGCGACAACAGCAAGCTTCGCTGTCGTATCTCGGAGGACCGGTCTTGAGCTGTTCTCTGCGGCGACCAGTTTGAGAACTGTTCTATGGTACCTCGGCGGTACCGTTCGCGCCACTGCTGTAATTACCGCGTGTCGTGACATTTTACAACGATGAGAGGCGGGATAATAGCGGGAGGATACGCACTGACTCAAATGATCGGAAACGTCGGAATAAAGTTGTCGAAGAACGGCTGCCACCGATGGGGTGATCGGCGTCGTTGAAAGCGCGCGCGTTACATGTGTTTGCCTACGGATTATCTCGGTTGATCCTCGTCATGGAATATTACGGAATCTCGATGAGATATGCAAAGCGACTTCTTTCATTTCGCCCGATTACCACCTTTCCACTTGTATCGAGAAACGGTGTCTGCACGCGTGGAGCGCGGCTTGTATTCGCGAGTTGCATGGTAACCGCGGTTCGAGCGGTTACGATTGAATCCCGTGAACGTTCAGCGGCATTAACATTTAGCTGTTTTCACGACCACACTCAGATCTGATAACACGTCACGTCGAGGATGACTGATAACAAAGAAGCGGGAAAGATCGGACGAAAACAAGAGATTATCACGCGCTGGTCACCCACGGTCGGCTTATAAACTTTAGACCTCGATGGATACCTTCTAACCGAACGACCTGTCCACAGGGTCAAGGCCAGATGGAGACTTCGTCGAAGACGCCGGCCAGCAGCGCGTCGTCGACGAGCGCGAATGCCGTTTCCGGCTCCGGCAGCACGTCCGGTAGCACATCGGCCTCATCTGCCGATAACAGTGACGTCTACGAGTTCAAGAGCTCAAAGGAACCGACACCGGTGAGGGGCGCGAGCTCGTCGCCGAATCCTAATCCGGACAAGGAGAAGGATGGTGGTAAGCCGTCGAGCGGGCCGCAAGGCAGCCAGGTGTCCGGCAGTAGCGGTGGTAACACGTCCATTGCAGCTAGCGGTTCGTCGACGTCCGTCAGCGAGACGTCGACGACGTCGTTGAGTACTGACGAGGCTGCTGCCGCTACTACGTCGCCGTCATCGAAGCGGTCCTTTGAGAGTGACAACACAGACGAGCAGGACGAGGAGAATCGCCGCAAGAAACGAAAGGACTCCGAGAACGCAAAGGAGAACACGAAGACGAACACTACGGGCAGGCAGAGCACGGGTAGAAATGCTGCTGGCGTCAACGAGAAGGTAAATGGAGTCTAGATTTGTTGGGTCTCCTTTTTCTCTGAAATCTTTTATCGTTAGCGCGTCGTCTCATAATGTACGACATGTGTCGCTTGCAGTGCGCCAAGTCCGGCAAGCAGGGATCCGGAACCGCATCCGGCAAGGGAAATCAAAACACGAACTCCATCAGCGCGGACAGGAAAAGCCCTAGTACCTCTTCGATGGCCAGCAGCCCGAAACCTTCGAGCACGCCCGGCTTGACAAGCACTAAGACCGGCACTCCGGCGTCGGCCGAGTCCGACGGCGAAGAAGATCGATCCAAGTGCTCGGACTCGAGTTCCGCTCCGAAAGTGCCGCCTCTAAAGATTGTTATTCCGCAAAGCACCGCGTCGGAACAAGAGCAGGGCAACAGAAATGGCAAGAATACGGCGAACAGAAGCCACCAGTTGCCATACGTGGTCGCCAGTTCGAACAGCAACGACTCAACGGACAAAGATCAGAGCCAGTCAGCTAGCGGAACGACCAGTCCTACAGAGGGTGGCGGTAGCGTAAAAACGGAGGACAAGAAGGACTTTAGTGGAGCTCTGCACGGGGAAGAGAGGTCGACTCATCACCAAAGGGTTCTGAGAAGTTCGCACAGGTAAGAAAGACATCTCTAAAGCCATGCCAATTATTTGGATTAGTTATTCACATGATTATTAACAATCGCACAATTATCTATGTACAATTATACACAATTATCTGTATTGACTTGTATCGCAAGTAAATGAAACAAGATGGAAGCTCTTCTAGAAAGAAGACATGCATTTTCAATTGCATTCAGTTGCTCTAGAGTTATGATTACTCAGAAACTTGAAACTGGTATGATTATAGAACCGGTAATGGCGGTAACGGCACTTCAACGCCAAAGGAAGCTACGCCTTCGTCGGGAAACGGGAATTATTCTAACTCGTCGCCTTTACCCGTCAACACCTCCGCAGATCGTTCGAACAACTCGTCGCCACAGCAAACGAGGCATCACTCACCGACGCCGGAGACAACCGGATCCGACGCTGGTAAATCCAATTCGTCGGAGTCCACGAGCACGGGAACAGTCTCAAAGTCTAGCGTAACCGTGGAGAAGTCGGAAAAGAGCACGGACACCGCTGGAAAGAGTCAGAAGGACAGTAATATAGAGGTCTCGGATAACTCTTCGAACAACGTCCCGTCGAATGCGGCGTCTAACGCAAGCACGCCGGCGCCGCCTGTCGAGCTTCATCCTAGGAAGAGAAAGATGAAGCCCAGCAAGGAGGCGCAGCAGGCTGCAGCGACCGCCGCCGCGAGTGAAGCGGCCGAGGCTACCAGCACGGGACCAGAAGTTCATCCGCACGATCAGCCCATCACCAACTGTTATCAGTTGTTTCTCAATATTAGAAAACAGGTGAAGGATCTCATGAGTCGTTAACGTAGACTAAACAGAACTCGAGGAGTCTCTCGAATCCAAAGTTACAAGATAAATATGTATTTTACAATCAAGGATAACTTATATTTTAGAATCGCGAACACATTTGCTGTACGGTTGCTCGATGAAACTGTAATCAACTTTATCATTTGCAAATTAACATTCGCAATATCTCTTGCAGATTGAGAGAAGACGGAAGGGTCTGTTCCCAGTTCAACCGAAACCTCCTCAAGGCTTCAAGGATTATCTGATGAATCGTTGTACATACGTGCTAGCTGGTAACGCGAAAGAACCAAATGTCAACCCACCGGTTGGCCTTCACGGAGCCATGAAGGATCTGTACATCGAGCAGGAAAAAGAACGGTATCATCTGAGAATGCAACACGTAGTCGAGAAGGAGAAACTGGTCCTGTCGGTGGAACAAGAGATTCTTCGGGTACATGGCAGAGCGGCTAGGGCGCTTGCCAATCAGTCCCTTCCTTTCTCCGTCTGCACGATCCTTAAAGACGAGGAGGTTTATAATGTCATCACCCCCGAGCAAGAAGAGAAAGATAGGAATGCGAGAAGCAGATACAACGGGAGATTATTCTTGAGTTGGCTGCAGGACGTGGATGACAAGTGGGAAAAGATTAAGGTAAATAAATAGAATAAAATTTGCACATTTATGAAGCAAAAGAACAAACGCTGATTTCAAGGAGAAGAAAGAATTTCGCGAGTATTACGCTAAGCCAGTTTTGTGGATTTATTATGATTCTCCATGTCGATTTCTAATCAATATGATATATGAAATTTATACATGTATTCGTTATTCTTGCTTGTCGTCATACTACGCTCGCGTATCTTATAATTAAGAATAAATTTCAGGAGGGCATGGTGATGAGACATCACAACGAAGCGGAGTCACTGCACGCTGTTCAGCGAATGCACTGGGAATGGAAGTTGAAGGAAGTCGGACTGTGCGAATCCAAGGCGACTCCTCAAATAGAAGACATTCACGTCCCGATAGTGCACGTATCAGACGACTTCGATTTATTACCAGCTTAGTGTACAATAATTGATAATATAATAATACTATTGTGTCCTGGTATCCTAGCCAGCTTTTCTCTCACGTCTTCGGGGCCTCGAAGATGGCGGCTTTAATCTGTGATCTCTTTGTCGATGTATGCACTGCTTCTATATATCGAGATTTGTATTATAAATATACAACTTCACCGCGACACAGTGAATTTTCTGGAAGAATTTCGCAAGTGCATATTACACGGTAATTTAAACATACTCGATACGTTAAGATTTCACTTCGTCCGGAATAGTGAACTTTGATTATATTGGAATTTCCAACTCGTTGAGTTTCTGTCTTGGACGATTTTAAAAGTCAAGCATTCGGACTGAGAAATTCCGTTTACTACTTCATATTCCATGTGACGCAGAAATCATTTATAGATGCATGTATATGTAATATTTGCATTTACAAATGATCTTTCAGAGCGTTGGTAAAATCTGCGTGTTTGTTTGTCGCGAATTACAACTCATTTAAAGCGCGTTTAGTGTAATAAAGGAAAGATAAATGATATTCTGAGGCTATTTTTGAAACGATTGCAAGTTTTACCAAGAGACACGGTAGCGATTTAATACTTGACAATGTAATCAGGCTTAGATTACACTACAATCGGAGATCAAAAGAGCACTTTTTAATGATGCTTCATTATGTTAACAGTCGAGACAATTAAGATTAGTCGTATGTATGATTTCTGCGGCGAAAGGATGTATGTAAGGTTAAGATATTGACAAAATTATTAACGGTATACACTTATTTGTGACGCAATTCTTTATGGAAAAAAAAGACTAATATTTAAACTTAACGCTAAAAGCTTTGAGATGAATAATAATAAACGATAGCGTGATGTCGGGAAACATCTCGAAAGTAGCTAAATTAAATTGAAGCCATATTGTAATCTCGCATTTATTTTTGAGTATTTTGTAAATAATTTTTACTTTTTCCAATTTGGATCCTTGATACAATTGCAGAAACCAAAAATATGACTGAAAAAGTGCACTCTTGATTTCTAAGTATAGTTTATGTTTAGTTAGAAAACTTTTGCATCAAATGTCCTAAATATTCGTTATTATTTCTTATGCATTAATTTTAAAGCAAGTAAAATCATAAACGATTGTTTACTGATATAGCTTGTCATTACATTGACAAATTTGCAGAATGAAGGAAGAGAGAGTACACACATCTTGTATCTTAACAATCCTAGTACTGTATTTCTCAGTACACAGTTTCCATATAGCATTACAATGTACATATTTTGTAATTAATAATTTGTAGAAAGGGAAGAGAACATTCAAAGATGTATAAAGTTTTTCATGTAAGAAGAAATCTATAAAATAAATAAAAAAAATGCTTTTGGATAATATCTGTCATGTTAATATAATAATCTCAATTATTACTTTTTATTTACATTATCTTGATTTTCTGTATTTATCGTGACTGTCTCATCAGCACTGTTAGTATTATTGTTACCTAATTTAAAATCTACTGGTTTATCATATCCCATTATCCTAATGTAATGACTGTGATCATGGAAAAATTTCTGCTCTAAGAACAAGGGTATACCCTTTATGATGCAATTTGTGAACATGCCAGTTACATCTGGTACAACTACATCTTTTGGTATAAATTTAATCTGAAATAGTTTGTTGTTAGAAAATACATCCATAATTAAAAAAAAATGCAACAGAATATATATAAATACCTTTTTTGTTCGAGCAAGCAAAGTGTAAGTATTTGCAATGTATTTGTCTTCATCCGGGATATAATACATGTATGTTACATATTTTTTAGTCACCCAATGCAATAATACAGGAGTAGTCACAGCAAAAAAGGTGATGGTTGCAAATATTCCTATGACAGCTCCTGTGTTACCACTCTCCACAGCTTTTGTGAAAACAAACGGTTGAAACGATAAACTACCTGCAGAAGTTAATAGAGAAAAAATCTTGAGACCTCTAATTCGTTTTGTTAGACTTCCATAATAGATTTCAATTATTTTCTTAGGAGCTTCGTGGTTATTCGTCGAAAAGCATCTCGCGTTATAAACCACAGGAGATCGCTGCAAAATTACAAGTTCTTGTTAACAGGAAATCATTATGTCATCTTACATAATTTAATTTTGTGACTAATTCGTCTTTATATGATTCAGGCAACTAACAATATTTATTCTAACCTTTGGATTACAATCGTTGTATGCGACACAGGTTAGGGTACGTCCCAAGTTGTTGAAGTCCTTGTACAAAAACTTCTGAGTAGCCATAAAAGTTCGCAAAATTAAAGTCATATCTAAAGATATATGTATCTTCGTAAATTATATATATCTTATAATTTTTATATAATGTTATAATGCGACGATAATATTCTTATACAGCGTCTTATAAAGTGATTGAGTAGAACTACTGGAAGAGTACAGCACGGCTGATCAATCGTTGAGTCGTACTACTACCGCAATTCGTCGATGTGTACGGTGGCGACTCGTAGCGGAGACTTGGAAACTAATTTTAGAAAATAATGGGTCTGATATTTCTCTAAACCCCTTATTTACTTGTTAAGATAAAGTGAATTCTATTGAATAAAATAAGTTTAATAATTACCATAGATCTCTTATTAGAGAAAAAAAGTTGAAAATAGAGTGAGAGAGCACGGAAAATAAAGATATCGCTATAATACTAAAAACCAATTATTTAGAATGCTCCTGGTAAAAAGAAAAATTTGAAAATAATCTTATTTTACATAATTCGACAAGTATTATTGCATGCAAATTTCTAAATTGCTCTAAAAATTTACGAAAAGCCTTTTTTTAGTCTCGGCAGAGAGAAACCTGGTCTCGGCTAAATTTTATAGAGGTCGGTAAATCTTTTTAAAATTTGAATTTTAGCCAAGACTCGAACCATAGTTTACTGGCTTCCATAGAATCTAATCGAGACTCAAACTATAATTTACGACATCCATATATTTAGTCAAGACTTAAACCATAATTTACCGGCCTCTATAAAATTTAGTCAAGATTCAAACTATCATTTATTATTTTCCAAAAGTTATAATCATTACGTTGGTTTAAAAAAAATATTAAGTATAAAGTCTGTTTCTTATTCTGTAAAACTTATATTTATAAACCTGTAATATTTATATAATAATAATTATAAACTTATAATTTATAAGGCAGAGAAAAAGCAGGTATTCTTAGACCCGTTATCTTAATAAAGGGTCTAAAATCAGGTGATTATATTAGGCCCGTTATTTTCGTAAATTATTTCCTGAAGTCTCCGCTACGAGTCGCCACTATATACACTAAAGATTTAGAGAAAATAGTACGACTCATTGGTGGGTCAGACAGCTTCATTTTGTGCTAAAGAAATGGACAATTTCAACGAGTTGTAACTTCGTTAAAAATAACAATAACGATATATTTCAAAATGTATTTTAAAGTTTGAGATCTTTATTTTTCAGGTATATTAAATTCATAACGTTACTATTGTTTATTACTGAGATATATTCAGTTAAATAAAGTGAGTAATGAAATTTTATCTTAGTTGTTTTTAAATTAGAAATTTATTTAAAAAAATATACAAAATGCATCTAAAAAAAGACCAAGGTTTCTATTCATTTTTTAGCAATCTGCATATGCTAATTGTTCATCTCTTATGAATACCAAAGCAAAATGGACCATTTTTAACGAATAATTTCATGATAAAAAATGTTATGAAACAATAAATATTGTTACTTTTAAGAAGCGTGTCAGATGATCATTTTAACTTAAAGATGTATTAGGTTGATAAAAGTACATAAGCAAATATGACATAATTCAATTTAATCAGCCCTTTTAAAGACTTTTCTCAAGTATTCTTGTACATATACTTCAAATATAATCTTAGGGGCAGATATCGTATGATGGAAACTTAGCCATATGCGGTTGCTGCATATCTACTAAGAAGTAAATAACACCAGCTAAACCTATAAAGATGAATGTTAAATATCAATTAGTCGATATATATTATATAAAATACTAATAAAATAATGAATATGCTTTCCAAATTTTTAATTTACCTTCAAATAAAGAGAAAGGTCTGTCAGGAGCTCGACACTGATGCGTTCCATAATGGAAACACCATTCAGCAAATCTACAGGCTCGATATAAATACTTGATGTCCTAACAGTATTGAAACGAATATTGAATAATTCTTGATTAAATTCAACTCTTGGTTAAATTTTGATTAAATATTGATTAAATCTAACATAGATATTAGTATTCGTAATGTAGATATTAATGTATATTATCTTTGGAATTTGAGATATAATCACAAAAAGTTCTCATCATACTAATTCGAGTCTTGGATATTCACCTACCGTTATTTAATATCTATTCAAGTATGAGAAATTGCAAGTCAAACCTGTGTATGTTGGAACAGATGAAGAAAGGCATAAGCATTTCCAGAAACACCATGACAGATGCTGTAACCTTTGGTTAGCAATCCTCTTTGCCATATTACCTCTGCACAACGTACTGCAGTATCAAGGAAGCTATTATCCTCAAATATCTGCAATATGAAATATTTTTGAATTTATCTCAAAATGTTATCTTGCAAATTACCTTATGGGCTAAACAAAACAATGATGACATTCCAGGTGCTCCATGACACCAATGCACCAACTTGTCAGAATGACTCTCCATGGAAGAGGGAAAGTTCCCAGAAGGAAATTGTAATCGTTGAAGGTAATAGAGTGATGGTTTTACGTAACTATTAATTTGTGCCTGTGTCAAGTACTGTCGTGCCTAAATAAAAACAAAGGAATGAAAATAATTAAATGAGAAGGGATAAGAACAATGATGACTTTGAAGACATTATTTTGTTAATGTTGTACCTGTAATAGTAAGTAGAGGATGCCTGCCAATCCATGAGCAGCACCAAGATATTCTGTTTGATGCCAAGAGTACATCAAAGGTGACTGACAATGATTTGAGGTAGCATAATATCTCCCAGAATTAATTATGGAAGTAGCAACCTATGGAAAATTTTCACATAGACTATTTTCTCTATCTTTCCCTTTTCTCTTATATAATACCTGCTTGATGATGTCAGGTTCTATAGGAGGTGGTGATACATTTGCATTTACAAGGAGCAAACCACTTAGATATCCAGCTCTTCCATATAGCAACTCATCTGGTAAATCACTACTGCTAGCATCATGCTTTTCTATAACATAAGTGGCTAAGGATTTCAGCCTAAAAATTGAAATTATTATTCTGTAGGATAACATATTTAATACATTTAAATTTCAACAAGACCTCCATGACATTCGATAATAAATTTGTTAAATAAAAAATAAGTTTTAAAGTACTGTGATATTAAGGATTTATGTACTTAAGGATCAATTGCTTAGCTTCCTCTTCTTTATGTTGTGAATGTAATATTACTGCTGTTAATGCCAAGGGTCCTACAACTCCAGTCAGAAATGTGATTTCATGTCTGCTTTTAAATTTTGTAACGCATCTTTCTAATAATTCTGTAGCTTTCTATGGAGAAAGATAACTAAACTGAGTCAATATTCAATTTTATATCAGAGAAAAATATACTAAATTTAACACGTACTTTGATGTATGCTACATCATTGAAATATTTTCCATAATGATAAAATGTATATGCAATTCCTGCTGATCCGGTATATATAGAATAATCATCTCTGCTAAGCCACATCCTTTCATTTTCTTCCAATATCTCCATCAGTCTTTTAGTTTCTGCGGTTAATACTGATTTAAATGCATCATGGATCTGAGAAATGATATAATTGTTTTTCTTGAAATTTTTCTTATCAAACAAATTTTATTAGATTATTAAATAGTAAAATTTAATCATACCATACTGCTGTCATTCACGACTATATTAAGATGGGCTGAACTGGCATAGTCGTCAAACTGATTCCTATAGTATCTATTAGAATCCATAATGCTCCAATTCCTGTAACATATATCACCTTCCAATATGGGAAAATGACAAGAATAAATAACAAATTAAGAGTTCTAAAAACATATATAAAAAAATAAAAATATAACAAAGATCATAACCACAGTGATAGTAAGATAACCTCCGATGATTAATACATATATAATAACCTCAAATGAAAACATACACAGCATCAATATCATCAGCAAATATATATTAGTCGGACAATAAAATCATCCACTCTGAAATGTTTCACAAGAATGCAGTCATAAAAAAATCATAACAAGGTAGTTGCGTATCTCAGTGAGTGCATGGAATTAGAATCTAGATTGAAAATAAAAACAGTGTTCAATCCGGGGTAATGAAAGATGGATTTTTTTGCGAGATAATACTTAAATCGGAGCATCCAGGCGCATAATCGTTTCATAGAACTTATTATTGTCTCATATAATCTCGAAAAAAAAAATATATATATATTGCTATATATATATACTGATTTCGATATTGATTTTTTCTAGTATAGCGAGCTGTACAACAACGATTTCGAAATCAATCGTTGCGTAGAAGCGGTTATTCGAGCCAATAAAACGCACTCTACAACTTCGGAATTAAGTACTTCGTTATTATAATTATTTATATACTAACGTGAATTGATTCAAGCTGATTTTTCTTATTGCCTTTAGCCTCGTCCACCAGGTCTTTGTTAGAGTTCTGTGTAGACTCATCACCTATCTGAATGTGTGCACGATACGGCAGTAACCAATCAACATCGCTCTGAAGCGACGGTTATGTTTGCGAGATATCTCGAATCTTTTTTCAAATTTCTAAGCCGGACGACGTGTACGCAACAGACATTCCATATGTTGCAGACACGAAAAATAGAGGTTATTAATCTACAAGTTACACATTTTTAATTATTTATGTATCCTTTCATCGAATTTATCCGGATGTTTCTCAAATCAGATTTTCTCACGTGTTGTAATTTCGCTTGTGTCTTTTTTGTGGCAAGTTACAGAGATGTGACAAGTATTCATTACATTTTATTATCATTTTTATATCATTCGATTAACTTTATTAATCAGATGATATAATTATCTTTCAGAAGGAAAGTCGAGCAACCAAGACCGCAATTTGCTGATTTGTTGTTGTATTGCTTCGGAACTAGTTCCACCGGCAGTTTTGTATTGCTCGACGCTGCAATTGTAGTCCCAAATGCACGATATGTTGCCTTCAAACACCTCGCTAAAACAGTTGTTTCTTGAGGTTACTTTTTTTCTCCCCTTCGACTACTTTCAATTTTCTTTTACCGTCGAGAACGTCTGCTGTACCTTATCGTTTTTAATTCTTGTAGAGTTAACTCTTGCAATGATATTCCTTTTGACTCGGCCAGGGCGACAGCCCTCCCAGCTAAATGGTGACTTTCCCTAAATGGTATCTAAATTGAAAATATTAATGTCTTGAAACGATAATCTCGAAGAATCTAACAACGGGTTATCAGATTAATTCCATACTATAATAACGAAATATTATGAATGTAAAGAATACTTACGCCTTTTCTCACAAGATAATATGCCATGTCGGTCGCGAGCATGTCGGACGTTAAAGAATTCTTACAATTATTTCTGTTTATTTTCAGAGTAGCCAGTGCTTTCTCGGCGATGTAGAACATCTGATACAATGTATCATACGTATGAAACACTGCCTCCTTATCCTCCTGAAGATCTTTGTTGTACGTTGATGGAATTCCCTTCAGTGTCGTCATGAAACCAATACACTAAAAATTGCAATTGAGCCAGTGAAGGTGAACAGCGCTGATTTTATCTCAGAGACATCTAAAATCTTTTTGCGACCTATATTCAAACGTAAAATTGAACATTGAACCCATTTGTACGAACCTTTCCTAATACAGTACCGGTTTTTCCGCGTATTAATTCCATACAGTCCGGATTACGCTTCTGGGGCATTAAACTGCTACCAGTGGAGTATTTGTCGGAGAATTGAACAAAATTAAATTCCCGAGTGCTGTAGATAATCAGATCTTCACAGAAACGGCTCAAATGCAGCGACGATAACGACGACCAGAATAGAAATTCAGCTTGGAGAAGACAAAACGAAATGAGGAGCAGAGATAAAAGATTTCAACATTTTATATAACGCAACAAGCCTTTGACTCTTGCAACACATACCAACAAAATCGCGATCGCCGACAGCGTGCATACTATTTTCTGTGACGTCGTCGAAATCAAGCTCCGCGGCCAGAGATCGACGGTCGATAGGAAACGGATTACCCGCTATCGCGCCGCTGCCGAGCGGCATGATGTTCACCCGTTTACGCACTTCCCGCAGCCTTTCGACATCTTGCTTCGCGTACCAAGCGTAGCTGCAAGATTCCAGAAAAGAAAATACGACAATAAGATCTGCGTGGATGAATAAAAGCCTAATAAATCTCTTAATGATAAGGAGTGTAAGGAGATTGCTCTACCTGAGTAACCACTGACTCCATCTTACAGGTTGTGCGCGTTGCATATGCGTGTATCCAGCCATCAGCACGTCTGCGTCCTGCTCCGCTCGAATTACAAGCACCTGCATTTTACAAAAACGACGCGTTATTTTCTGGAAAAGACAGCGAATCGAATTCAGATGAAGCTATGGGACAAGCTACCACTTCCTAATCATCATTAATACCTGCTCTCGAGTTACACAATGCAAGATGTACCGTTATCATTACCTCAACGAATCTTCTTAGTCTAAGCAGAAGTTTGTCGATGGATTTCCGAAGCCATAATTTCGTATCTGTCGCAGTTTGATCATTGCGACTCCTTCCGGTATGTAGCTTCTTCGCTATGTCACCAATTAACTCCTGTGTGTTCGTTAAACGTTTACTTACACTTCATTAATTTCAGCGAGAAAACAAGATAGACTGTGTGGTCGTGAACGTACCGATAGCCTTCGTTCATTGGCGCTGTGTATATCTTCGTCTTCCGGTTTCACGACAAACTCGCCATTTTCCCATTCAGTTTGCACCTGATTGAAAATTCATCTTTTTTATTCGACTTTCATTGTGCGTCCAATTATCAGGACAATGCAGAAGTTTTTTTACAAAATCAAATTACGAGAGAAAATGTCGAAGGATATGGCTTCGTACCTGTTTCAAAGCTGTGCTGATAGCTTGCGTCTCCTCCTGCGAGAGAAGTTTCGCCTCGCAGAGCGCGTTTGCGTAAGCTATACTTCCCTGAAGACACGTGAAGAGGTGTGCAAGATTCACTTAGATACTGAGATATTTTTTTACGATAATACTCACCTGTATATCTTCGGCGTACATCCGCTTATCGACGTCGATCGATGCGTTTAGACCGTGGAAGTCAGGGTCAACATCCTCGACGAATCGACCGCCCCACAGCTTCTGACTGGTCTTTGTTTCAACGCATATAAAATCAAGTAAATGTACAATCTACTTCTCAAACGTAGCAGTTATATTTCAAACATATAATTATACTGCGAATATTTTATTTCGAATAATTTCGAATTCATTGCGAATCAGTTTCAAATTGAAATCACTGTTGAGAGAGAAAGAGAGAGAGAGAGAGGAGGGGAGAGAGAGAGAGAGAGAGAGAGAGAGAGAGAGAGAGAGAGAGAGAGAGAGAGAGAGAGAGAGAGAGAGAGAGAGAGAGAGAGAGAGAGAGAGACAGAAAGAGAAAGAGCAACATCACTCCTCAAAAGACGCAATTTTTTTCTTTTCTATCAAAAGCCATACGCCACAAAGAAGCGAAAGAAATGTATCCGAGAGCATAGACAAAACGGGAATCTTAATTTTCTGTAAAATTTATTTTTTCAAACAAACTATCTTCTCGCTTACCCGCGAAGTAGCTCCATCCATTATTATCTATGCTTCGTAACGTCACTGCTACATCTGATGCTACATACGAGAGAGCATTGCGGTTTACGAAAGATTGTATATTCGTAAAAGGAAAGAAAAAAGCAATATCGTTATCGTTGAAGATAACGCTAGCATGCGTAAATTATACGGTCTATCGTTGGACGATTAATAAATCGAGAGAAATTTATAACGTATATTTAACATGTAACATTCTAAATGAGATTTTGCAATCTCTTGTCTAAATGACGCATGCTTTATAATAAGTAATAATTTTACAGTAGCCACGTCCCGTATATGTTAATTAATTAATTAAATAATTTGCAGAGCTATACAAATGTTTGCTATAAAAATGTTGGACTGTACGTTTCCTTCTTTCTTTGTTCATTGTAAATAGATTGCGGTTTTCTTGTTCCGCTCAGAACGCGATATTAATATAGACCATGATAAGTTTTATCGTTACTATTCCAGGGTGAACCAATTCGAAATGATTCACGTCGAATTATGCAGCAAGATACCTTCATCAACGCCAGTCGAGCCGCTACGTACATACAAGCAGCATTGACATTTTATTAACTCCGTGAATTCCATGAAAGGCGTATGGATTATCATTCAGTGATCTAGTAAAATTCTTTCACGTAAGTGAAAAATTCTCTCATTCTCTTTCCCCCTCATTGTTACGCATTGCTGAAATTGAAACCAAAATCGAGTACATTGTTAATATAACAGTGATCTAGCGTTAAATAAAATTAAATAACATTAGACTAAGCATCCGAGAATATTTTTCGAAAATTAACAATAAGTGAATCGACGAGATGAAAAGTATCACACAATTTTGGTAAAATTTTCTTTGCAATTTAAATGCGATCAGAACTTTGTTTTCCGAAGCATCGAATGCAGAAGCGATGCAAGCTTCACAAAAAGCTGTAAGAAGGAGTTTTAACTTATTGTAAGTAAATTTCGACCAAATTGAATTCGTGAGACTTCCGATTGCATCGGTTCAATTATCATAATCTATTAGTCTACTGTGAAAAGTTTCTATTATGATACGACGCAATCACTCCTTGCTTATCGTATGTGCACTATCTTATTACGTGTTCTAGCAATTGTTTTTAATTATTTGTGCTACCGAGAGATAATGTATAAAATATATATATATATATATATATGTATAAGAGATATAATCTTTTCCATTGATTCATTCGAATTATAAGAGATATCTTGAAATTTTTAAGCATCTGCCTTTGTGTAAAACAATTTAAAAGTTAGCGTACTTTGACCAAGTAAATCCTACGTCGTTTTACGTCTTACGTCTGAAAAGAAAGCTACATTTTACAGATTTTTGAAGATTGTTTCTTCAATATCCTCCGTTAATTTTAAATACCAGTTCCCCAACTCTAAACAAAAATCAAGTCGTCGAAATTATAAAATCATTATCATGATTCATTGATGATCCTATAAAACAAAGCAGAACCTCCATAAGATCACGAGATAATGAATCTTATAAATTCTTGAACAAATGTATCATTGACTTTATCACGGTTTATCTATCACAGATCTATATACAATATCTATATACATACGTACACATTATCAAAAAGTGGGAGACATGTTCCAACGTGATGTTTACGTTGGAAGAGTCATGCTCAATCATGTGTATTCTGGTGCCATTAGTGACGAGTGTCGTATCGATGTGTGGAGAATCGCGGAAGTGAAGAAAGAAAACGCGACAGAATGATGACCGAATCGTCCGATTCTGTCAAAATGGAGATATTCCAAAATCCTGAGGTAGAAAATTCAGTGGTGAAGTCCGTGTCCATTGATATGGAAGCGACCGAGGCCGGTATAGGGCAGAGTTCAGAGGAGTCCATCAATGCGGAAGTGGCCGAGGATGTTGTGGTGAAGAATACAGTTGATACGACTGATAAGAAGGCCAAACAGGAGAACAGCTTCGCTGCTAAGAAGACAGTGGCGCAGGGTATGATGGATGTCGCGCTCATCACAGCTAACGCGAATCAGTTGAGGTACTTGATCGAATACCAGCGTGGTAGCCCGACATTTTACTTCATCGTCATCCTGATCGCCATCAGTCTACTGTTACAGGTAATAATACAACAATGCCATGTGTTGGATCGAAAGGAATCAAAGGATTCTAATGCGAAAATTCAATTTTTGCGAGATCTCCGAGATCGGAGGTCTTTAATGATGCAAATTAAATTAGAATTTCCTTTCGTTCCTTCCTCTCCTCCTCGAGAGAAGAGCCGTTTTTACGATTTACGATTTACACTGAGTTACAAATATGACGGAGTCGTAATTGCTGTTAATTATTAGTCGTAATTAATTACTAAGCGACCTAAGAAAATCGCGCGAAAGGAGTAATAGTCGAGAATTTTGTATTTCTTCTTTTTTTCTCTTTTAGATCGCCGTTGGCGTCAGTTTGATCTTTAAGGGACGATTTGACTTGAAGGGCAAGTCGAAATCCCGCAAGGCTCAGATGATTAACAATTATGTTGTAGCAGCAGTTTTTCTAATCACGATCATTAATGTATTCATAGCTACGTTTAGTATTTCTGCTCCCACCATTCAACCGCTTCAAGTCGCACCTACGGCATCTAGTATATAAATGCTCCTTTGTCGCGAACGATATTATAATTACGTTTACGCATCTGTTTTTAATATTAATATTAATATTAACATAATAACGATAGAAATATGGCGTACAAAGAATATATAGGATTTCTAACGACTGATTTATAAAGTAAATTGAAATGACGAAAGTCAGCGATTTTATAACTTATTATAGACATGTTAATATGTAATTACTTTTGTTCTCGTATACGTGTAATACATATGTATATAATAGCAGCATAAATTATTTTATTTAAGATTTAGTCGACTGTGCCATTTAGCCATGTCTATTGAGAAGAACGTGATTAACAAATATGGGTGGTTTCGTAAAACCACTCATACATGGATCTCTTCCTTTCGAATAAATAAAATCTGTACGTAATTCTAAGATTTCATTTATTGTATAATATAACATAATATAATGTAACACGAACGACATGGATTACGATTCGTTTTTATCACATTGTTCACATCGTTTTGGAAGCAAATTCACAACAATGTGCGTAAAATAAGTTTTTTACAATAAGAAAACATAGTCGATAAGTTTTTAAACAAATAATTCTATCGCTACATAAAATTGTGCAACCGACACGACTAACCCTTTCAGTCACTAACAAATTTCATATTTATCTGCTCCAATCGTGAACAAGATAAAATTGATTTTTTAGAAATTATTTAGAGAAAGATGCGTGACCAATATGCGCATGAAATACAATAATAAAATCGCAAGAAATTTACATTGTACAAATATCTGGAAGGGTTGACGTCAGGTAAGTTAATTGTACAATATATGATAAGACTGAAAATATTTATCAGAAATAATTTTTAATCTATACTAATCTCGTGTCTCTCCCATAGAGAAAAATAGAAATTACAAAAAAAATGCTCTAGCATCTGTAAAATATATTTCGGTATCTCAGTGATAATTATATGATATTTAATCAGGCGGTAGTAAAGGAAAGAAACGTGATAGAATCTTTGATAACGATAAACGTTAACAGTAGTGTCTACGCGCAATATTGTCATTTTGCGTATATTACAAGTCTACCATATATCTTCACTTACATTGTTAGCAAAAATATTTTTTCGTTTTTAATAGAATCTGTGCATGCAATAACCTCAGCATGCGACTTAAACTAACTTTTAAGACTTATATATATGTATAGGTGTAAAAGTTTAGTATTAAATAAATAATAATATAAACATCATTTTTTAACATATGTTTAATGTTATTTGCATAACTCTATATAACAAGTTTAATTTTAAACGACAATGGCTCTGTTAAAGTTCTGAGTTCAAACTCGTTAGGAGCGGTTTCATCAACGTCCATTATCTTTAATCCGATTTTCTATCTTATCGTTCTTTTGTTTTTTTAATAATTACAAACAGACAAAGGCAGAATTAAATAATAGAATTAAATAATTACACGATTAATGCTAATCGTCGTTGATGAAACCAACTTATTTTTCGTTAATCATCACAAAATCATTCAGATACCTTACGCTATGCTTTCAATTTTAGCACGATATATTATTCACTCACTCATTATGCATTCACTGCAATTTTTGGAAATAACTCTAAATTTGATATAAAATAAAAATGGAAGTTGCCGTTTTACATGTTTTTAACACGTGCTATACATTGTTATAGTATATTAGAAACTTTTTACTTCTTCTTGGACTATCATTATTCTAATTACTCTAGAAAATACAGGATGTCACTTAAAATAATACGCGTTAGTTATACTGGGAGAATATTTTTTTCCGGATTTGATATAGAAAATAAATATTATTTCAAGATGAACGAAACATTGCGGATGAAACTAAATTAAGAAGAATGTTAATGTATACAAATCTTAGGCCAAATTTGTAACCGTATTTCTCTATTAATTTATATCTGATGTCTTAAAATCTCTCGACTGAGTATTTTACATTATAATTTGCTTGAAATAGGTATGATAAATTGTTTTTGATCATCAAGTTACGTGTATAACGCAACTATCAAAGAATTATTAAATCGCGTGCGCAAAATCTATTTTTTTTTGCAGCTTCAAGTGCTCTATTACTCACCTCGATATACGCAATTAAGAATTCCCTCTCAATTTTATAGTCTCATTAAGAATTTATTCACCAACAAACGCGAATTTAAATATCTTGCTATTTTATTATTGTTACAAATAACAAGTAGTATAAATTCTTCTATTATTTAAATGTAGTAGTAGTGACAAATTAGGTTTGCTAATTTGTGTATAAATCGGATATACATAGACGTACCAGTCAAAAAAACGTAAATATAGAAAGGAAAATATCGAAAACTTAGTTTAGATATTATGTGTGATATTGTGTGTATATAGAATATAATAAAATATAATAATATATTTTTTCTTGTGACTAGGATTTCTCCATAGCGGCAAAAGTATATTCTTGTGCCTCACTCACATTGTTCCTCCGACAACTTTTCTTTGCGTCCATATTCGGTCTCTACATGTAGCAATAAAGCACACGTAATTAAAAAAGCGGTATAAAATAACTTAAAATCATTAACCGCACCGAGCGATTATTCGGCAATTGAAATGATTGTTACATAAGCGATATTCAATCGAAGATTAGTCAACAATTTCTCCAAAAGAACTGGGCACACACAATCATAAATTGAATACTGAACATTTAAAATTGTGAATCCTGATTTTCCCTCAGCGCATAATCGTCACGTTCATATAGCTTGATATTATTGCTGTAAATGCGGCGAGTAGTACTTTTAACAATTTAACGGAGCAATGCTGATATCGAGCAATATACGTCGATTAGATCGGTATAAATTCCGCTGATATCAATCTATTTTCACTGCTCGTTCACACGTAGTTGTAGGTTTTGCAGAGAAATGTACAAGAAAGAAACATAAAGGTATTCACACTTTGTTAAATATTGAGGAACATTTTCAGTGCATATTACAATATTTATCTAAAATTAATTCGGCTCTATCTGTATGTTTACTATGGCCGGCACTGTAAAGTATAAAATATGAAAACTATTTCTCCCTATAATCTAAGATTTGTAACTTGTATATAAAAAATTTCGACTTTCCATTTGTTTTCATGTTCATTGACATACGACAATAATGAATTCGCGAATGAAGTATAAAATAGCTAAAGTGATACTCATTTGTATTTTTTATTATGTTCCTCGTTTATCTAAATTGTTTGGATAATGTAAATAGGGCAAATCAAGGAAAAATTTGTATGTCTAATTTTATTCTTCTCTAAAAAATAAAAACAATCTTATGAAATATCTCTCTCGATAATCACGCTCTATTCATTACGTATCGATAACTTCCTCTTCGGAAAATGATTAAGGTGAAATCCGCCCTTATATGCCTTGTTCATAGATAGTGTCTTTATTTTTAATGATATAGTAAAGTGGCTTCTTTCAAATACTTTTCTCTGTGAAAATTTTCACTTCTCTTTGGATATTAAATTTCATGATAATTTACATTACACATTTCATAGAGGCTAGCCCATTAATATCTTCATCGATAATACATTTATCACAGTAGTATGTTATTGTAGCCTTTTTTTAGTTATATTTTCATCTGAAATATCGTCGTGTGCCTCTATTAGTTACGGAGAATAAATATGATAAAGATGTGTAACAGTTTCTTTTCTTTCTGTTAGACTAAATCATGCAATCGGGACTTGTCAACTAACCCGGATTTAGTCGTCCCACTCGTCGTCGTCACTGGTATCACTAGTCGATTCCTCACTTTCACTGTGGATTGCACGAGATCGTTCAGCCAGAGCTCTGGATAACGCGTCGGCTAGACCGCCACGAAGCGTAGGTGCTGTGTTCGATTTCACTTCGTTCGGAACAGGCCTCAATTCGATGCCTTCGCGTATTTGTCGCAGTAAATCGCTTCTTGAATCCTCAACTGGTGCCGGTTTAGTTTCCGACTTGTTAACTTTCTGTAAGATACAAAATATAGACCAAATAAAAAAAAACTTATTAAAGAAATTAATTCTGCTAATCACATTAATCATACTAGTCAAAACTGAGAGTTTGAGCAAAGCAGAATAAGGAAAAGCTTACAAAGAGGTGTGATTTAGCAAGCATCTAAAGCACAAAATAAAGACAAGAAAAGAAAAATTTACTCTCAAAACAGAAATGTGTCTCCACATCGATACATACTCTCAAAGTCGTGCCACTTCTAATAGATTCCATGAGCATTGGCCTGAGATCTGCGACAGAATTCTCATTGTTGTTATTGTTAGTAGCGTTCGTATTGATTGTACTGTCGGTATTGCTCAGATCCGGCAGAGGTGGTGGTGGCGGTGGCGCAGGAACGTTCGAGTTGTTCCTTAAAGGTGGAGCCGGCGGTGGTGGAGGCGGAGGCGGAGGCAGAGTCGGCGCCGAGGTTATAGCAGGTGGAGGTGGTCTCAATGGCAATGTTCTGTGTACTGGCGGAGCAGTGGACGAGACACTGGAAGGTGCACTCGGAGGCAGGCTAGGAGGCACACTCGGTGATGCGGTGAGACGGTTCGGAGGTAATGGTGGAGCGCTGCGCGTCTGATGCTGAAAAAACCAAACGTGTTTTGTTCGCAATGCACAAGAACCGAGAAGAAAAGAAACGTATCACAAAGTTGCTAATGCTAATTAATGCGTATGTCGACAGACGTAACTTACAGGTATCGTACGTGCTGGGACAGGCGGAGGATATTCCTGTCTTTGCGGCAGTGCGGGAGGTTGATTGTTACTCTTCGCATTAGCCAACGGCCGAATATCCTCCTGTACAGCGCTCATACCACCATTTCTTTCGATAAAGTCGTAGATGAATTTCCGAGTGCCTTTGTCTTGGAGCTCGTGTTCCGACACGCCGGCATTGTTGAAGAACTGTTGCAGCTGTGAGTCCACGGAATCGAGTTCCAAGCCCTTGTTATTTACATCCCAGCCTAAGTGCGCCACGTGTCTACAGGAGATTAGATTCAGCATTATTGCCGGCTTGTATGTCAATATGTGCTCAAGTGAGTAAGAGACACGACAAGATAACGCTTAAATTCATACCTGAAATTAGAAGGAAGACTGATATCGTCCTTGGTCAACTTGCGCTTGAGGTCCTGCTCATTCTTCTTCTTCTTTGTTTTGTACATCGAACTGCTCGAGGCGCTTCGGTTAACGCCAACTGTGTTGGGCGCACCATTCAGCAAGTTACTCGAGGAGCCCGATGTAATAGTGAAGGGTAATAAGCTGCTTTGATTTTTCCAAGGCAATGTATTACTCGGCTGCGCTTCCTTCGCTCTCCTCTCCTGCCTTCTTTGACGTTTAGCATTTAATTTGCCAAGAAGTATGTTTCTATAACAAGACAGGTAATTCTCCTTATCATATATATATATATATATTTCTCAATCAATTTTATCCTGCCGTAGCAAGATGCTACCTTAATGTAATAGCCTCAGTCTCGCTTGCGAAATTGAACGCAGCCATACAGTCCTCCGCCTCGAATGTATGAAAATATGACATCGGCGCTTTATAATCCATCGAATTGTAGACTTCATGTTCCCACAGCATTGCTTTCCTTTGCAAGCAATATAATCGCAAAAAGAAACTGCGTCTTGGATTATCTCTTATTAGAGTTATAATACCTGTACTTTTCTTAACCCAATCCCTATGCAAGGGTGGCTCAGTCAAATATAATTGTATAACACCAGCTGCTAAACACTAAAACAGAAAATGAGCAAATTTTAAGAGAGACATATGTAAGGCTCATATTATCAAAACAATAAGAAAAATAAACTTTCTGATTAAGATTATATAAGTATTATCTCTGATAAGCAATCTCACAATAATATTACTGTTTTTTTCTTTTTTATTGTATAAAATAACATATGCTTATATAATGTGAAATAAATAAAATATATGGTTGTATTATTCCGCTCAATTATTCTACCCCAATAGATCGATAATGCTATAACAAGCATCATTTTGATATATTGAAATTTATATTTGATAAATAAAATAATGCTAAGTAACATTGTTAAATTATGAATTTAATTGCAAATGCAGGCTTAAATATATGCAACCAATATGCTATCATGCGATCATATGATATTTCAACTATACTTAGAATAAATCATATACTTCCACAGATTCATTTATGCATGAATTACAAATCGGATAACTACCCTGTATAATTGGTCATAACTAAAAAAAAAAGACTGAAGTTCGCGTCGTTTACTTCGGCGTAAATTTCACCTTGTCCTTCGATCTCGCATTCTTATCACGTCGAATCAACTTTTCAAAATTATACTATCGAACTGTATTTTGTCGAAAATGTATATATCTTGATTCAAGATACGCATCTTGACTTGAACCATGCATTCTTTTCTTCATTCTTTCGTTCACCGTTATTATAAGCTTATTCGTCATCAACAACTGTTATCAAGAATATCTCTGGATAATCAATCCAAAAAAGAACACTGGTATGCATAAGAGCATAGAACTAGAACAGAACTCGGGCGGATACCTCGAGAATTGCTCACACGAAATCATTAGCCAATGTATTAGTGTAGGTCAATGTCGAGACGCTGCTTATCGTCATCGTTATCGTCGTCGCCGTCAATGACCGCACGAGACAAGAGGAGGACGAGGCATCTCACCTGACATCGGTTTCCTATTAGTTGGAAGACCTGCTCGTTTTCCTCCGCTTTCAAGAGGATCGTGCCCCTGTGCTTGTCCGTATTGCCCGACTTCATGTTGTCGCAAGACGATGAGGAGGTTAGGTTAGGTTACCGTACGTGCTGGTCAGCTATCTCCCTAGTACGAGGCCGCTCCTTTTTTCGCACCTAACGCGTTCCCCTCGTCATCGTCATCATCAGCATCATCATTGTGTCACTACATTAGCGCGTCGTGTGGGTCGTGCGTACATGTATCCGTGTGCGCTCGCGTACGTATGTGCGTGCGGGCGTACGTACGTGCGTGCGTACGTCACGTAATTGCATGCACGCGTCACACAAGACCCCCGGCGAGACAGAGGAAGGAATAAATGAGGTCTTCCGATCTCGAACGGATGCACCACCCACTTCCGACCAGCAGCTGCGGCACCGCGCGAGAACGCTTCAGCGAGAAGTACGGAGATCGCGTGGACGAACTCAGCGAACAAACCCGACTCGAGATAACGATGACATTTCCTATCTATCCGGTCCGACGTTCCGCGTTTCTGCGTTTCTTCGTTCGACGCGTCCCATCGTGCGCGCGATTGGTCGGGCGAATCGACGATCGATAGTTATCTATCGACAGACGAACGGACATCGATTATCAACCTTTATCAGTACGATCCGACAGACGGAGCATTTGCTAATCTGCTAATTAATTAAAGAATTATCCTTCCCTGCTGCCTCGTCTCCGAGCAGTCATCGATAATGCATCTCTCCTCGGCGCTCACAACCGCATGTGTGATACGCAACATGCGCGCGGAGTATCGATATCACATAGTTCGGTATCGATGCCGAGGTATCGAGGTGTAATCTGTACGCCGCCGCCGCGAACGCGAACGAAACGCGGAGCGCGTCCGAGACAGCAGCGGTAACAGCAGCGGTAGCAGATGTGAACAGATGCGATATCAGCAGCGGCGGTGATCGGTGTCGTTCCACCTCCGCGCGCGCGCGAAAACGGGATCGTTGACAATGCTGTCGCGACAGTGACAATATCACGGTGATATCGTGGCGGCGGCAGCGGCGACGACGGCGACGGCGACGGCGACGGCGGTGATCGCGGCGAAGGCGGCGGTGGTTTTGCGCGTGTGTTTACCACTCCTGTGGTGTGTCGCGCAACCGAGAGCCTCCTCGGTCTCTCTTCGCGATTGTCCTCCGGCGGCCGCGAGGACAAACAACGAGCCGTGTTTATCGCGGGAAAAACGATGTCAGGATACCGTAAGGTGAACTATTACGAGCTGTGCAGACTGTGTACCAGCAGCGAGGGCAACATGATGAACATATTCCGCGATGAGGGCCGCAGGCGACAGTTGCAGACGAAAATACAGACGTACCTCCCGATACAGGTGAGCATTTCTCCGGGGGAACGCGCATCACTGCCGAGAAGAGCCTTGAGACGTTAGCCGGGCGGCCGGTGTGCGACCGTCGGCGCATGATAACCTCTATCTTGTCGATACAACATGTCGCAAACAATACGAGAGTCCGAGTCCGAGAGTCGGGAATTCTATGATGTGTTTGACAGATTTGCATTGTTCAGGGCGCTACCAGGCGCACCCGGTTTACCGCGCGAGAATTTCTCAGTAGACAATTAGCGAGATACGACAGCGTAATTATATAATTAACCTTTAATTGAATGACTTGTTTCGATTGCGTGACAGGTAGTCACCACAGATTTCTGTCCGTAATAAATATGTGTTGCCCTGTGTTTACCGTAGCGAGATTAGTCTCGATTATTCGGTTACTGTAGAAAAAAGCACTTGAAATTGACAAAGTTGATGTAATGAAGCATAATTTGTTGCATATTTACCTATATATTTATTTATCCTGTTAAAAACAAAGCGACACGGTAGTTTACAGAAATTTATTAGATTGCAAAAATAATGTGAAAACGCGCAATCCTGCCTTTTTCAGATAACAAAGCAGATAAAATCAACTATTTAAACAATATATATAATTGATATAAATTTTGTTAATTTACTTTTATTATATATTGCAAACATATATATCTAAATTGTTTCCACATAAACTTAATTTATATAAACATGATGCTTGGAGAAATTTGTAAAGTTTGAATTTTTCAAGTTAAGTTTTCAATTTATATTTTTTTATGCTTCTAATTAATATATAATTTAAACTACATAAACTACAATTTGATAACATTTGTATTAATTTTAAGGTTATGGAGGAGGATTCGTTACCGAAAATTGTATGCCATGAATGTGTCAAAAAACTGGAAAGCTTCATTGAATTCCGAGAAACTGTGGTTAATGCAGAGGGTATGTTGGAGTCCTATTTCACCTCACTTCGTTTTTCTGAAGATTTTCTGAAGGAAGGAAAAGTATATGTTAAAAATACGGAGAAAGAAAGACCATCCACACCTGAGGATGAAGTTTTAAAGTCAATAGAAAAAGTGCCAACACCAGGAGGAAGTCAAGTAATAAATAATGAGCAACAAATACAACATCAGCAATCAGTTGTAGTTGGCAATATAAATACTTCTAATATACAAATCATCGGTGGAATTCAAGCTAGAGTTCAGCAGTACAAATGTGCTATGCAGGTTTGTAATGAGTAAACAGTACTTTCAGTGTCAAAAGTAATAAATATGTATTATATCTTATATGCTATAAGTAAATTGCTCATCTACACCAAGAATAATAAGATATTTCTTGGGTTTAGATGCAATCAGGCAGTATGACAGCAGCTGTCGTTGAAACTACAGCAGAGGCTCATTACAATTATCAACAGCAGACATCTCAAGTCTCACCGCAACAATCAAACGAAGCACAAAATCAAATTGGCGGCGATCAGCAAAACCAACCTCCTGTGATTCAGCAGCAAACGCAGAACCAAATACAAAATCATAATCAAATTAATCAACAAGTGCAATCACAGAGGCCAATTTCCCAACAGTTGAGCCAACCTGCTCAGTTGCCCCAACAACAAAATCAGGGTCAAGTCAGTCAACAGCAAGACCAATCACAGATATCACAACAGCTCCAACAGTTGCAAAGGCAGCAACATGAATTTGAGAAGCAGCACAGACAACTTCAGCAACTCGAGAAACAACAAACGCAAATCGGGACGCAGCAAGAATTTCCAGTGAAGCAAGAAACACCTGCTGTACATCAAAACAATAATATAGTTCTTAAAACTGAAACAGACATGGAACCGACTCAACAAATACAGAATATACAATCCGAAGTCCAAAAGGATGAATCCCCTGACCCAAATGTACAAACGTATACAGCGGTACAAGCGGCGCCGGAAGTCTTTTTAAACTTGGGCTTCAAGGAAAGTCCAATGACCCCAACAGTTCGAGACGATGAGAAAGATTTTAAAGAGTATGCAAAAGCATCACCAGAGGACGGAATGTCTCGTAATTCGATTGACCAGATCAGAGAATTCCTGCGGCTTAGGTCAGGACCAGATTCATCACCTCTAATTGCTGTAAGTACTCAAGTAGTCTCAAGTAATCAGGCTGCAAGGAACGTTTGTCGCGATTGTGGTAAAAGCTTCTCTTCCTTAAGTCAAATGAACAGTCATAACTGTAATGTTGAGACGCTTATAAATGAACCATCGGACACCGGAAGCAAAGATGAATGCTCACAAACCAATCTGAACCCATTTAATTGTGACATCTGTGGTAAGCCGTTCAAACGGAAAGAACATCTCCTTCAACATCGAAAATTGCACACTGGTGAACGGCCATACGTGTGCACTACATGTGCAAAAGCATTCAGCCGTAAGGAACACTTGGTTAGACATTCAGTATCTCATACCGGACAAAAAATGCACGAATGTGAAATGTGTGGTAAAAGTTTTTCGCGCAAAGATAATCTACATAAACATCGAAAAACGCACGGTGTATCTGGTCCCTATATTTGCGAAACTTGTGGAAAATCATTTGTGGTGAAACATTATTACGTGATGCATGTAACTACACATGCAGCAGCTGCCTCGGACGGTTTAAATTGCCCAGACCCATTGCCGTACAAATGTGACATATGTCACAAAGCATTTTCCGTGAAACAATATCTCACTACGCATAAAATTAGACACAGATCGAAGAATAATAATAGCTCCGTGCAGAACAGTTTAAATGGGCATCAACAACAACAACAGCAGCAGCAGCCGCAGCCGCAGCAGCCGCCTCCGCCGCCGCTGCCGCCGCCGCCGCCACCGCCACCGCCGCCGCCGCCGCAGCAGCAGCAGCAGCAGCAGCAGCAGCAGCAAACGGACGCTGCAAGTAATGTAAACGTAGTAACGAATAATGTTGCCAATGCTGGAAATTTAAATAATAATGGACAATCTAATAATGAGACGACTGTCGAAATGCAGAGCGTTATAGAACGTAATGAGCAAGCCAATGAGTCATTTGCTAACAGTCAGTATCATACTAATATACAGGATTTTCAATGAGATAAGGGGAAGCGTGTCTATTATGTTCTCTTGCCAAATGGTAATAATCATAAGATCGTGGTTGTATAAGCAAGGGAAATTTTATGACGCGCCGAAGTATTTTCTTATATGGTTTTTCTCCCGATTGAATGATTTTTGTACTTTAATATTACAGCAAATAATTAAAGTGTGACTATCTTGGACAAATTAGATATTTTGATGTATAAATCGGGCAGAAAGTAGAGATTTGTTTAATGATTTAAGAACTTATTGAGCACAATGTTGTAAATATCATATGTTATATATAGAATGATTCTTAATTGCACGACAGTACCTCAAAAGATAAAGCTCTTGAAGTGTTGACGTAAAATTAACGATCATCCTGTATTTTGCCAACAAAAAATTACCTGTATGTGAATGCATGCTGTAGTTTCGGAATGGATGGTCACTTGTATTCAACATTTGAAAAATATGTGCTACTAACACACATATGGTTTGTCATAAAAGTAATAGGATAGATCCTTGAAAAGGCAATATGCCAAAACTGAATGTCAAAATTAAATATCAATGCGATTAAGTACGACTTAAACACAATTACACAAACTGTATAAAATTCGCGAGCTCAGACCAATATAATTTTTATTTCAGTAAAATATCCTGATATATATTGGTCTTATCTTTATCTATTATCTTTGTGACAGACCATATATCTATGGAAACATAGTCATAAGATTGTTCCAATTATTGACCAGAATGATTTCGTCAATATGCTTCCATCGATATATTAAATTAATAACAATTGATTATGAAAAACATCCACCAACATGGTATCAAATTTTCAACATGTATGTACCAAGTCCTCATTCGAATAACATCTTTACCATTATCTAAAAAGAAAGAAAGAAAAAAAAACAATTATAACAACTATGTATGAATCCTATATTTGTTAAATCAGTAATTGCAACAATCTGTGACCATTTTGAGAAGACATTTCAGAAACATATGATTTTTATGTATGCTTAGGATACAGAACAAAAACTAAGACCAAAGAAATCTATATATTATGTATAAAATGGATAAATAATTATTAAATAGAAATATATAGATAAAAGAGGGATGGGACCGGAGGTTTGCTAACTTGGCTAACTGTGTTGTGATTCGAGAAATTAGATATATATATATCGTGTAGTATACATTATTAATCTACAAAACGGCTTTTAATTTGCAGTTGTCGATAAAAAATGTGCCATAGCATGGTCTCTGGAAGTGAAAAATATATATGTATAGATATATATATATATATATATATAGTTACATGAATACACATATGATTCATTAGATTTTTAGTATGCTACTGACCAAAAGCAAAGAGAAATTGTGCTAATCGTCGCATTTCTCCAATCGTACTCGCTTACATGTCATATTATGATTAAGTAGTACCTCTTACCCTAATTTATATCTTCGAAATAAACATTTATTTAGCTAATAAGATTATACATAGGGGGCATGTATGGTCTTTATGTGTGAAGGTCATATATATATTATGTAATTTTTAGATTTGGATACTTTCTCTATACAAGCAAAAATTCAAAAATATTTGATATTTAATAGTTATTTTAGTATTATATTTATACATATGTAATGTGAAATGTTCTTCGGAAGTTTATAGGCCATATTCACATATCCACATTTGGCAATATATATCCGATAGGAAGATCGCATTATGTTCTAAGCTAAGCTAAGAATTGTATATGGATATATTTAATGTGGAATGTGAATGTGCGCCCATTTCCAAATTATTGTTATTGGGCGATAAGGTCTAGGTATTAAACATTAATTACTTCTACATTTAGCATTACGGTATAACAATGAAAAATGTATTTTATATAGGATCTGGAAAGATCTATTTTATTGTGAATTTTGTTAGAAAAATGTTAATTCTTCAATGAGTCATTAGTATGTTAGGATTAGTATGTTTTATATATAAAACTGAGATAGTTATCTTTATACATTGACTTTCTTTATTATTTGTTAATACGTTTCTTACTCAAAAGATTTCTTTTATAGCAACTGTACATTTTAACAAAAGAGTACCGAATTTTAAAGATCTTCAACAGTACAAAGAATTAATTTTGTTTAGTGCTTAGATATTTTGTTATAATGCAGTTCTTGTACATATTGAAGCAGAAGTGATGAGTTTAAGACTGTATCTCTATATCACCAGATTTAGGTGTGTGTTGGAAGTATATAGATCTATAATGATGTATATATAATGCGGTCCAGTATATAAGACAAGAAAACTGTTAATATACTGTTTCTAACATGATAATATTTTCTGCGCATGGAAATGCCTGTATTGATTTTAACTCGTACGAATCAGAAATCGTATCCAAAGACACAGCAATTTTATTAGTTTAAACAGAGGAATTATTTTAGATAAGTTGTGCTTATTACGCCAAGTACACATAGTCCATTCATTGACTAAAGACTCAATTGTAAACTCAAATATAAATTTTTATCAACAGCCCCCTGCCTTGTATCAGTATAATAAAAGAACGCAATTTTTCTTAAGAATACAGTAATGTCATTATTTTGGAATATTGAACAATATGTTGTAGCAAGATCTTATTTTGTATTGTGAATACATCCTTGATCCTTGTCTTCCTAGAAATCGAGTTAAAGCTTAAAAACAGCACTCTGTAAGTATTTTTATATATTATTTGTTAATTATATATTATTTATTATTTGTTAAAAAATTCCGTCATAAATTTCTATTCATGTTATACATTCAATACTTATTTTAGTACAGTTCATATTTGAAAACCGGAAGTTGTCGGTAATATGCTGTGTTTACTCGATTATCGGGATACTTTGCTTGATGTACTAGTTCTCACAGAATCGCTGGTCGGTCTATTGGCTCCTGCGAATAAAATATAGCAAGAAATGACACATTACCCAATCAGATTACGTTCTTACGGAAAAACTTCAAGTTGATTGAAAACTGTATGGTTCCTAGCCATGTCGCGTATAGGAGTTTATAATCGAACGTAACGATATCCAAGCACAGTGCGTTCGATCCGGAAGTGCTCAACTTCACATATGAAGACATATACAACGCCAAGTGTACAAAGTTAAAAGAATTGACTTTGACAGGAACACTTTGTGCTAAACGTAAATTTACGAATTCTTACCGAAAAGATCACAAGGTAAGATTTATGATAATTTAAATACTGTACACAGAAATTTACTAGCGAATGTATAATTTTGTGGTTATGTTTTCACGTCGAATACTACTTTTCGTTTACTTCACAATACCTTATGTCTCAAACGTTGTAAGTAGAATCTTGCATGACTATTTGAATCAAACTGTTTGTTTATAGTTATGTTTACATAACATAAAATTCTAGATCTAGTGAAGAAAATGTAACAGCGATTTACAGTCAGTCTCGTACTGCTGTTTGACTTTTGTTTATAATAATAAATCTATAAAATTGCGATATTTTTTCGATAACGATATTTTTATTTACATGATGAAACATCACTCATTAAACCCCTTTTTTGATATGAATATGTAATTTACTTTTTATGCAAATAAGACTAGTTGGACATAAACAAAAACAGGTTAGTACAAGAATAATTCCTTCATGCAGAAAACTGAAAAACCCAAAAGTTTCCATCATTTGTGCATATGGTTGGTAGAAATTTTCTCACTATCTCTAGATTTCAGGCAGAGAAAGTAAGTTGCACTTTTTGCCATTAGAGTGTAAAATAAATATATAAACTCACATTGAAGAGAAAAGAAACAAAGTTTCAGTGCAACACTAGTTTAGTTAAAAAGAATAAACCTAGTGATTATTCAGCAGTCAAGATTAGACCGTGGAGTGCAGTGAACAAAATTTTCTTTGTGCTTTAGTATCATCTCATGTCTCTTTCTCCTTTGTTCCATATAAGAATATCTTTGGTTGATTATATTCAGTTTCAGTAGGCAAATATGCAAAAGGATTTACAATTTCTTCATAATGAAGACTCTTCAATACGTTCAGATATTTGTCATATGTAAATATAATAGTTTTTATTTAAAAAAGAAATCATGTTTGAAAAATATTAAATTTTAAACAAAGGTTTCATCAAGTTTAAAATTATTATTTAAACTTTTTATATAAACCACTTTTTGTTGTATTATCAGCTTGATATTAACAAAATCAATCAAACAATATAATTAAATAGTATTCTTCCTTTATGTATTATAAGTTCTTTAAAGTTGTTTGTGTTTATTTTCACTTATAGGTGCAAGAGGAAATTAAAAATGAAACGGAGCAAGTCCCTTTCTCCTGAACCATCCAGCAGTAGAGATACAAAACGTGTGAGGCTTGAAGAAACTACAGAAATAAATGATATAACATCCTGTCCACATATTCTTGACTTTTCAGATGATGTTTTGCTCAATATATTGAAATACTTGAATCCACAAGATCTCCTGGCAGTTAGTTTGTGAGTTGCATATAAATGCATTATACTTTTTGTATTGCTTTTCTTATTCTATAATTAATTTCTTTACATTATATAGATGTTGTCAGAGATTTGCACAAGTAGCACAAGATAGAACTCTATGGAGAAAAGTTGATTTTCGGTCAAAGCCAATGCTTTTAGATGATTTAAAACAATACATGAAGTTCCTCCAACCTATGACAACAAGTTTGTCAATACGTGGCAATTTATTTTCTGGCAAAGACTCAGCTCTCGCACAAAACTTCTTTAATAAAATAAGGACATTATGCAATCAGCTCAAAGAATTGATTATTGAAGAGTATTACATCAATGGAGATAAGGTATTGCATTATAGAAATCATCTAATATATTTATACCTTAAAGAAGTCTTATAATTAATACTTTGGCTTCCAATTTTAACATATATATTTTTTCTTAAGAAAAATACTTAATCAATTATAATATAATTATTACAGATTCAAGTGACGGACTTCCCACCTACTATTGAAAAGCTTTCGTTAGAAGGTTGCAAAATGAACTATTTGCAGAGTACCAGATCTTATTTTTTTAAAATGGATCTTCACATGCCTAATTTGTCGGTAAATTAATATTTTCTTTTATATTTACAATTATATATATATATATATATATATATCTTATTATGAACAAATTTTGTACATATATATGTTATTACTGTATTTTTTTTTTCTTTATAACTTTTCTATACTTTTTCTCTATTGTGGTAATTTGTGTATTATTGTCAATATTATAAATATTTAATGCTATTTTCAGTGCTTAATTTTGAGTAATTGCCAATGGTTTACACCACATTCCTTACTGGTTATTAGTAAAATACCAAAACTTAAAGAACTCAGACTGAATTCATGTCACCGTCTGGGCGAGTGTCTTGCATATGCTAGTCTAGCGACCAGATTTGGATTTAAAACATTAGAGGTAGAATATTTTTTCATTCATACAATAAATGCCACATATACTTTGCTGATATAAAGGCACTTTATAAGATGCTTTATCTTCCCAGATTTTAGATTTACGGGATACAGCACTTGGTGATAGTGAAGTCGGTTGTTTTAGTAGTACTAAGACTTTAACACACTTATATCTGGAGTGTCCTTACACATTAAGAAATGAGGAATCACCCGAGATTGTACAAGCCGAGATCGTACAACCTGAGATCGTACAACAACGGCAGCAACGACAGGCTTTACAACCTATTTATCGAGATGGCATTTTGGATCAGGTATTTACTAATTTTAAGCACATTACTGACATTCTTCATCCGATTTTTAATATACTTAATATTTTAAAAATAATATGTTCTGTCTCAGTATCTAGTTCCAGTTGATGATGGAATATCTTTCGACAACTACAATCTTCAACGATGTTTGATATCAGACAGAGCAATTTGTGCACTTGGAAGTGATACCTGCGACAGAAGAGTGATAAATAATTATCCACACGGAATGATGATATTAGAAGAAGATAAACGAATATTTAATAATCCAAATCTTAAAACACTAGTCGTTAGGTGAGTCAATTCAGAGAATATCAAGAATCTTAAAAGATTTTAATGAGCAAATAATATATCTAAACTTTTCTTTTTCCTTTTAGAAATTATCCGCGTGTAACGAATTCGAGTCTCATTCATTTAGCCATAAATGCACCAAGTTTGGAATATTTGGATGTAACTGGTACTTCTGTGACAAGGGCTGGTATCTATTGCTTTAAAGCACGAAAACCTAATATTCGGGTCGTTTCATCGTTCGGTGAAGTATAGTTGACACAATTAATAAATTAGAGATTAATGAGTATTTATTATTATTTTCATTAAAGTGGATACATGCTATGCTTCGCAATTAAGATTCATCTGTATGAATTAGTCTTTAAACTAATTCGGAGATTCAAAAATAATTTTGATTCATGAAGTATGTGCAATTAAACAAAGAAGTAAAATTATCTGATGGCATCTGCTTTTTTACAGGGATTCTTTAATAGCATTATTATAAAAGATATAGATAAAAATGTATGAATGATTATAATCTACATTATCATTATATTATTATGATCTACACTATAATTATTACTATGATCTACACTGTGTGTAGATTAATATTTTAATTTAGGCACGATTGCGATCCAAGTATACACGTAAAATGTAGAACATTTAATATACTTATATACGAGATGCGAGTGTAACTTTGTGTAAATATTATATCATTATATATATTTGTTAAATTTTATGTTACTTTTAAGTTTTTACATTATCGTGCAACATGCAAACAAATTGTGTATATTATATATATTAGATTTTTGTGGACAGAAAGAAAGTGGAGAAAAGATATACATACATAATAACGTATAACCAGTATTTAAAATCTTTTTAAATGCAAAAGTAGTACATTAAATGAATTTTTACATCTGCATATTATATTACTATTGGATGAAAGTTGAATGTGTAAACTCATATATAACTTGGACTTTCTGTAAAAAGAATGTTTTGACCTATATTTTTGCAAGCATAATTTTATTACAAATGGAGTATGAAATAATGACTCTGTATGGGCAGGAATGAGAACGAATTCTATCGATTAACGCTTCGATTCTTCTTACAAACTTCATTTTTATTGAAGAAAAACACAAACTTATATAAAATAAATGTCTTTAAAAAAAAACTGACTAACATACCATGGACATCTGTTAACTGAAACAATATAGTATCTGAGGCACTGAGGCATCATATAAGAGAGAATAAAACTGTGTAATATTGTTTGTCTTAACCAAAATAAAATGAACTGTACAGAGTGTTTCATACTTTAGAGATTTCATGATACATGGCCACTAACATATGGTTTACTGCAGTATACTGGAATACATATAAAATTCCAGAGTACTAAAATATATACAGATACTTTGATGGTATTAATTACTAATTCTATGTTATTCTATTACAACAACTTTGTTACCCTACATTACTCTATAACAACATTTATTCTGTAATATATATTTGTTTATACATTAATTTTTTCTATGTCACAACTTCGAGTATAATTATGGCCTTGTTCTACTAGAAACAAATCTGCAATACACATGTCTTTATTAAAAATATTTGCGAGAAATTACTTATATTTGTTTGAATTATTATGGATAAAAGTAATAACAACTACACAACGAACTGTCTATCAGTCAACTGTTAATTTGACCAATATTTAACATAATTGACGTGTTATACTTTAGACAGTTAACCATTTAAGAATGTACGTCTTCAGAAATATTTGCATTGCACGAAAGCATATTTTATATATATGTGCTGTAAGAATATAAATTAAATATTTAAGATTAATATAATTTGGAAAAATATCTAAATCAATTTATTTTCAAGGAGGAAAAATCACTTTTACATAAATGTATCAGTCACGGAATTCGCAATTGCTGCGATAATTTCACAGGGAAACGCAAAACTTCTAACATACTTTCTGAAATACCTAACAGCAAAATGGAATACTGTGATATAAATGATAGCATACGTTTAATTGTCGACTATAAAGAATCATTTATCACAACTATTGGTTGCCTTCTACCAGCAGGTTCAATGTTTGAGAAGTTTAAGGAACGTGGTAGTGCGTTATTTTTGGAGCACGTATTATTCCAAGTAAAATATTTATTCGCAAGGAAAATTGACGATATGTTTATATTATTAATAATATAAAAATATCGTGTATAATCATACACGAAAAGAATAGACTATATGTATATAATATATATTTTTTATTTATTTTTAAATTTTATTCAAGTGTAGAAAAGTAAAAAAGAAATTAATGTAATGATCATTTCTATCTAATTGCGCAATGAACATATCTAAATAAATTATGGTAATAGCAAACAACTCAAAGGAGCGGGCAACAGATTGAAAAAAAGTTACAGGAAATTGGTGGAACATTAATAGCAAACGCGATGCGAGATATATTTGTATTTTATGGGACAGCACCTTCTTGTAATGCTAGCAAACTTGCAGAGCTATTAGTTGATGTTGCTATGAATACTGTTATATGTATGTTATTATTGAAATTAAATTTTTCTTGTTATTTAAAAATAGTCTAAGTAAAATACAAAGAAAAAAATTGTTATTTCAGGTAATAACGACGTTGAATTAGCAAAATGTAGAATACTTAAGCAACTTTGTAAAATAGGATCTAATCCAGAACAAGTTATAATGGATTATCTTCCAAATATTGCATACCAAGATACTGCGCTGTCTAAAAGTGTATTTCCTGAGAGTCGCATAATTAAGTAATTATGAAACATTTGCTATTAATTATAAATTTATAACCATATAATTATACTATTGTGACAAATATGTAAGTCCCTTGTTTTAGTAACATTTATTACCAATTCACATTATTAATATACAGAGATTTTAAAACCGAATATTTAGTGAGCTTTAAAAATCGTATGTTTAATTCATACTTTATGACTATGATTTGTTCTGGTGCAATCACTTTAAATGAGTTACAAAAAATTGCATGCAAATACATTACTGAAAGTACACAGGAGATAAAAACTTCTAGTTGTAAACTGAATTCATTTCCAGGCTTAAAGCAATTACGTTTTTCAGGTAAAAATATAATATACTCTGATACTAGTATATTATATATTATATATTATGAATTATAAATTAACAGGTGCTGAATTACGATTCAGAGATGATGATGAAGAATTAGGATATGTAGCTATAGGATTTGAAGGACCCACTTTTTCTAAATCTGAAGATCGCTATGCTTTTGAAGTAGCTAAAGAGATTATAGGCACATGGGATATGACACATGGTAAGTAAAATATGACAATTATGTTCATGAATGTGAAATTAAAAGTGATACAAATTAAATGCAATTTCTCTACCTTGATTTCATTGCAGGTGGAGCAAATCATAATGCTCCATATCTTGCACACAGTGCATTCAACACAAATATGTGTTATTCGTATAAATCATTTATTCTAGACTATGCTTGCAATAGCATATGGGGTTGTTATTTTGTTTGTAATAAGTTAAAACTTGATGTATGTACATCCTGATACAATCAAATTATCTTTATATTATTCAAACAAGAAAGAAATAAAGGTAATAATACATGGAATATTAATATAGGACATGGTTTCCATGTTGCTGCACGAATGGAGAAGACTGAGTACAACAATTACTGGCATGGAAGTGCAACGTGCTGTAAATAAATGCATGTTTCATGAATTGATGAAACTGAATGATCCAGTGAATCGTTTCTTTGATATAGTCAATTGTCTCTACTTACGTGATTGTTATGAGCCCATGAATGACAGACTCACGGGATATAAAGTATGCTGATAAAATTAATTAATGTAATATACTTCTTTTGGGGATGAAACTATAACTATTATCATTTATAGAAGATTACAACGAATACAATACGGGAAGTTGCCAGTAAATACATACACGACCAGTCCCCTGTAGTCGTAGCACTTGGACGCATCGAAAATTTAACGGATTATAATACTATACAACGTGGAACATACTCATTTTGCTATTAACTCATTTTCGAACACTTCATCGACGGATGATATTTCCACAATAAAAAAAGTTACTATAATTATTGTAATTGATGATAACCTGTCCAGAGAGAAAATTCTGTAACGACCAATGTCAAAATTAAGAAATAAAGCGGCATTTCTAATAGGAGTCTCGCGTAATTATTGGATGATTGCATAAGTTCATGCCCGATTTAAAGATAAACTTCAATAGGATAAATTTAAAAAAATATAGTTTTATTAATTAATTATATAGTCTCCATTCTTCTCTACAATTGTTTTCCAACGATCTACAAGCTTGTCGATTCCATTTTTGAAGGAAGAGCTTGGTTTTTCTTGAAAAAAGTTCGTGAGGTGGTTTTCGACAGCTTTCTCGGACTTAAGATTTTCGCCATTTAAACTATTCTGTAAAGACCGGAACAGATGAAAATCTGAAGGCGTAATATCTGGAGAATATAGTGGGTGCTGGAGAATTTCCTATTGCAACTCCTGCAGTTTTCGCAGCATCTGTTGAGCGACGTGCGGTCTAGCATTGTCGTAGTGGAAGATGATACCTTTCCGATTGGCTAAAACTGGACGTTTTTTTCGAATAGCCGCATGGAATCTAGTGAGTTGCTCACAGTGCTTATCCGCCGTGATTGTTTCGTCGCGTCGGAGTAGCTCGAAGTGAATAATTTCCTTGCGATTCCACCAAACACACAGCAACACTTTCAGTAGATGTAGGCCAGCTTTTGCGACAGGTTTTGCACCTTCAACTGCTTTTTTCCAGGCCCTCTTTCGCTGTGCATTGTTGTACAGAATCCACTTCTCATCGCCTATTACCATTCGATCCAAAAAAGGCTCTTTTTTGTTACGTGCGAGAGAAATGGCCACATTCATGCGGTTCAGCTTATTCCTTTCAGTGTCAAGAGATGCGGCACCCATGCTTGGAAACATATCCAAGCTTTTTCAAATGGCGAAACGCGATCGAATGATCGATTTTCAGCCTCTCAGCAATCTCCTCAGTTGTAATCCTTGGGTTTTCTTCCATTAGGACGCACACAATGTCGTCATCAATGCCAGAAGGCCGTCCAGAGCGGGGTTGATCTTCCAAGTTGAAGTCACCATTTCGAAGTCTGCCAAACCACTTTTTAATTGTCCGGAGAGCAGGAGCAAGGTCCAAATAAAACGCTCTGAATGTTTTTTTGTGCAGTCCTAACACTCACGCCTTTCCGAAATTCGTATAGCATTACATGTCGTAAATATAGCTTTTCGTTCTCCATTTTTCAAAATATCTTTTGCGCCCAAATCGACTTATCTGAACGATGCTAAATGACACAAAACCGCAGACTTCTATAGTATAGCTAGACTGCTAAGGTCCAGTTCCACAACTTGCTTTAAACTCCGTTTGAAGCAAGTTGTGGAACTGAGCCTAACTCCGACTCAATACATGACCCCGAGAAGTATGTACCCAGATAGCCAAACCTGCGCGAGCAGATTTCGAACAAAGCCTGCTATCATAGTTTGATGGCAAATAGGCAACAAATTTAACGCAGAATCTGTTATATCAAATTATGCCGCCAATCTGTGGTCAAATATGCGCCAAATCCTGCTGTCGGATATTTGACGGCAGATTTGTAGCAAAAACCGCGCAAGACTTGCAGTAATTTGACGGCAGATTGGCGGCAGAAACCGAGCAAACTCTGCGCGCAGTCTCTACGCGTAGTTTGGCAGCAGGACTTGCGCGGTTTCTGCCGACAATCTGCTCGCACGGCCTGTCACACAGGTCCTGTCGACAAAACACAAGCCTAATGAGGACACAGATGGCTATGGTTTTGATGTGGAGATCTGATCGAAATTGGCGTCAATCTGCGCGCATTCTACTAGCATTTTGCTTACTGGGTACCGTCCTGGGTACCTATTAGGTGTACAACTTTGCTTCCACCGTTTTTTTTCCGAAATTCGAGGCTTTATTGTAAAAAACTGGTTATACATTTATGATTCAAAGTATTGTCCATCGCTGACCGCTACTTTCTCCCATCTTTCAGGCAGCGTACGAATCCCGCGTTGAAAAAACTGGTCATCTTTTGAAGCGATCCACGAATCGATCCAATTTCTTACTTCTTCATAAGACCGGAAGTGCTGGTCAAGCAGGCCGTGTGCCATTGATCGAAACGAGTGATAGTCAGAGGGAGCAACGTCTGGAGAATACGGCGGGTGGGGTAGGACTTCCCATTTCAACGTTTCCAAGTATGTCTTGACCACTTTCGCAACATGGGGTCGAGCATTGTCATGCTGCAAAATCACTTTGTCGTGTCTCTCGTTGTATTGCGGCCGTTTGTCTTTCAACGTTCGGCTCAAACGCATTAATTGTGTTCGATAACGATCGTCTGTGATTGTTTCAGTCGGTTTTAACAGCTTATAATACACTACGTCAAGCTGGTCCCACTAAATACAGAGCATGACCTTGGAGCCGTGAATATTCGGTTTGGCCGTCAACGTGGAAGCATGGCTGGGATATCCCCATGATTTTCTGCGCTTGGGGTTATCGTAATGAACCCATTTTTCGTCCCCAGTCACAATGCGATGCAGAAATCCCTTCCGTCTTTGCCTTTCAAGCAACTGTTCACAAGCAAACAAACGCCGTTCAACATCTCTCGGTTTCAACTCGTACGGCACCCAATTTCCTTACTTCTGAATCATTCCCATGTCTTTGAGGAGTTTTGAAATTGCTTGTTGAGTCACTCTCAATGATCGTGCCAATTCTTCTTGACTTTGACACGAGTCTTCATTAAGTAATGCCTCCAATTCTGCTTCGAAAACCTTCTCTCTTCCACCGCTATGTCGGTCTTCGACGTGAAAATCACCGTTCTTGAAGCGTTGAAACCACTCACGACACGTTCTTTCACTAATAGCGGCCTCACCATAAGTATTTGAGAGCATTCGATGAGCCTCAGCCGCAGATTTCTTCATATTGAAGCAGAAAATTAAAATCTCCCGCAAATGAGGAGAATTTGGCTCGTAAACTGACCTTTTCAATCGAGAATAATTTTATGATGCGGACACAAATCGACTTATGTTACTATGGGGTTATATTGACAGATGCCCAAGTTTATTGCATGACGTCTATGATCTATTTATTTCGATCACTACTTACCGCTAAAGCCATCTATAGGAAAACGGCGGAAGCAAAGTTGTACACCTAATATTATGGAACTCGTCGGAATCGATTTCGATCGGAATAATTCCGTTTCCCCTAAAAAAGATAATAGAAATCTAGTAAATAACGGAATAAATTCGGTCGGAATCGATTCCGACGAGTTCCATAATAAGTACCCTGGTGTCCGACATTCATCTGGTGTCTGATTGTTTGAATCAAAACACATTTTTTCTAATTGGATGAGCCACATTGCTCATATATCCCCTCTCCTTGTAGACTCCAATTCACGCATGCGCAGATGTTTGATTCCCTTATATAATAAATTTTGCATTACATAACTTTTGTATTACATAATTTTGTACCCTTATGTAATACTTTTTGGGGTTAATTTTGTGCTACAGTATATAAGGGAGTTAGCAGTCTAATTATACTATAGAAGTCTGTGCACAAAACATTCACCTATTTAATGCATGCAACATAACCAAACAACACCGGAGCTCCGCCATGCAGTAAAGCCTGGTCCAGAGTACCTATTATGGAACTCGTCGGAATCGATTCCGATCGAATTTATTTCATTATTTCCTAGATTTCTATTGTCTTTTCTAGGGGAAACGGAATTATTCCGATCGGAATCGATTCCGACGAGTTCCATAATAGGTACCCTGAAAAGGTTACAAACACCCAGTTGCGAGTTGCAAAGAATGGCAACTACTTGTTACAAAGTGTTATTTTCGGTCGTAAGACAGTTGCGGTTGCTAAAAGAGAATTGCCCAACTTTTAATTTCTTAGCGATGGCAACCGGCGATCGTAACTGTCTCTTACAATCGAAAATAACACTTTGTAACTAGTAGTCGCCATCCTTCGCAACTCGCAATTGGATGTTTGCAGCCTATTCTGGACCGGGCTTGAGTTAACGCCATTTATGAAAATCGGACACGACTTATGCAATCATCCAATATTTCTTATGAGAACAAAAGTGTCGCTACATATAGGGAATCCTTAGAAAACGACCTCTCCTATTGGCTATTGAGTGTGCTTTCAAACTTCTCGCGAGGAAAAAAGGCTGCAACTATTGTGTTCGTGAGTGTAGAAGATTCGTCACTAAAACTCTCTAGTAACGATCAATAATCACAGAACTTGAATCACCTAGACTCGAGACATTCAGTGCAAAAGTTACCCAATCGTCGAAATTGAAAATATTTACGATATCGAACGCGTCTTGAATCTTCCTTGTCAAGAGTTTTACCGGTCGGAGGATCATCGCGTGATATTTGGCGATCATAAGCGAAAAGATCGCCGGCGATTTTTCCGTTCGTCATTCCGTTGGTCGTCGATGAAAATCATCCTAGGAGTCGCGGTGCGACAGCTAGACGAAGAGAGTACTGCCAGCGCAACTGATATCACGCTGGACGTACGCGAATACGTCCGCGAGAGATGCCGCCGCATTGCCGTTCGAGGTTTCACGCGACGGCCCTGAGCAGACGAGAGACTGCGAGACGCTTGCATTTATACTGCTCCGTCGACGTTGGTCGCACATTCCCGCGTCAAATTCACCAGCGCAACAGTAGTTGGGACAACAACGACAGCGACAACCTCGTGATCGTCAACGTGCAACGAAACCACCGCCTGATCTCACGCTCACCGTGGCCGACTTCGTGGACTAACCTAGCGGTAGCTCTCTCTCAGGACGAGCCGCGGCGTAGTCGCTATGACAAAAGGTGGCATCACTGGGGATGTGTTGGAAGCACGGACGATGTAGCGCTCATTGATATGACGCCATTTTACTAACCTTTTCCGTGCAGCGCGCACCGCGACCAGCTCCTCTCGTAGGCGCCGAAATACTCCGTGTTCACGCATCGTTACAGTGCATGCGGCCGAAGGCGTCGCAGCTTGTGTACAGCTCTACGTTCTGCGGAAAGTAAGTGTTCGCGATTACGTCCACAAGTCGCAGACCAGAGGCACGAGCGCACGTTCGGCGGACGCGCGGGGCTCGCTCTCCTCGAGTGATCCTTGCGCGCGGCGAACGCTTCCACAGTCCAAGCACGCTCTCGCCATCGTGACATTGTTCGCGCGACTCCACCGCTTCTTCGTGCTTCGTCGTTGAACTTGGTCGAGCGGGGATCGTCGTTTTCACAGGAAAGTGTTGTCCGCGCTGTGAACATTGATATGGTCGCTCGGGTCGTCGTCGTCGGACGGACGTGTGCCTTTGTCGTCGTTCGTCGTCACGTTCGCATTTCGCCAGATCACGAAACGCTTCACAACCGTAATATCGTGCGGTTTCTGAATTCTTTCAGACGTAACAGGTGGCCGTGAGCTTGAGCTTTTTTCATGTGAAGCGCGGCTTCGAGAAATCCCGAGAATAGAAAACACTCGACGACGAAAGCACTCACCGCCACGGCGGGCTATCTACGCATCGCGCGCGCCTGCTCGCGCGTAATTGTGTTTGCGAAACCAACGGTCTCGGTATCAGTGTTTGCAACGTGTGATCTTTAGCGCGATCATGTCGGCGGCGGTGCTTCTGTTTCCGCACTGACTACGTCGTTCCTCACCGGCAAATTTTCGACCACGGTTTTCTTTCAAAATCGGCCGTCGTGTCGCGCTTAGGCTCTAACGAAATTCTTCTCTGTGTGATCAAAGTGAACATCATTCATCGTGCGTATACTTTTGTGTTCGAGTATGAAGTTATAATCCCATCAATGAATGTACCTTTGCACGAATGATTTATTTATGTAACGTATGCGCATCGTATATTTACATGCACATAATATTAGCATATGCGATGTACATGTGAGAGTAATGGTCAATACTGCATTTCAGGTAACGTACTGTAGCAGTCTGTACTATTATGGAAGATGAGGATGGGGAAAGTAGAAGTACGGATATGTGGCCTATCTTGGGAGAGCGAGTCTGTGAACCCAAATTGGGCAATTCATTGAAACATTCCAATGATGGTGAAGGTTATACGGATGGAGTCGGAGATGACAAGCAGTTGCAGGGACACTACAGTCCAGTTGTAACAAAGGATTCATCAAGTACGAGTAAGAGTACCAGTACAGGGCCAAGACTCACATTCAAGGGTTTCAAGAAGCGCTTCTTAGCCGAAGCACGGGAACTCCACAGTGCAGTGTTGAGGAACAGTGCACTAGAACAGCAACAGTTACCGCGCTCTAATGCCTCGACGAAAAGTGGTGGCAAGGAGAGGCGGGCAGAGGGAAAGCATAAGATAACCGAGTATTTGGGCCTTCAGCCTTCCTCGCGGCACAAGTGCTCCAAGTGCCACGGCTGGCTAAATTGTGGTCCTAATTCGAAGCAGAATCTCTGTGTGTGCAGTCCCAGCATGACGCCGATGCCCAGCACCTCCGAGTCGGCGTCGTTGCCACACGCTTCCAGCAACTTCAAGATCACGAGAAAGGTGTACCTTTGCGCGGCATGCGGCACATACTTTGAAAATTGGAACTTGTTTCTTCATATGAGAGACATACACAAGCGGCACATATGCCTTTTTTGCTTGGGCATGTTCGGCCAGGCGGAGAGGCTGCTGCATCACTTGTCGAAGAAGCACAATGTTCCCGACCTAGAATTCGCCTCGGAGGACGAGTTCTACAGCGTTTTCAAGGGATCGTGTTACTTGGTGTGCTGCAGCTGTGAGAGGATCTTCTCGGAGACCGACAATTTTTACAATCACTTCTGTTCACCGACCTTCAAGCAGGATGCGACTGCCGGCATGTCGGTGTGCACTCTGTGCAGGCAAACTGGCACGCACGCGAGTACCTGTAATTTCGCACTATCGTCAGACGCGGACAGAGGATCGTATACCCCGAGCACACCGGTACCGACCGCCACTGATTCGACGCGCGTGGAAGATTCGTCGCCAGCGGCTGCTGTCCCATCAGCGGAGAAAATCCTGAATCTCGGTGGCAAAGGGCTGCCGAGAAAAGCAGTGAAGAACAATAGGAGCAAACTCGGTGCGGAATTAATACAGAATTCGCACCAGCTCAAGTTAAATGCGCTGACGAGAAAGTTCGGCGCGAGGGGACGATGCAACAAGAGCCAATCGCTCTGCGAGTCCGACATGCCCAAGGAGGTCGTCAACAACCTAACCAGAGACACGGTCTCTGAAACAATAATGGAGGTATCTAGGTACACGGGCAGCTCGTCCGACGAGAACGACGAGAACGACGAACAGGCGATGAACAAAGACGTCAGTCGAGACAAGGGGTCGGACGAGAAGTCCCCGGCGCAGAATCACCAGCTCGACTGCAATGAGCCTTACGACAGCGTGACGGAGACCATCATGGAGGTATCTCGCTGCACGAGCGACACCGACGAGGAGGATACGACTCCGAGGGAGCTTCCTCCGACGTACACTCCGGACACGCGTTCGGTGCATGCGACCGAGAAGACTAATGACGACGAGATGAATATAAGCGATGGAAGCGATGCTGATTCGACGCATCAATTGGCCAACTCGAGCGCGCCTAGTCCGGTGCGCTGGGAATCCGAAGAAACTGCTGTGACGGCAGACACGAAGACGAATGTCGCTTCGTATGAGCTCGAGGCGGAGTCTGAACTTCGGCCGTACGAGAGTCCGCAAAACGCACGGAGTCAGAGTCCTGTCAATCGATCTTTATTCAGCCCTCGTCACGAGTCGCATACGTCGGAGCCGCAAGCCAAAGAGAGAGAAAGCTCGAGGGACGACTTTAGCAAGGAAGATCCAGAAAAAGAGAAGCCTGCGGCGACGAGCGTCGGCGAATCTCAGTTGTCGGTCTCGTTCAACGCCGTACCTTCTTCCGACAGGAGTCTGGTTATCAAGATCTGCACCAACAGGAACTCGCAATTCAGCGTCACCAGCTCAACTGCCGTGAGCCGGGGTTCCGAGGAGAACAATAATGCGGAGGGCTCCACTACATCAAAGGAGAAGCTCGCGAACGGCTCAGACAGGGAGAAGGACGTTGTAGGCGATGACCAAACGAACGATCTGGACGACAGCGATTCCGACAGTGACAAACTCGCGGTGGTAGACAGCAATCCGGAGGAGGATGATGAAGGTGAAGAAGGAGAAGAAGCCGAAGAGGCCGACGAAGTCGAAGACAAATGCGACGATACAATACAGATCGGTAGTCAAGAACACAGCGGAGACATCGGGAGTGGAATATTCGACGTGACGGAGACCGACGTACTGAGCGGCGACGCGACAGAGAAGCTCGACAACAACGGGACTGAGGGGACTGACGGTGCGAAAGTAACGAACGACCACGACACGAGCAACGACGACGGCATAGCGTTAGCCGGGGAAGACGCACCTTGTATGGACTTGAACGTCGACGGGACTCTGGACAGCATAGAATTGGACGAACTGCTGAAGCGCTGCATCGAGGCAGCCAGTCCGATCTGCGTGTATTGCAACCACGCGCGCTGCATAGCTGTGAACGGCAAGCAACTGGGCCTGCATATGTTGGCGGAGCACAAGTTTCAACCGCAGCATCCCGCGATAATCATCCACGCGGAGCAGTTCACCGCGCGGGTGAAGCGTTCCTTGGACGAGCTCGAACCACGTTACTTCAATCTCAACACGTACGACAGCGTGAAGGGCACATATAATGTGCCGCAGGTGAGGATGTATGAGTGTTTCCATTGCAGATTCCACTCGCCGATCCACAAGGAGCTGTATTTGCACAACCGGAAGATGCATCAGAAGACTATCCTGATTTGCATCATGTGCAAGTCGACCTTCTACAGTTACAGCGAGCTCCTATGCCACCTGTGTCCAGGCGTTTACTCGCCTAATATGAATCTTCGCTATCGATGCTGCTTATGCTCAGTGAACAGCCTGCCGTCGTCGTTCCGGCTGATGGTGCACCTGCGCAAGCAACACCACGCCTGCGACGTCTGTCTGGAGTCTACCGGCAATCAGCAGCGGCTGTCGAATCATGTGTGGAAGCACAAACTCCATCACCTGTGCTACCGCTGCGGCATCGCGTATCGCAACAAACCGGACATCACTAAGCATCTGTTCTGGAAGCACGGTACCGAGAGCGTTCTCTGTAGGAAGTGTGTGCAGAAGAAGTGGCCGTACATCTATCACTTCTGCATACCGCCCGCTGAGTTCAAGTGCGACGAATGTGAATGCAAATTCAAGCGCGCGGTCGCCCTCAAGGTACACAAGAGGCTGCACTCCACAAACCTGCCATACGGTTGCGACGAGTGCTCGGAACGTTTTATATCGCGCAAGCTCTTAGCCAAGCACCAAGCGAGTCACAGGGAGCCCGAGCCGCAAGACGTCGACGTGAACGTTACGGACGTGGATGATCGTCCGCCAACGGACAGATTGGATGAGAAATCGGACAAGGACAAAACTCAAACGGGGAACGAAGGCGCGAGCGCGGGAGCGGCGCTGGAGAGCGTCAAAGACGCGAAAGAGGCTGTGAAGAGGGTGGTAGACGTTTACGACCTGCCACCGCTCAATCTATCGTCTGAGAGTGACACGGACAATGAGGAGGAGAAGGTTAGCGCCGCGGAAAAGTCAGCGGAAAAGGAGAAAATTGCAACAGAGAACGAGAAGACCGAGAAGAGCGGGGAAACGGTCGAGGAGGTGGCTGTTGATGGCAATGCCGCGCTGGTCAACGATATTGTTGACGTAGAGCGGAACGAGGAAGAGAAGAAACAGGAGGAACGCATCATGGACGGTATATGGGACAATTTCAAGACATACGCTGCGAGTCTGGAAATGAAGGATTCCACCCAGAGCTTCGCGTTAAAGGAGAATTCGCCTGAACCGGATCCGGCGTACCTCAAGAGCATCGTCTTGGCCGATCACGATTATTGCGTCGTGTGGTCCAACAACGGGGACCAAGTGGCGACTTCCAAGGAAGACGACGGGAAGGAGGAACAGGATGACGTCAAGTCTCGCAAGAGCCCGTCGCCTGGCGGCAGCCCGAGCCACAATGCCAGCTGTGAGAGCGATGCGACCAAGCGCGCGAAGGTAAAGTCTCCCAAGAAGAAGAAGCGCAGCGGTAGCACGTCGTCCAGCGACTCGTCGAGCGACACCGATTCCAGCAGCTGTTCTTGCGGCACTAATTGCAGCTGCAGCAGCTCCTCGTCCGGCAGCTCGTCCAGTTCCAGCAGTAGCTCTGACTCCGACAGTTCGACGTCCGAGAGCTCGCCCAAGAAGCAATCCAGTCGTCGTGAACGCGGCAAGAAGGAGAAGGAAAATGCCCGGGAGAACAAATCGGACTCGGTCGAGCCGGAGAACAACAAACCGGAAGAGGTCGCAATAGAGAACGGTATCGTGACGGTGGACGACGTGGTAACGAATGAGCCGGCCTTACCGTTGATGCGGGAGTCCGACCTGGAGACCGATGAGACCGTGACGGACGAGGACTTCTACGACGAGCACCCGCAGCAGCTCGCTAATACGAAACGCAATCAACTGATGCTGTTGGCCACCGTCTCGACGTCAGTGGAGCAATGCTCCACGCAGCTGAACAACGGTGTTGCAGAAGTCACAGCAGAGAGCACGACGTTGCACAAGCCGATCACGATGGCTGTCGAGGAGCGGCCACAGCAGAAGAGGAAGACGAAGACGAAAAAACGACGAAAAGGCGAGAGAACTAATAAGCGCAACACCACCGCCGCCGCCACCACGAGTACCATGGAGTCGATTAAATTGAACATTCCTAAAGCGTACTACCAGAAGAACCCAGCTTTCGCCGCGTCCTCGCCAGCGATGTTGCCGACGTTGAATCCGAGCAGGTCTTCGACACCGAATCTACCAGTGTGTAATGATCTTCACGGTGTCGGTGGTGCCCTTAGTGGCGGTACCAGCAGCAGTACGATGGAGATGCTGCAGACACCAGTGGTAGGTGGCGTCACTGCACCGATGTATCCGAGTATGCAGAACGTAGGTGGCAACGGCTCGGAGACGGAGAACAAGAGGTCCTCTAAGAGGAAACGCGTGCCGAAGCGCTTCTACGGTGACTCGAGCGACGACGAGCCACAGGAGAAGCAGCAGGTAGCGCACAAGTGGACGCGGAAGACCGCTGAGACCGTCGTGCCGGCTTTCGCGCCACCACCGGTGCCGGTAGCTGCACCGCTCTCGATGACGACTTCCACACCAATGGCGAACCCAAAATCGATGCCGCCTTCGAGATTATCGTTTGGCGGTAAAATGACACAGCAAGCGTACAGGCCCGGTCAGATGGAAAGCCAGCAGCAGGCGTTACCGGTCACACTGGCGTCTGCTACTGAGTCCGAGGGTGCCGCGGAGACGAGTAGCGACAGCAGTGAGTCTGAGACGGAGGTGGACGATTCCGTGAGTCACAGGAGGACCTATAACGACCTGCCGCCGGCTAGCGAGACAGCACCAGCTGCTACCGAACGACCGGTCAAGATCTACTGCTATTGTCGATGTCCGTACGACGAGGTGTCGGAGATGATAGCCTGCGACGGCGAGGACTGTCGTATCGAGTGGTTCCACTTCGAGTGTGTCGGTATAATGGTGCCGCCCAAGGGCAAGTGGTACTGCCCGGACTGTCGGAGGAAGCACAATATCACACAGAACAATGACGAGTACTGCGATTGATAGTTTTGTTGGGCGCGAGCGCGCGAGCCGATGATGATGGCGTTGTTGGTGATGATGATCGTGGTCTTGGGTCTAATCACTAACCACTCTGTGTTACCAAATTCGACCGATCGGAGTTGCTCTTCGAGACATATTGCTAGCGAGTTGTTTCCCTTCTTTGTTTCCTTTCTTTCTTTCTTTCTTTTTTTTTTCTTTTTTTTTAAGCGAAGAGAGACGCTCTGTACCGTTCCATCGTTGATATTTTTCTTAAGTCTCATGCAGGAGAGAAAGAGAGAGTGTGTATGTGTGTGTGTATGCGCACGCGCGTGTATATGTATGCGGTTTGTATATATTTGTAAATATGTCCTAGAATTTTTAAGAATGAAATCAGTTTTTTGTGTACATTTCTTTGTACTTCTTGCAACACAGCGCCATGTATAAATACGTCGCGTAGGTAGATGAAATAGATAGGTAGGTAGAAGTAAATAGATCAGGTACGTGAAAGTCGTACGTGAGAGCCTAGCTTCGCGAGGGCAGGGCTGTGTTTTACGATTTGGAATATTCATCAGTACGTTACTGATTGCGATCATGATTGTTCGCGCTCGAGCAATCTCGCATATTTCTTTATCAACCTAAAAAAAAAAGGAAAACAGCACGAAAGTGTCTAATAAATCCGGTTCTACTTCCTCGAACCGCGGACACAGTCTTGTCGTTTCTTTTTTTCTTTTTTATCACTATTAAACTATTTTTATCACTATTAAACTATTCTAAATTTTTAAATCGTAGACTCGTTAAGTTTGCACCACGTTCTCTACTTGACTAGTGGTTTTCTTTAGTGAGACGTTGTTTTGGACCATCAATTTTGAACGCTTCCTTAAATCGATGTACCTTTTGAGGGGCGAATCTTTTCTTTCTTCTAGTCTGTATCTCATATTGTCGAAGATAAGATGATATTCTTTCAGCAATTGCAAACAGCCCTTTGACTAACGGACAATTCTGTGCCACATTGAAAATCCGAGCAATAGTGTAATAGTTCATAGCCGCCGTGACTAATTTTTCTTATAACGTATCAGCAATGAAAAAGTTCCAAGTAAATTGGTAAGAAGATGAGCAAATATTTGAATATTAATATCAATATCAATTATAATCAATTGATAAAACGATCTCGTATATATAGGTATATGTATGTACATGAATACGTACGAATATATCTATATGTACATTGATATCAACGCGCGGCAGTCACAAGTTACAGGAACAGCGTATTTAAAATTTAACAAATATCCATCGAGCAGTATTACGGAGACGAGGATGTAAGAAATGCGATCCGTCGTACTCTTACATCTTATTCATTCGAATTTCGTTGTACCATTCTTTATATCTTTTTACATTAATTAAAAGAATGGACAACGAACGAACACGAACGTCAACGGCATTTTCGCCCTAGCGTTTCTTCCTATCGCTTCTCTTAATCTTAATCTAAACTCCAAAGGAAAAACTCTCGAAGTTTGTTATTATTTTTATTTCTGTAAATTGCTTGCGTTCATAATGCAGCTCGTTACAACGGTACGACACAGCTATAAACGACGCCTCTTAGAGTACCGATACTACAAAGTAACTGTCACGCTGATTCCTCAATTGTCAGCCCTATAGTTTCCTCCCTCTGGCAATTCAACACCCATGATGTCCATGAAATCTTTGTAAGATATTCTCTGTATCATAACGTAAACAATACATTACTCTCGGGAAGCCTAACAACGAGTTTCCTATTTATTCTACATTTACACCCTCTATCGTGTAGTATTTTCAAATCAAATTGCGCGAGTGGTTAGTTACCGATGGAAGAAAATTAAAGTCGAATAACGTAGATCTCCGCAACGAACTCAGTGGGTCAATTTCGGTTATTTTGTCATTGAATGACGCAAGTAGTTTGAGATATGTATATGCTTCTTGGAAAGACAACGGTTCACCTGTAACAGGGAAAATAAACTGAAAATATGTTTCATTGGTTGCTACAAGCGAAGATTGAATCGTCTACTAAAATGTTTGAACTTTTGTTCTTTTAGATTGTGCGGTTTGTTCATAAGATCATTTACTTTCTTCATTAACATACAACTGAATTAAAAAAAATTAACAAATTCTATACACTGTTATACAGAATAAAGATTAAAAAGGCGTATATAAGACTAAATGTCAGTCATATTAGTTTACATCTAATGGTTTAAAGTTGGATTTGTAGCATCTTCAGTAAAGTTTATTATTAATTAAAAGTTTATTATTAATAAGTAATATACACGTACCGACAAGTTTCTGATCTTCAAAAGAAACTTTCGATGTTATTCTACCAAATAATATATCTACAAATTGCTCTCGTGTTAAAGAAGATTCCTCTACGTTGACGGAATCCTCTTCTGTGAAAGTAGAAAAAATCTCCTTCATATGGTCTATGGTGAGTCCGAATGCTGGTCGATGATTCACATAGAGTCGTACAAATTCCTCAAACGTGACTGCTTCATGGAGTTTACCGGTTTCAGCGTAATATTTGTAGCATATTTCTTTCATAATGTTCTCTATCTGGAAAGTAGATTTGTATTAGCAAACTGGCGATCAATAAAAAAATTTATTCTTATTTATCTCTTTATTATAATTACGATCTAGATTTCTGGAACATCTTGTACAACAATAACACTCAGCTCTTACCTCTTTGTTGCTGGGATAATATCCGATAGCTCGCATAAGATTTGGAATCTTCTCGACGGTCACAGTATCAGTAATAACTCTAGCAACGGTTGTATTTTCTCCTTGATGCAATATCTGAGCATAATAAAACAAATCTTTCATCTCACTCATCAGCCAACCTTTTTTCCCACCTTCAATGAGGCAATAGAAAGGCGAGATTCCTCGTCCGCCTAATTGCGCCATTGTGTTAATAGATCTGGAAAAAAATACTTTCTTAATAACATGACTCAACATTACAAGCAAGACCATGATATTAGAAAAGCGACAGATTATGCGTGACTTATTTCTATTCAATACAAGCATAAATGTTGAAACAAATAAATTTTTTCTTTATTGATAAAATCGGTTTATGAAAAATGGGGGTCATACTTTATTAGATGTAAATTATTAAAAATATAAAATATCTGGTTTTTTTGACATTCCGAAATTTAATATAGTTGTAACGCGACATTCAAACGCTTTATTAGGATATTCTTACTTGAGATTGATTTCCCACATTAAGACACACGAATCGTTATGGCCTATGGTAAACATGATTTCCTTATTGCTACTGACGGAAATATCCACTATCTGCAAGGGAAAACGGAATGTTCATAAGTGCATATGAACCATTTCGTAAAAGAGAATGTTCTATAAATCTATAATGTCTAACTTTTTGCGAATGACCGGTCATACTGTGAATCTTATAAGGATTGCCGTCCAAAGGTAGAAGCTGAAGACCGATTTCCTTATCGGTCGCAAATACCATGTAGCCTTTATCGTCCACTAGTTTGTCTGTTACGACCTATCGACGTTGCAGTGATTTCGATATAGCGTATATTGAAATAATATACTAGCTAAATAAATATCAGAACAAATTTCGATGCATCCTATATATTTGCCTCAATATATAAAGATCTGATCACGTTACTTGAAAACGTTGTACTGGTTTTCCTATTGTTGGCCCTAAGTAAGTACCACGAATCATTTTAGTAACGTCATCGAAGATCTTGTACTTATACTGCAATCACAAATATATGGCATTACGTCTTGCTTGCAAATTCCAGACGAATGAGATAGCGAATTACCTCAGAGTTTGAGATCATAAGGAAGTTTTCATTGCCACACTTGGGATACCACGCTAAACAAAGAGGAGTAGCAGAATGTTCGATTCGCTCGATGTGCAAAATTTTAAGTCCTGGTTCTGGATATGGTCCGCTGTAATCGAATCATACATATAATTCAGATTATACGAGAATAATAATCATCTTGAATAGTTAGACAAATCATTTTAAACTCTAAATCATTTAACTAAACCAATTAAATAATTGCCGTGAGCAATACGTGCAATTCACCTGTGTTCGAGATCATATTCGACAAGTTCTTGATCCTCTCCCAAGGAAAAAAACCGAGGCACTTTATAATCAGACACATGGACTGGACTAAAAAGTATATCCCTAATGGATAAATAATGTGAGTGATATTTTCCTATCAAGTTCCATGTACCATGATCGTCTGAGGAGAAGATATTATTTCTCTTAAATACCACTACTGTCTGCGCATTGTCCTGAAAAATTAATTCCTTGTTAAGTGTTTGGAAGCAATCTAGAATTTGAAAATTTTATTATGCTTCTTTGTAAAAGATACTTCAAAATATGAAAAAATAAAATTGGTAAAAATAATTCTCTCTGAAAAAGTCTTTTTTTTTTCAAGAATATGCTAATAAGTTTATCTATAATTTCCACAGAATTATTTTACAGTAATTTCCATCGAATTTTCTTTACAGCGTAAGCCATATATTCGGCACACTGCGTGAAGGTGATTTTATTAATAGCCGCCGCAGAATGTTTGTACGATATTTCATTCAATAGATCCAGGGTAATATGATGCAGAACCCAAAGTGACCCGTTTTCCAAACCGCATACCAACATATCGCCTAAAAGAGATAAATATTTTTTCACGTGATTTCTTTTTATTTTACCTCATTTTGGTAAAAACAACACCAGATCGTTGGCAAGAATTTGATTTACATCTTGGTGAGAATTTAAGAGCTGTAACGGCTTTCAGAGATTCATCATTTTGCGGGCAGGTAACATAAGCAATGTTTTCACTCATTATCTGTTTCTCGAGAATCGATTGAAGGTCTAAAGTACTTCTGAACGTCGTCAGGACGAGTTTTTCATGATTGTACAAGTACACAGTGCCCTCTGCGTCCCCCACAATGACGTAATTGCTATAGTTGAAGGTTTACTATCACATATTTTACAAAAAAATTGTGACAATTAAGAAGAGAAAGTTTAACAGAAATTCATTTCCACTTGCACATTGCATGTAAAGCATGTCATTCTTTACGAAAGATTATTACTGAATATTTTTTAATTAGTTCACTTTTCTGGATGAGTATCCAAGCTGGTTGCGGCCACAACCGAATGACGCAACACAGGATGACACTTTTGCTTAAAAATGTCTATCGATACAATTACTCCCATAAAAGAACCTGAAATGAGAAAATAAAGATATTATTGATTTACTTTTATTACACAAGTAAAACATTGCAAAATAATTGTTTTACATGCAAGGAATTTTCGGACATTAAACGGCGAGCATTGTAGAGTAGCATCCGTCGGTAAATGATTAGACTTTGCAGGTATTGAAACTTGCAAATCGGATCGAAGATCGAAGCTTATCCATCGAATAGAGTCGAGATCGCAATTTTCGTACCAATACAAAAGTTTCAATTGATAATCGTAGAAAGCGACACGACCGTCCGAATTCCCCGTAACGAGCATGCTGCAATATTAACAAAATAATTTATTGTAGTATATAAAATTTAATACACATACTTCCATCAGGTTATAAATGGTACCTCTGGTTATCGATAATAACAGTGATATTGCATTTCTGTAAATTAACAGTCTTGATATGTTTCTTTTTTTTCTTCTTTCTATAATTAGAATTATTAGCCTCGCGTTCTTCCTCGGGAGAGACATTGCCCCACACTAAAATACATCCTAGAACAATTAACGTCGAATTGTAACGTCGGACGAAAATTTTCTAAAATTAATAACAGCACTATAATTATCGAAAATTAAATGGTACCGTTTGCAGTCGCTGTGAATACTTGCTGTATCTTCGAAACATAGCAAGACCCATTAAAGATTCCAATACGTTGAAGTTTTGTCGCAATTTTCGGGCAATCGTAGCTCAAAGCATCACCGTCCTTGATTGTAAAATTCGAAAAAAAATATAGAAATAAAATATCATCGATATTGAAATAATTATCTTATCCTCAAAATTGTACGAAAATACGTTCCTTTCATTGCAACTACTGAAGGGACTTATGAAAGTATTCAATTACAAAATTTTACCAACCCAAGTTAGGAACAGAACGTGATAATCGGTCGTCAATGCAAATTGTTCCGGATATTCGTCGTTAAAAGTTACTTCCTTGACGCGTTCGGACATTGTATCAATCAACGAGACCGACGCTGGAAATTTGACATTTATTAATAATGATAAAAATGTAAGCTGTAAATGAGACAGTTAATATCGTATTTTATAATAGAGATTAACAAATGTATAAATAAGCAGGTCGAAAGGACGAACCGTTTGGTTGATCCTTGCTGTAAGTCCACAACCAGAAATACACATTCTGGCACTTTTCGCTGCCGACGGTGACGATGTACTTGGCGTTCGGACTGATACGAGCAGCCGTCATGCCTTCGCTGCCGTGCGGCTTAAATAGAGTGCAAACGGGAACTCTGCGTATTTCAACGATTGCATTAAATATTTCAAATCGGAACAATACATCAGCCGAGTCTTAAGTACGATCGGTATTGTGTGATTTTCGCAGTAATCTTTTGAGAAATATTTGCCTTTCCTCCGTATTCCAAACTACCACCACGCAATTGTCCTCGAAGTCGGCTGTCAACAACCACTTGCCATCGCGCGTAGTCGATAAGGTTTTCACTGCATTTTGCTAAATAACAAAGCAAAAACCTCTTTCATTAATACCGACAAAAAACGGCGCGGAAATAACACATTTCGCCGCAAAACTATACGTATACCGACGTGGCCTTGAAGCGGCGATACTGTCTTAGAGCTGTAATCATACATCATGACCACATGTGAGCAGGCGTATGCTAATAACGTGCGATTGTCCGTAGTGAGATTTATCATCGGCACTCCCGGATTAATCCCGAAAGACCACCGTAATTTCTGAGGAAACATAACGATTTATAATAGTGAGAACAATGTATCAGTACGTTATGTATTTTGTTCGTTCACTTACGAACGGATAAAGATCATGTTTCGCTGTTTGTTGGTATTTTTTCTTCACATCTGCATCAATATTTTCGATATCTTCCTTGGCGTCCGCATCGGGGACAGACGAAGCCGTAGTCGTACACATCGTTATTTCACGTCAAACCTGATTGTAAATTTAACGGTGAAACTGATGAAGAATTTGGACTTGCGCTCGGTCTTTGTTTTTATTTGAATATAAATGACAAGGAATCTTTTTTACCTTTTTCAAGAGTGTATGATACAGAATATAATGATTAGGGATAAGATTAGTGGATACCTGCAGAGATAAAATCGAGGTGGATTCAACGATTCCCGCTTATTGACATCAATGATAACAGAGGATGTCTGTTCTTATTCGTAGAGAAAAGCGACAGGCACATACCATAAATGTGATCTTTTTGTCTTTTAACATTTTATTATAGTATTCATTCAAATTTAACATTTTATTATAGCACGTATTAACATTCTAGCGAATAATAAATTATCACATATTGTATATATTACTAGATATTATGCGTTGTTTTTTATTATATATATTTTTGAAAAAATGTGTACAAAAAATCACTGTTAATGCGGCGTTGCTCGTTTTCTTTTTAGATCTCTTCGCTGTCCATCACGTGCAATATTAAGTGTTGTTTTTACCACTGTCGTACATATAGTGATATGAAAAGCTATCTCGTCCAGAGGGAATTGAAAGTCTACAGCTGTCGTTTGCTTTAGAATTACGAGCTGCGCTATTTCCTAATAAACAATGCGTAGACCGATGAATGTAATCGAAAAAAAGTATGACGATATTCCGCATGTATCAGTCTAACTGCAGCAGCTCTGCGGTTTCGGATCCAAACCCGAACGCTTGGTAATGAACAAGCGTGTGAACTCCTCCGCGGTAGTTGGATGAATTCCGACGGTGGACTTCAGTTTTGGGAATGTTAAACCACACCTGAGAAAGTGTTTAATTTACTTGGAAGTTCAGTAATTTCAAATCACTTGTTTGAGAATATTTTTAAATTATTTTAAATCAAAAGGATCGAATATATTAGGTGCGCAAATAAGTTTGGTGTCTTTTTTGAGGAAATTAAATATTCAAATACACGAATAATATATCAATCAACAAAATAGTCTCTATAAAAAAGAAGTCTTATATGTCACAGTATATTTCCCAAAATTATGAACAGCATTTTCGTAGCTTCATTTATTTTTTATTTTATTGAAAAATGAAAAAATACAATGTCAAATATGTTCTTTGCTGTACACCATTGTGTTTGATACTACTTTTGAAGTTATGTTGTTCGCATTACCAAGCTATATAACTCATTTTAAACTTTAAGATTGGCACTTCAAAATCCACCAAGCGACATGAAAATATCTGAATTTAAACCAGAATTATGACTCATCAAACATAGAAGCATCGAACTTATTTGCGCACTTAATACTTTACTATATTATAATACCATGAAATATTATTCTTTGAAAATACAAATACAAGTCTACATTTTGAAGCAATTAGCGCATGAAGTTGAAACTAAGACACTTACTTAACCGCAGCTGAAAATCCTTGAATCACTTCACCAGCGTTTGGTCCGACAAAGTGCATCCCGAGGACTTTCTGGTCACCGTTTCTAAGTGCAATGACTTTTACATAACAATGACTGACGTCCTTCTGCGGTACAAAGAATTCCGTTGGTTTATAATAAGCGTGATAAACCTCTATCTCTTCCTCTCCGTAATGCGCAACCGCCGCTTCCTCGCTCAATCCGACACATCCGTATTCCAGGGGACTGAACACCGTGGTCGCCACGTTCGTGTAATCCATCTGTTCGGATGAATTATCGAACAGTCTTTTCGCCAGCAGTTTACCCGCGTGTATAGCGACGGGCGTGAGTTCGGGCTTTTTCTGCAATAACCGTTGGAAAAAAAACGTTACGTTATACATATTAACACTACATCACATCGCAATTTCTCTCTCTCTCTCTCTCTCTCTCTCTCTCTCTCTCTCTCTCCTTCTCTCTCATTTTTATGATTGTATTCATATTTCGTACACTATTGTATTCCATCGTATTGCATTTCGTTACAACAGCCGACAATTGCGTGAGACTTTTTAAAGTTCTCTCGCATTCCACACTCCCCACTATCCTATCTCGGTCAGTGACGAATACGCTCAACCAATGACAATTACTACAAATGTGCGCAGTGTGCAACGCAAGGTATAAAACCAACTGAAAACGCTACAAACTACAAACTGTTAAGCTCGAGAAAAAGTTTAGAAGTCGCATCAACTTACATGAAGTATGTCGCCAACCGCGTAAATGTTCGGAACATTTGTCTGTTCGTTAGTTGCTTCGATTTTACCGCTTTCCGAATGAAGTTTTAACCCAGCGTTTTCCGGTTTCAGTTCTTCCGTGAGCGGCCGTCGGCCAATAGCGAACAAAACGGTGTCGTACACATCTTGATGAACTTCTCCATCCTAAGAGATACCAGTTATATTATACACTGATGTCATAACATTTATCGTTTATATGTTTATACAGCTGTAAATTCGCGTACGTACCTTATCAACCCAGTCCACGAGTAGACGACCGTCGTCTTGCTTCGCGACCTTCTTTGGCTTCGCCTGATAGATGAAATGCACGCCACGTTGCTGCATCTCTTCGGCGACGATGTTCGCCATTTGCTGATCGAAACCGCGCAGCACGATCGACCGCACCATTACTGTCGCATCATAGCCTAAGCCATTGAGAAAACCGGCACACTCCAGGCCGATGTCTATCTTGTTATTAAGAAAAATGCGTAAAAAACTAATTCAGTAAATATTCGGCGACAAATGATACAAGACTTTGCTCAATAAAGGATACATCCAGCACCAACAACAAGAGTCTTTCCTGGAGCATGCTCTAAACTGAAGATATCGTCACTACTTATGCCATACTCTAGAGCTCCTGGAATATCAGGATACCTAGGCCTACCACCTACTGCGAGTAATATATTTTTAGCAGTAATAATTTTCTCTTCCCCTTTCTTGGTAATTCCAGCTATTGTGTGTGCATCCTTGAAATGTCCAAGAGCATTGATGTAATCAATTTCCCTGTAATTAAGATGAACATCAAAATTATAAGCATGAATGTGTAACAAAATCAACAACTTGCGAGTAAAAAGTAGCAAATAACTCACTTTGTTCTAAGCTCAACACGAGTGACCCAGTTAACAGACTTAACATGGTTTTGTACAGCAGTTCTCAAGGCTTCCCAGTCAATTTTGATGGTCTTGGGATCTGGTAACTGCCAACCAAATGTAGCTGCTTCCTAAAGATCAAATAATACTTAAGTCATAGATACTTAAGCTATGATTTGGCAAATTGAAATAATCTACAATAGTTACATACATGAATGGCTTCACCGAGCAATGCAGCTTGATGCATTAATTTTTTTGGTATACATCCCACATTGACACAGGTGCCACCCAAACCCCAAGTGGTACCACGTGGAGAAGGACTCACATAATCCAGAACTGCTACCTTGGCTCCCAGCCCTACAGCTTCCTTAGCTGCTGCCAAGCCACCGGATCCTCCACCGATGACCAAGAGATCGTACTTGTAGCCTTGATCCGCTGAAAAGAAATCAAAATATCACTCACAATTTATAAACATAAACGAGATCCTTAAGTCAAATAATCTATAGTAGGTTAAGTCTTTCATGGTGCCATTTTTCTAACTTTCGCTATATATATATTAAAAAATCATCACAAATACAGGTCAGGTGTCAAAATTGATCAGATATCTTCGAACAGTCTTTAATATATTTCCGGTTACACTCGCATCGTTTGAATTATTTACCGCGCGCGCGGGTAAGGACATTTTTTATATAATTATTCGCAATAACCACGATAATCCACCGTTTCGGTACAATTGCATCCCGTCATCCCGGACACTCACTGCACATGCAGGCCATCGTGTTCCTGCCGTAGCCATAAACGAAGCTGCCACATCTGGTAAACAGCGGTTGACGGCCCGGTAACCCGAGCAACTTGGCGTGTGCGGTACGAAATGACACGAGCCGCGTGAACACTGCCAATGTCGCCATGGTCATCGGCAACATTCGACTCGCAATTGCAAGCACGTGACGTCAGCCGTTGGAACGCGCGGAGCGCTGCGTCGAGGACGTCACTGTCCGAGCCACGCTGTTGCACCTTCTTCTCGCGGTTTCGCGTGACTAGGACGTGATAGTGACGCGTCGAGCTCAAACTCGAGTTGAATCAAAATCAAGAACACGATGAGATCGATCCTGATAACCGGTTGCAACCGCGGCCTGGGCCTGGGCTTGGTGAAACGACTGGTCGGATCGCAGAAGCCGCCGGACAATATCTTCGCGACTTGTCGAGACGCGACCAAGGCGACGGTAAGAGGCAGAGCCGAGCCGAGCCGAGCCGATCGGCACTTCCGCGTACGCTATCATAAACGCGCATTACGCAATCCGCGCGTTTGATGAGAAAAAGTGCACTTACCGATCGGCGCCATCGCGAGTCTCTTTGCTCCTCGTATGTGTGGACGAATTTCACGATCTATCTTTCCCGCTTCGATCCTTCGTGATTACAAGTGACGAGTAATGCAACAACGCGCGTGACGTATCTGATTTCCCGTTCGTTGTCAGCACAAGCGACGATCGAATCACACTGAAAGCAACGAACGCCTCTACTCGTTGCCATGAATTTCGTCACCGCCATCTATTATACGGCCCCGTACTGCCCTCCACCTTTTCCCTTCCCACCTCTCTCTCTCTCTCTCTTTCTCTCCAGTTCCCCGCGATCGCCGTGAACACAGCCGCGTATCGGCGCCATGATCTGCGATGAGTCAGCGAGCGATCGCGCTTGATTTCGAGATGCCTCGACGATCGATTGCGCAAACCTGCCGAGCCGGGTCGGCTTCGGGACCGGTTCTCTTGCCCTTGCCCCCGGCCTCGTTAAAACATCGCCGAGATAGTAATTGCAATGACCTTCCTGCCCAGCGATGCGTTCGCGTATCACGCCCGAAATCGAGATAAACGAGAAAGAAACATGAGAGAATGATCCTTGCAGGAATTACGTGCACTCGCCGACAAGTCGTCGAACATTCACATCATCGAGATAGGTAAGTCGACAGCTTCGCGTTTTTGAAATTATGAATTTTTGAAATCTTGAAATTATGACAAACTTTTGCCATCATTCTTTTACTTTTCATTGTTCGTTCCATAAATGACTCCCTCTATAGTGAGATTTGCATTAATTTATCGTGGATAGAATGAAGATCGTAACTCGCGTCGAGTGGGCATCGATATTGCCCGTTCGTTCATATCTGTAAGTAAACCAACGAAATTCCATCATCGGTGTTAATTCTCATTTATAATATAGGTTTTCGTACCGATGTTATCAGGACGATTTTATCTGTAGATGGAAGTGTCCGAAGGTAAATGAGGAAATACAACACGAAATTCCGCTCGACGCGCTATGCAAAGATTGAGGATTTTCTTTTTATTTTCAATCAGAAGAAAACGCTCGCAGCTCACCCAGTGCTAGAGGAACATCTCTTGGTTCCTCTTGGTTCTTCGATACGTTCTCCACTTTGTTCTCCGTGTTTTCTCCGCTTTCCCGGTCGCTCGAGTCGGAATCCACAGTCTGCGGTTTCTCGCGACAAGTTTCAGGCACCACGACTTCGCTTTGTTTCCTCTGCGGGCCTTCATATCCGCGACCGCACGCCGATGATAATCGAAAGATTACACGTAAGAGACGAACAAAATTAAAGAGAACAGAATTGACGGAATACTCGGGTTTCGTGTCGTGCGCGAACGTAGTCGTGCGAACAGGCCTGTCGTAGAAAAAAGAACCGCGGTTTCATCGAATATTATGCTGATCGATATGGCACGCAGACATCTGATAACATTCGCGCTAATTTCACTGCCTGAGGAAATTCCAAAATCGTAAATTGTAAAATCTCCCATAGTATAAAATAAAAAGTAAAAGATTGATCTTCCTTCTTTACCACTGCGCGCGCTTAAAATCTCACGCTTTTCGGAACTTCGTATCACCCGGAAAGCCGGACTCACGGAAGGGATATTTCAAGGCTCGTTATGCCGAGTCACGTCGTGTGTAATCGATCAATGCAATCTGCCCGATGGATTAACGATCCGATATAAACGGGATTTTTCCCACATTCCGAAAGATAAAAGAATTCGAGCTGGAATATATCGATCCCTTTAAATCCCGTCGACTGATATTAATTACTTGGATCTTTTTCACGCTTGTCGCGATATGATATCATCGCGATTATCGCAACGTCATGTAGGATACGAGAAACCATTGTGATTTGAAATAACAATACTTTACAGACAATCTCTAGCCGCGTGTGAACGTCGATGAATGTAAATGTCAATTAAGCGAAGCATGTCACGTTGAAATAATTATCCGTAAAAAACGTAACATGTACGTTAACACTCGCATACATGATGCGAGCGGGCTAGACTTTATTATTGACGAGATGTATGGCGCGACGTAAAACAAGGCAGTCATTAAGGTCTGTTTTTTATCGCTGAACTAGTGTACACTCAGGGAACATAAAAAGAAATAGATATACATCTAGGAGTTAGTGAAAGTGAGAGAAGAAGAAAATAAGTGCAAGTTAGTGCAGCCAGTTCAACAATGGAAAACAAACCTAGTCTCTCTTGAGGTCACAACTTATGACTGATGAAATTTGAATAAATCAGCAGTACGAGTTTTGCGAGTTCATAAGCATCATGTTCTCGCGAACAACACTCCCAATATCGATCGTTCTCGTGCGATTTAAATGCTCCTTCTTCCAGATTTAACGGACACGGACGGCTACACAAAAATCGTGGATGCAGTCAGTGAAAAAGTCAAAGGCGCCGGTCTCAACGTTCTCTTCAACAACGCCGGTATCTCCAGCAAATTTACACGTCTCGGCCTCGTGAAGAAGCAGCAAATCACAGATGCTTTTCTGGTAAACACTGTGGCGCCTATCTTACTTACAAAGGTACGCCTATGGTTGCTTCAGCGTGCGGAATATTTTCAGACTAAACTTCTCAATCTTAACATAAGCGCGTGTAATGACTGATTCAAGGCTTTGCTACCACTATTGAAGACGGCCGCGAAAAATGCTGAGGATAAGATAAAGCTGAGCGTTAACAGAGCAGCGGTCATTAATATGACATCTATCCTGGGCAGTATTGCAGAAAACACAGACGGTGGTTTTTATCCTTACAGGTGTAGCAAGGTAAAATCTCTACCTCTAATCCAATATAATCCGATATATTCATATCGTATACGTAAATATCGGTTGATAGATGGATGTGAAATCAATAGAAAATTTGGAACTTTATAGTGCAAAAATACTAGCGTTTATATGATGTAAATATTGAGACGAAAGGAAACCCAATTTTTCATGATTATGCTAAAGTAGGAACAACAGATTAATTTCTTATTTGATCGAAGTTCAAGATGTGCTAATCGAAATGTTGAACTTGCGTTATTAGTATATTTCATAATGTACAATTTATTCGAATTGATCAGAATCTATATCATTGACTCTTGTAATTTTGCAAAATTGGGCTTCGTCAATATGAATAGCAATACATTGTCGGATTTATATTGTATACATATTGTATACATTATATTGTATACATTATATTGTATACATTATATTGTATACATATTGTAAGCGTTATGTTTATAATACAAACTTCTCAAAGTAAATATTTTATGTAATTTCATTTGGAATCACAGGCCGCACTTAACGCAGCAACCAAGTCAATGAGCATCGATCTAAAAGCCGACGGAATCTTGGTAACGTGTTTACATCCAGGATGGGTGCGCACGGACTTGGGCGGTAACAATGCTCCGATGGAGGTCGAAACTAGCGTCGATTGCATTCTGGAAACGTTGAACTCGTTAACGGAAAAACATACCGGTTGTTTCATACAGTATGACGGGAAAATATTGCCTTGGTAGAGGATCGAACAAAGTAAAGTTGTGTCCATTCTTTTTATATATGTATATAATAAATGCCTATATATGAGACAAGCGAAATACATAGCATATATATATTTTGCTTGTCATTCCTAAATATCAATGTAAATAATTTAAATTAGTTCTAGATATACATTATATGATTTTATAAAAAGCGCGAGTTTTCAATAAAGTATTGCGATCGAGTTTTGATCGAACGTCCTATACTTAATAATTTGAAAGTAAGTCTTCTTAAGAAATTAAACAAATAATATTTACGAATCACTTGCATTTTATGCGTTTTAAAAGTAATGTTCGACGAAAGTTAATGAGAAGAGAAGATTTTTTATACAAAGGCTGAACAAGCAACATCGCATCTCTTCTCGCAAACGACGTACAATACGCACTATTCAGTAAGTCATTCAACTATTTTATTCACATGAATCAAGCTTCTTTTGTACATGTCACGGTGCTATAATGTAACGCAAAGGAATGCAAGTTCTCCTATAGTATCAATAGACGAAAGAAATTATATATCTGAGATATGTACAATGATTTTTAACGACTAATCGAAAGCATGAACATATTTATATGTACGTCTATCTATTTACGTGTGTACCTTCAATGATTGACTTCCAACTTATAGCAGAAATAATTATATAAAGTATTCAAGTATTTCGCGAGACAAATTGTTCGCGACATAATGTTGGAACGAGAGAAACAGTTTTTCCAAAGAGAACATAATACTGCCAACGATGCTACAATTGTCGCGAATGTACAATCCGCTTCTTATGTTTTGAATATTCTCAACATTTGCCTGTCGAGTGCCATTTCTCGACTTTCATGATTTCACTAGAACAGTCTGATAAGATATATAAAGTGTCGATATTTAATAAACGGATTGGGCGTTCGCCGGATTTTATTCTATCCAATTAGTGGATCATTGTTTCTAGTTTCTAAATTCAATGTGGCAATTTATAATATATAAATTCATATATAAAAAAAATATAAACTCCATTTTACATAATTTAAAATGTTCCATAAAAGTGATGCTATTCAGTTACATATGAATGCATATATAATATATATTATATATTTTATATAATATATATTATATGTTGGATATTATTTCTACAAATATATCTCATTAAATTTAGATGAAACAAAAAAGATTGTATTTCTTGCGATTCATCCATACGGAGAGGTATGATTTAAGAAAAAGTTACCAAGTGCAAATTCACAAAAGAAATAGCAATTCCTAAATGTGTCGATCTTCATACAATAGCGATGTCAGTATTAGATTGAACATTAGTCAGTCTTCAATCTCTTAGGTGTAGGCTCACTATTTTGTGAATTTGAGTCTTCTGAAAATCCCAAATGGGCAGAGAAGTCTGTCAACCCTTGAGAATCACTGACAGTGGAGAAACCTATACATATCAAAAGGTGTTTAGTTTAGTTCTAGAGACATTAATATAAATTATCAAAATTAAACTCACATGTATTGGAATCCTCAGTTAGACCAAAGTTAGAATTTGAAGAATCTATTCCTCCTTTTCTTGATAAACCATTTTCTTTATCAGAAACTGTCTTTCCTTTTTTCTTCTACAAAGTAAAACTATTCTTAATTTGTGTATTTATTTGCATTGTTAATTGTAAAGATTGATTTTCTTATATTAAATACCTGATCAAGTGTTGAGATTGGAACCCATTTGTAAATTTTCATAGTTGTTTCTCCTATAGTAACCCATTTTTTTTCCCTATTACAGTATTTACATACATGTAATAAGATTACCATTAGTTTCTTTGGTTGTATTAATTTGTATTTTAATATATATATATATATGCATAGAATTATGCAATATATTTCATATATACTTTAGAGAAAGTTAAACCAAATATCTCTTCAATATGTTTAGAGCTTTGCAACAAAGTAAAAGTTACTAAAATAGAAAATATTGTTAGAAACTTCACAATGCTGTCATTGTTATCAGAGCTTCTATGAAAATTAAATGTGTTCTTTTTTCTATCGATCAAATAGTTTTATAATACTTAATACAATCTCTTATTTCCAGAAACAAAAATTTCAACTTGAAACATAGGTACTGATGCAACGTTGCTCTTCACAATTTTTATGGAAAGCTTGACACAATTAATAAGAGCAAAAGCACATGAGCTTTATTTTCTCCTTGCGATTTTCATTCTTTGTGGGCACAAGAAATAATAAACGCAAGATTTAATGGCTCAACCGATGAACAGTCGAATCGTTGCTTTGGGAAACTTACCAGTGACGAACTTTATCAACTACTTGCATAACTCGTTTAATATCATCCTTGGCACGACTACGAGTCTCTGCGCGCACTGACCGCGACATCATATTATTGTTCTCGCCCGATTAAATCACCGTTAATCGATTATTGCACCAGTCACCGCACCAAAAACACCGGGACATTCGTAGAACGCGAGCAGTGGAGAGGTTAAGAAAGTGACAGGGGGATACGGATCCCGGATCCCTCATACCGCTCGTATATACACTGACACAATGACATCGTGATCTCGCACGTTTGTATAAATGACCCGACTGATCTTTTACTTTTTTACCGAATAAATTATTTTCTCAATGTCTTCAAGTCACGTTCAATTGACATCTAAGTCAATTATCCTTAACTTGTTATTTCATGCAATTGTATATCATTATTATCAAGTTTATTTGACTTTCTATTCGGAGAAAAATAAAAGCTTGGCTGATCAGCCGTTGAGTCACGCTGCTTGGAAGCAGAAGTCCGTTCGACTCGTTATTTGGTCGTACTACCTCAAATCTTCGTTGAAGCAAGTGGAGACACATAGCGGAGGTTTCGAAACTAATGACGTATTCGAGTTTTAACTCACCCCGAGGTCGAAAGCCAGGTCCTCGTGGTGGATCAGACAGGCTTTACCTTCAAGTGACGCAACTCGGCCGCATGTTAGGTCGTTTATTTTCAAATAGCATTACTCAGCAAGAGGGGTATCAGGATATTTTCTTGTTTTTAAATACTACAAGTTGACAGCAGGTTAGACATACCTTTCACTTCCAAATAGTACATTTTGACAGTGGGTAAAACGATCTCTTTACTGCAATTCATTGTCTAAAAAACTGTCGATATAAATATGAATGATCAGAGATTCAGCGTTCATCGTATGCATTTGAATTAAGAGGTGTCAGAGAATCCTTCTCTTTGCAGATTCGAGCGAAGCGCGGCGATGATTGTGTAATAACCTCTCAATGCGCGAAGTCCTAACCTATTTCCTAACCTATACTATATGCCGCTTCTATAACGCGGCTCGCACATGATTTTCTGCGTATCCGACACGTCGAATCAGGGTATATTCGATATAAATATAGTAAGCAATTTTGTTCGCAATATTGAAAAGAACTCACACAGCTCGTAAACTCTAGTCACTATGGGCAAAGAGAAAGAGGAGGAAGAACCGCATCGCAAGTTCGAGTGGATGGTATTTAGGATCAAGATTTCTTTTCGTATTATCTCCCTCATTGAACGCTTCACTACGTGACCGTACTTTTTCGTTAGATAAGACCATGCTTGATATATAAGGCCGAGTACGACGATTGTACCAGTGTAAAAGGTCGTTTTCATCAATACTTCATATTCGGTGAATCGATCAATTGCGAGCAATGGAAGACAGACTATTTCAACTGTTATCAGTGGAAGAAATATAAATCGGAAGAAGCATATGTACGCAGATTATCGCATTTGTACTATCGCGCTGTCGCGTCTCTAAGTAATCTTACTAATATTACTATGTATCATGCAAATGTCAATGTACAAAAGAATTGATATCTGACAGGATGAAGTGATCAAAAGTGAGAAACGGCGCCGAAGGGAACGATTACAACCACATTACGAGAACGATGTCTGGGAGAGGAGGGAGAAGCCACCGGAGAACTGGAACGCGCCTCTGCCCGAGTGGATGCAGGAGAAGTTCAAAAACTCATATCTGCAGATACGAAGTGAAGAGATGAAAAAAAACGTCAATGAATCCATCCTCGACTCGAAATGTACAATACTGTAACAGCGTGCACGCGCGTGCGTCGAATCTGGCAATATCTGAAAATTAAGCACAGCGTGTACACAAATACGTATTTTGTTATTTGAGTCGACTCACGCGTAAACGTCCGGCTACCTTCCCGCGCGATGAAAGCGAAAGTGTCCGGAACGCGCCGCAATCGATGACGCCACGTTCTCGCGGGTATCTCACGGTGAGAAGATGCACGTCGCGAGAGAGAATCGAAAATGACCGGTGCTTGTAATTTTGTCGTGTCGAGGAGCGATAACTTTGTTTTTACGCGAAATTGCTAAGAAACGTGTTCACTGCAGCAACAATGTGACGCGACAATTTTCAAGTACCGCGGGAGTTGGCGGGGCTTCAGAAAAACACGTTGAATGTCACATCGAGCCTTTACACCCGGGAATACAAATCATGTCGGAGCCGTTCCTCCACCTAGAAATATCGCCTGTAATGCACGTTTTGCGCAAAAACGCGCGGGAGCCACAACGACGGTTCTCGCTCGTACACGACGGTGAGGTTGCGTAGATTGGACATGCGCAGTCGGCCGCGTCGACTGCGTGATCTACCACCACCACCACCACCACCACTAGCAGCAGCAGCAGCAGCAACAGCAGCACCACCACCGCTATTCACCGCGACGGAGAGTTTCTTCTTTTTCTCGCCGCGCGCGTGCGGCGAGAGTCAATCCGCGCAAAAGTGGTCAGTGCAAAAAGAAAGCCAAGAGACGCCGGAGGTTCGCGAGCGCGTCGGAGGATGCCGCTCGGCTGTTTTGAACGTGGCGCCCTTCCCTTCTCGTCCCTTCTCGTCGCCGGCTGCTGCCCGCCTCCTCTCTTTCATTAGACCGCTCCGTTTCTCCTTCCGCGCTACGTGCGACGTTATACGCATCAACCACACAGACCGAACGCGTCCTCTTTCTCTCTCTCTCTTTCACACTTCTCGGAAGCGCGCGCGTCTAAGAGAGAGAGAGAGAGAGAGAGACATATTTGTGTACGTGCGAACACAGCGTGTACGTGAACACGAGTCGCTGAATGAATGACGTAACCTATATAGAACAAATAACGCGTATCGGCGAGCGCGGTGCGTTACGCCTTGCTGGATCGCCTGGAAGACGACGAGTAACCGCTGAGAATCTATTCGAGCTGGAGTAGAGTGTGTCTCGGTACGAGAGAGAGAGAGAGAGAGAAAGAGACTCGGCAGACAGACGGGGACAAGCAGTATACAGCGGCGCGTTATCACGCGTGATCTCGAACACGAACCGAGTGGAACGTGAACGTAGGCGTAGCGGAGCGACGCGTGACGCCGTGCCCGCGCGTTCCTCGCAGGCACGTGCGACCGAGTGCGCGACAATGGCCACGGACTGCGTGGACGGCGACTACCTCGGCGCGTACGCGCGCTTCTTCGCGGAGTTCGTCGCGAGGGTGAACCCGGACGATCAGCTGCCGGTGAAGGTGAGCGGCTACGACATCATCGAGGGCGAGATCGTCGGTGAGATCATCAGCGTGACTCTACAGTACCTCAATCAGACGTAAGTTTCGTGTGTGTGTGTGTGTGTGTGTGTGTTGTTTGGATATTCGACCGAGCACGCGCGTGGGAGAGGTGTGACAGGCTCGCATGCGTGTGTGTGAGAAAGTGTGTATTTTTGACATTCCGCCGAACTGCGACGCGACGCCACGCGCCTTTATCGAACGCGCGGGACCGCGTCCCACCTCCTGCGAACCGTGTTGGATTCCGGTTTTGTGTGTACACACACACCGGTCTTATCTTCCATGGAAAAGATACTAATTGCAGCTGTTTGTATATCATGCTTTAATTAATCGCTCAGCGCCGGTTAATGTTTACTATAGTCGGGTCGATTCTTCGCGAATATCTTTCTATAGATACCGTTTAACAAGGGCGATTGAGTCGGCGTTGTTTGATACTCGGTGATATTCGTCGAAACATGACGTTTTTTATTCACGCGCGTTTCTCCCGGATGTTTTATCCGGACGTTTGATGTAGGCGTTTCAACGTTCAACGTCACTGCGTAAAAATCATATCCCGAGTACCCTTTCTCGCTCGGTGAGCGTCGCAATGCGAACAATGGCTGCGTTCAGAAAACACAACGGTTGAGTAATTCGTCAACATTATTGGTCTGAATGTAAGGATCTAACAGTAAGGACCAATAGTTACTAAGCGCTCACTAAGCGCTGAGCACTTTGTTTTCTGAACGCAACCAATGCTCTTTTCCTCTCGGCAGCCGCTTCTGAGAAAAGACGATAAAAGCCGAGTCAACGTTTCCCCGACACCCTGTGCATTTTGGCATCGCGGCGAGGGTCTATTTTTGCGAGGAGAAACGCCAAGTTGTGAAATATTTTATCTCGTCGATCTCGAATAAGCGGTTCGCATTGTAGTCGCGGCGAGTATGAAAAGAATACTCCGCATACTTTTTACTTCTTCCACTTCCTCGCGCGCCGCGATAAAAATCATCGTATTGTCGTGCGCCTAGACTATTGCGAGCGCCGCGCGCGGCCTGAAGAAGTCGACGCGTAAAAAGTTACGCATTGCTGCATCGCGGCGCATCACGTGAGAACAAAGGTGCGCGCGAAGAGGATGGAATTGCGTAAAGAGAGTGTTTAACGCGCGAACTTCGCAGAGCGAGTTCGCTAGGGATCGAGTCGAAAGACGAAAGCCACTTCCGCGCCGTCGCTGCCACTGCTGCTGCGTCATTATCTTGCTCCGGTCGAAACCACCCGAGTCCTCTCGTCGTCATCATCATTTATAACACAATGCGGACGGAAAGGATAGACGACGAGAGCGATATAAAGCGATGAGTGATAAATGAGAGATAGCGACGAGAGAAGCTTTCTCGCACTCGCCTCGCACTCGCCTCTTTCCTCTCTCATTGCCGCACTCGTGTCCCTCTATATTTTATTTATTTATTTGTTTTATTTAGAAAAGGAAATTTTCGAAATGCAGACACTTTTTTTTTTTATCGATTACGCGATAAATCGCAGGCCGGCGACGGTTTCGAGAACATCGCGTATGTTTGATTGTAGGTGGACTGGATTATAATTAGAGATGAATTACAGATATTACGGGTAATTAGACGACACGGTCAGTCAACTCTGATTCCTTGAAGAATTATCACTCGATCTCTCGATAATTTTGTCTCTGCGGCGGGAGAGTCGGTTAATTAGCTGGTTGAAGGAATTTGTCCTTGAGAGATTTTCCGTTAGAGGCGGGACATCCTGTGGAAATTCCTCGTACACGACGTGAAATTACACGCCGTTGAAGAATTCCAGAGCAACAACCGCGTGCGACACGAGGCGAACGGACAACGCGCGCGACGTTACATTTGCACGCCGTGTAATATTGATTTGTTTCTTTCTGGCCGAACACAATACGCGCGCACCTACCTGCCTGTTAAACGACTTTCTTTGTGCCGACAAAGTTGCATGAATTTACGACACGCGTAGGTCTGGATATAGGTAACTTGAGGGAAAGCGTTCAAAGCGGCCGCTTCTGCGAAGTACCAGGAGAGATAATAGGCGTGCGATCGATTTACAGATACTGCCCGCCGAGTTTACAGTCGTACATCGTGCATCTCGTGATACAAGCGATCAAGTCAACATGCAAGAAGCAACCGGAGATCTGCGGACTGAGGCAACAGGAGAAGAGTAAGTGGCGCGTCTCTCTTACGAGAGATACTTGCCGGACACGCGAAATACGAGCCGCTCGTTCGAGGAGTCACGTAAATCTAATTTCGAAACGTCACGACCGCGATGGGATCGATGATGAATACGAGCGAGGAGTACAAGATTGCGTCGTTCTCGAGCAGAAGAAAGTATGAAAGCGGATTCTTTAGAGCGGTCGGCTCGTACGGCGATCGAAATGCGCTGAGCTCCTCGCACACTCTGATGCTAATGCGACCGATCGATTTTGCAGCGTACGCGCCTCTGAAGCTCATGCAAGCCGTCACGAACGAAGTCAACGAGATTTGCAGGCGATATTTGGATAACAGCAGGCTAGCGCTGCTGCCGCCGCCTTCGTCGACCCCGCAAGTGGTGGTGGGTGCTACCAGAAATGCCAGGAGAAAAATGGAAGATCGTCACGTGGTCCTCCACGACCTGCACACGATCTTTAACATTCAGGTAAGCGTACGATAAGCCCGCGATAAGCTATACCGAAGCGATCATTAGCAGCAACAAAACAAATTGGCACCACCAATTGAACTTAACTCTCAGCAGGCACGGAACAGTCTCTGAAAGACTCACCGTTGTAAACTTTGCCATTTCGTTCAGTTTTCCACACTCCTGCGCGTCCGAAAGCTTTCACGAGACCCTCACAGTGCTGAGAGTACTGAGAGCGAAAAGTCCGCTAGACATTCGTTCGGGTCGCCTGAGATCGATACATTGATGCAACAACTGATACATAACGTCGCAAATTGCAGGACGACACGACAGCAAATTACTATGCCGTGTTTGACGGGCACGGAGGACAAGATGCGGCGGCGTACTGCGCGACGCATCTTCATCAGTATTTGGTCGAGAGCGTGTACTACCCCACGGACCCAGAACGCGCGTTACGCGACGCATTCTTGACCACGGACGCGCATTTCATCGCGAAATCGAGCATACAAGTGAGTATCGTCATCCGCAGCATCGCAATTCGCTCCTGCCGTCGTCGACAGGTCCGTTAATCTTTATCGTTTTCTACTGCGGTAGAGATTGAATGGCGGCACTACTGCGGTGTGCGTGCTGGTGTTAGATAAGAAGCTCTACGTCGCTTGGGTCGGCGATTCCATGGCCTCGCTGGTTAAGCGCGGCTGCGTGAAGCAATTGGTAAATCCGCATCGACCTACGAGGACAGTAAGTAGCCCAAGGTTTCTCTTTTCGATTCAACCGACGTTGCCATGGGACACGCAACACAACCAAACGTACACCGATTATCTCGATATATTTAGAGCGGTAGTCATAGTCAGATCTTTAAAATTGCCTCCAGTTCATTTTCAGATGCTTTATAGCGTTGTCCATGAAACGATCCATGTAACATCTTCAGATAAGCTTAGGCAGATTGTCTTGTATACAAGGAACAGGCTATAAGTACCGCAGCCTCTAAGAGCACAATTGTCGTCTTAATTCCCGTGGAAGATCTTGCTTCGGACCACATGGTCGTACAATATCACGTGCTCGTAAAACGGACAGTGTATCCGTACTCGCGTGGTGTGTATGCCAGGCGACGCAGCGGCCGGATCGACAGTGATCGTCTGTCTGTCGTGGATATTTTTGAGCAACAGACCGCGTTCGGTGTCCACGATCGGCAGGTAATTGCGGCTCTCGCTCAAGCACGCCTTTCCCAGCCTCCAATGATAATAGGCGAGATCTCGCTTGCGCGGCGACAGTCGCCGCTCCCCTCGATAGTACGGCCGCCAGTTTTCCTTCTGGAGACGGTCGCCGAAGTCGATATAGGCAGACTCCTCGAACTGCGAGCGCTTCGCCAAGTGGCGGAGGAATATGACGGTTGACAAGACACCCAATCGGTTGGATCGTTCGCGCAGAGCCAGCTCTTCCATTAGCCTACCGCTCGGCGTGATGGATTCCGACGTGAGTTCGTAGGGTCGGTGCGCGGGGAACAGCAGGTCTCGCACGATCCGTAAGCGACGATAGAAGCTCCCCTCGCTCAGGGTCTCGCCGGTGCAGCGGTAGCCGAGTTCGGCCAATTGGCGCGCGGTTTTGCTACTCTTCAGGTAGTATATATCCGCGGAGGTCACCAGCGAGTCCAGATAATCCTCGTAACTGGAAAACTCGAGCAATCGCCTGTCACTGTCGATCTGTGTCCCGACGACCGTCATGTTTGATGAGAGAAAAAAACAGAGGGAGAGCCGGAGAGGCGACGACGACGACTCGATCTCGAAACTTGCAATTTAACGTTATCGGAATTCCCTGTATATATTGCAAACAATCGAGACGCGCGAAATGCAGAAGTGAGCGAGAATATCGAGCGAGGTATCGACACTCTTGACAGCTCTTGACAGCGCGGCATTGCGCACGTCATCGCGAAGATATTACGTGTCGATATTCGTCGACGCATGTTACGGGCGACGACACATGCGAGATTTATCGGAGTTAGGTATGTGCGGTGCATCCTATTTATCATACGACGCGGTCTCTTCTCTTCAGGACGAACAGGAACGGATCAACAACATGGGAGGAGTCGTTGTCAATTGCGTGGGTGTTCTGCGAGTGAACGGGTTCCTCAGCATTTCACGAGCCATAGGTAAGGTCACGCATGCTTTTATCGTGAACATGCGAAAGTATTCGTTCGAAATACAAGAGAGAGTTTAGATGTAGAATCGAAGAAATCATCTATAAGGAGCACGTTTTCAAAACACGCGTCTCTTGTGGTATTTACCTTCGGTATGATTATCATACCGTCTCAAGCGACTTACCAGCCGGTTCGCGTCGCGCTGAAGAAGACACAGTACGATGTTTACGCACAGATGGAGACAGCGACGTCCTCCTGGCCGTCGTCCATGCCGCGGTGAGCCGTGTGTTAAATATGTCATTCGGACTCCCACGGGAAATGTGAAGTCGTAAATAAACGAAGTCGTAAGAAGTGTTGATTTTACTTTGAAAGTACGATTTTATGGAGTTACCAAAGGAACGTTATGTAACGGAAAAACGCGTGTTCTTCGTAAGTTCGCTGTCGTAAATTGGCGAAACTTCATCTAGCAACAGCTCGATTCATCCTTTTAAAAACTCGCTGAAAATTGACCTCAATACTCCTCTGCGATCCTTAAAAGAGCAAGCCGTTTTTCTCTCGACCCTCTCGGAAAAATCGCTACGCGTAACGTTTCACGCAAAAATCCTCCTTTCTTTCTTCCTCCTCCGTTTCTTTCGATTTTGTAAAATAAGCCTTCCGGGGCTTCCCCGTCGCTTTTTACGTTCGCGAGTTCAAGGTCAGATGAAAATGCAACGTCGATAAGCGCGAATTTCTATGCTGCGGACGAAATAATGTGTTTACTCCCGACCGGGAGTTCCGGGAACGCGACGATACGTTCGCGGCATGGGATATTAGGATCATCGAAATAATCGATGTCGATCTCGAGTGAGTCAATCGAAATCGAGTTGTCGGCAATTTCAAGCGTGTCAAGACGCCGGTCGCGTACGCGAGGGCGCGCCATGTAAGGATTCGCGCCCGGGCGAGCCGGTGGCCAATTACGGCTCATAGGCGACAGGGGAGCGAAAAAAGGGTAACGAAAGAAATTCTGGCCGCGTGTCGGGTATCCTGTTGGTTCCGTTTGCCCGCTGACACAATAGTACGTGCAGTTACGCTCCGAGAGCTCTACTGTGTGGCTCGTACGATCGCATGTGCGGAATAATTAAAAGGCCATTTCAGCGGCGTCCATCTTTGCGAAAGCTCGCGCGCGCGGCCGGCCGATATTCGAATCAATCAGCGCCATTAATCTGCTCGACGCGCTTTACGGATCGCACAGGTGATTTCTTCTTTCTCCCCGGAATTCTCTCGTCCCACGTTATAATTTCGCGCACACACGCGATTAATTACGGAGAAACACGCGTCTGCTGAACGGTGTCGTAAAGAATCGCCGTCTCGTTTCTTGTGAGATTTGTTTTCGTAAGAGACGTCTCATAGAGAGTGCAAACTAACCTAACTTAACATGCGTTCATTACGTATTAATATAACTCGTTTTATCGTGCTTATCGGACTTATTAAGATGACTAGTTTCATCGGGGAGAAAGAGAAAGATATGTTTATTATCTACTGCGGCAGCTATTTATGACTCAGCTGGATATTCTCGTTAGATTACATCACGTAAGATGTAATCTGACGATTGCATCAAAAGACTGGATTATATAAGGTCAGCGTAGTGCGTTTCGCTGTCTTCTTACAGGCTATAATCTCATCTTTGTTATCGATGAAGAGAAAGAGGCGTGAGTCAACGCTGTACTCTCGACGACGGTATTTTGGCCAACATAAAAATTTCGTCGCGGCTCTAAGCAACGTATGACGTGCGACATTTAGGCGAGACAAAAAATTGAATCGGATGCTTTCAATCGAAATTCGCAAGACTTAATTCGATCGTAGAAATAACTCGCCGGCACGACACGACAGAAAACGATCGGCTATTTCTATATCGCGAATATTATTTCTCTGTGTACATGACGAAGTCCTACACGACGCGGTTGCGCGAGGAAGGCGAGGAAGAAAAAGCGCCGTTCGGGATTCATAATAACCGGAAGCGGCGGTGGTGCGGTGGCGTCATTATTTAAATTAGCGGCGTTGTTCATTAAACAGTTAATTATAGTTAATTGCGCACCGCGTGCTGCGCGTGTTTTTCGCGTGTAAAATATCGGAATTACGGTTACCAATGGGTAAAGCCGTAACAGTTACCTCGGGCTCGACTCCCAATCTAATCGCATACTTTCGGAATTGAGCATTCCTTTACGCTTTTCGCGTTCACGCTCTTCTAAGCGTCCATCCGTCCGCTCAGGCCGCGACGTTACACGTCAGCGTCTCTCTCGGAGCAGCCAGCGGGAGATTCCTCTTTCGTTTCTTTTTTTTCCTACTTTTTGGTTTTTTTTTTTGCCTTTTTTAAATATTCCCTCTTCTTCCCAGGCGATGTCTCGCACAAGCCGTTCGTTACCGGCGAGCCCGAGATCCGAAGCATCACGTTGGACGGAACCGAGGACTTCCTCATAATTGCCTGCGACGGACTGTGGGACCACGTGGATCCGAGAAAAGCCGCGCAACGAGTCTACTGGCAGGTGCTGCAAAATCCCCGTAAGTTTATCTTCATTAAACGCTGCAGAGCGTGTTATTCATCGGCAATTTATTAGAATTGCGGTTACCCGTAATAAGTTGATTATTAAGCGGCATTAATCAAAAGATTAAAGAGGCCGAAGTGCTCTCTACGAACGAATTTGCTTCGCAAGTTTCTTGTTCGTAAGATGCAAAAACAAAAAATCTCTCATGAAGAATATTACGCATATAACAGCGATGGCGGCGGCGGCGGCATATAATCGCGGCTATTTCCGAGAGCAGATAAAGCCCGGAAGAAAAGCAGACTTTTTCGCTTGGTCTATGCTAGACCAGCGTCAGGTCGTGCTCGACCAGCCGGTGATTTCCCATTGCTGAAAACTTGCGGAATTGCGAAACGTGAGGTTTCCTAATCGGAGAAGTTTTTATTAGCCGTTGCTTTGGGCACAAAAATGGCCGAGGAGAAAATCGATTCGAGCGTGTATACTCGCTGTTCGATAAACCCACGCAAACAGCGGCGTACCATAAATACTTAGGCGCGAAGCGATCGCGACGCATCGTAATTTCTGCGCGATAAGCGTGGGATATCCATATTGGAATTATTTCCATCTATCGCATCGCCCGCAGCCATCCTCGACGATACACGATGACTACGGTGGCGGCGGCGGCAGCGGCGGCGAGAAAGTAGGGGAAACGATGTTTGTCGAGGAATTTGTGCTAGAAAAGACGAATCTCTTTGCAATCCAGTCGCTCTCCACGTGGCCTTTACTTGTCATGCTCTGCTTCGTCGATTTCCGGCACGGACGCGACACAAAATTTGCTTAGCGCTTCGCGTCGTCTCCTCTCTCGCGACCGGCCGGTCTCTCGCGATCTTGCCCGACGATCTCTTTTTCTTTTCCCATTACACCGAATCTACGTTAAGATCGACGCGCGAAATGCGGAACCGTGCGCCACGCAGAACGTAGATGACGTCTCGATAACATAATCCTATTGTCGACTATAATCATTCGAAGACCGGCGATCCTCTTCGCGTAGGTCGAACTACTTTTTAGTCGAGAGAGAGAGAGAGAGAGAGAGAGAGAGAGAGAGAGAGAGAGAGAGAGAGAGAGAGAAAGAGAGAAAAGAAAACGGGAAGAGACGGGAACAGCTGAAGCAGCAGGTGAGCGAGAAATTACCACAATTTCGTGCAGGTGCAGCTGACATGAGCCGTCTCCTAGTTTTATCGTTCTTGTCGAGCAGGAAATGCCGATTGGTTTTGTGAACATTTAAGAGCAATTAACACCGGCAGCTACACGACAACCGGTTGACCCAATCGCCGATCATTTAATTCCTCAATGGAAGTAAAAGTACAGTGAAAAGCTCTCGCGCGTGCAAACGCGCGAAACACTCTCGATTATCGATCGTTTCCAATTCAAAGACTGTTAGCATCTCGAAGTTTCTCTCATGAAAAATTCGACGTGAAGTACGATTCATCTCGGACACCCTGTACACGCATTTCCAGATAATAGGAAAACATAGAGTCACGAGAACTTGGCGTTCGTGCATATTGTCGTCGACGTTCCCGAAGCCGAACCTTCAATCAGCCGACCATTTAGTCTTTTTTTTTCTTTTGCATCCTGCAAATTTCGTCTTGGAAAAATGTTGTGATTATTTCCCTCGCGCGAACAACATCGTAACGTGGGGACAAGCGTTGCAACGTCACCCTCACGTTATTGGCCGGCGTCTCGGCTTTTTGCCGAGTATCGAAGGCAGGCACACCGAATGTAACGCGGCTTGGGCTGGTGGTGCTCGCCTCTTCCTTCGTCCTCGGGCGAGCAAGTCGATGCCTGCAGCTCCTCCGATCATTCGCTCGCTCGTCATCCGTCTGCACGGTCGGCCCGTCTTCCTCTCTATCTGTCTGTCTGTCTCAGACTCTTAATCGTCTTCCCTCCCATGCTCGGGTCGTCGTTTTTCCTCCGATTGATTTTCCACCACGATTAAAGCCCGCGTCGAGTGACTCAGTGATTCACAGTGATTCATAGTGTTGCCAAGGAGAAGGAGGACGAAGACGCGAATATATTACAGGACTCCGTCTGGTCGACTTTGAAGCCTTTCCCTTGGGTGAGTCGAGTCGCATATATACATACATACATATATACATATATACGCGCATACATGCGTTTCGAAATTGCGCTGGGATTTTCACTCGTTTCATTTTTCCCGTCGCGGTTGATCGGTCGTTGCTGTGTCGGAACGAATTTGCCGGCGAGTCGCAGTGAATTATTAACCGCTCACGTTGCGTAAACGTTGCGCGTCCCTTGGTATCGCATTTATTTTTCGCTCATGCGAGATTAACAGCGACGAGCATATCGTCTTTTCAGCGATCGCATCGTCATTTCTACATCGGAATAGTTACTTGAACTTTGTCGGTTTATTTATCAATCGTTCTGGCCTGTTTGTATGTCGAACGAGTAAGAATTGCAATTTCTCAGCGATCTCACGATTAATGAACCTGTCATTTTTATCGGCGCTCCCTCTCTCCCTCTCTCTCTCTCTCTCTCTCTCTCTCTCTCTCTCTCTCTCTCTCTCTCTCTCTCTCTCTCTCTCTTTGTCTCTCTTTCTTTCCCTCTGAATAGTTCTATAATAACTATTAATTTTATCGTTCGGAGAGATCGTTGTGTTGCGTTGCCCACCTGCTCAGCGTTTTCAATTACCTCCTCGCCCGGCCTTATTTAATTAGAAAAACTCTTGGCCTCGTAATTAACGTCGAGAACGCATAGCCGCATGTCCGTGGTCGACGTTGCCTCAAAAGATTAGTACTCACCGATCACGGACATCGACATCATGCGATTGCGCTCGCGTATGCATGACGTGCATAGAAATCGCGACTGTAAATGCATCCATAAGGCGGTGCCGCGACGACGACGTCGTCGTTCGTCCCGCAAAGTTTAGCACAGAGAAAAAGAGAGTAAGAGAGAGAGAGAGAGAGAGAGAGAGAGAGAGAGAGAGAGAGAGAGAGAGAGAGACTCGAAGAATAATCGAGCGGTGGAGGAGCAATATAATCGGCGACGCGCAATGGCATTGTCGCCGTGCGAAAAAAGTTTTCCCAAGCGTCAAGGAACGCGCTGTCGTCCTTGTCGTCATCGTCGTCGTCGAGTCGGCCGTTCGCACTCATCGAAAGGAGTCCGGAAATCTCTCCGCGCGAGACTACACAGTACAGCCGCGCCGCGAAAATACGCCTTGCCGTTAGGAAGCGCACGATTATCGTCGCCATCCGCCGAGCCGATGTAATCTCCCTTCCGCGCTTTACGCGAAGGAATTTGAAAATTACGTAAATTCCATTCGCCGTCGATGTTCTCGTTGTGTCGTTTCCGTCGAGAAACGCACCGCGACGGAACGCTTGAGCGCGCGATCACCGGAAATCGGCCGCAACTCGTTCGGCGAAAGAACTGTCTGATATACCGCATGTGTTTTGCGTTAACTAAAATCCCAATTTTGCCATCCGAGATTTCTCATCAAACCACGAGAGAACTTCAAATTTAGATTTCGAGTCCGAAAGACGCCGTCGCGGACGTTTTTCGGCGTTTGATCGAAAATCTCGGATTTACAATTCATTTTTATATGAAAAATATCTTTCCGCGGCTGCGTCGTCGTGTGGAAACTCAGGACTCAAACCGATGAAGCAAGGCGCACGTCACGGCTGACAAGAAACAAAAGTTGATACCCGCTCGTTTGACGCAGACTTGAGGACGCAATGAGACACCGATACGGCGCGGTGAAACCTCGCAGGAGAGAACGCAATGTGGCGGCAGGATATCTCTCTCTCTCTCTCTCTCTCTCTCTCTCTCTGCATCTCACGTTCCCATAATTGTTAATCCGGGAAAGTGTCCACGCGCGATTTCTCATCCTCGCGCCGATCAAATTTGTTATAGTGAATGCGTGTGCGTGTGTGTGTCTCGTACATCGCAACACGTTTTTATTAATATCGACTCGCGTCGGGGCGTCTCGGGGGGAGGAAGACACGGCAAGACTGAGAATGCGCGCAGCATCCCGAGAATATCTTTCATCAGAGATATTCTGTCACCCTCTCTGACGCATCGCCGCGTGACGCCGCACTCACCGATGTGTACAGTTACGCTCTTTGCATTTTCAATGACATTCTGAATCAGGCTACGTGGTTAATAACGCTGAATTCGCGACGTAACGATGCCGTTGCGCATTTGCGAGATGCGCGTCCGTTCCTCGCGCTCCGAATCCGCGTCTCATCGCATGCTTTCATTTCTTTTCGTTTTTCCGTCAGGGTCGTAAAGATGACGAAAATATTAGCCGTTATTGCTTCTTGGGAAATTGAGTAGTAACTCAATTTCCCAAGAAATATACTCGCCCGCTTCAGTTCGAATTATTCGCGCCTAATTCGCGATATGTGAATCGAACGTCTCGGGATCGTTGACGTTCTACCCATCGGAAACGGTGGGCTTCACCGAGCCGAATTTCGCGACTCGACTTTCATCGGCGAATTACCGGTTAACCGATGGACCCTTTACAACTTCCCGAGATAATAAACGGTTAACGAGCATTCCGGTTAATTGAAACCTCCGCGGAACAGACGCGCGGCTCGGCTCGACGCTCGGCACGGCGCATGGCAACAGTGCAACGGCGTTAAAATATCGCAATAAGGCATTAAACAAAGGAATCCGGGAGGAGCTGAACCAAGACCGCGGTTACTGAAGCGAAACGCCTGGAGCGTTTCTTCGTCTCGAAAGGATTCGTCGGAGAACGAACGTACGAACAAGCGGCTCGGGGGGGTGGGGGGAGGAGGAGAAGGATGAGGTGGAGAACGACGAGGAGAGGTGGTGGAGGTGAGATGGTGGTGAGAGGAGCAACGGGAGGAAGGGGGAATCCATTCACGAGGCATCGCAGGAAAGGTGAAATTTGGGTTACACCAGGTCCTTCGCCTTATTACCGAGCCGTGCTCGATCCGCCGGTGGTTCCGACGCATCTCGCCGTGATCGTCCACGTCCCCGAAGGGGACAGGAGCCCATTTA